GAGATCCGGTCACATCTAATTTGCATTGAACTATTGTTTTAGGCTTATCATAATTCTTGTGTTACACATCCACTTGCAACTTATTGCCTCACTGAAAGCGAGAGAATAAAGCCGACTGGAGGTTTGATTAAAATGTCTGGTCCGCCAAAGAAATCAAGAACTCTTGAATCATTCTTCTCAAAAAGTAGCCGCACCAGTTCAGTTGGAGATAACCCTGAAATCTCTAAAACATGTGAAACTACCACTTGCCAAGAATTTGAATCAAAATCTACTGGTGAAGAATTCGACACACAAAGCCAAGTTGCGGTAGTCCAGGATTGTCCTGAAGAGGAAACACACCCAGACCTCTGTTGTATGGCGACACAAGTAAATGTTGCAATATCTGATAGATATGACATTGGTAGAGCTATAATGAAAACAAAACGAGGAGAACAGCTGACAGATAACGAAAGGGAAGCATATTTATCGAAGAGGTGGGTGCCGCAGAGAAGGGATGAATATCCATTTTCTGAAAAGAAAAAACCAAAGAATCAGCTCATGGTTGGTATGTCCTCGACAACGAAGCGTTTTCTGGATGAAAATCACTTGAAAACCTTCCCCTGGCTAGCTGTCAGCAGAGAGCCAAAATGTTGCGGTGCTTGGTGTGTTTATTGCGTTTTATTCAAGACGTGCGAGAGTGGAGGTGGAAGAGGTGCACAATACGGAGGTGGAGCAGGCCAGTCAATGGGCAAACTTGTTAACAAGCCTCTTGTAAACTTTTCAGACTTGACAGGGAAAAATGGAGCCCTCACAAGTCACCAAGAAACATCTTTTCATAAGACATGTGCCATAAAGTACACGGAGTTCTTGAGCCGTGCAACACCTGGGAGTGAGAAGGACGTTCGATCAATAATGAACATTGAAAGGCAGAAAGAGATTGAAAGAAACAGGACTGCGCTGGTTCCCATCATCGACACCCTTCTAACATGCGCCAGGCAAAATATTGCGCTTAGAGGCCATCGTGATGATGGACCAGTAGATTCAACTGGGATGGAACCCAAGCACAATGATGGAAACTTCAGGGCATTGCTGCGATTGAGAGTACGGGGAGGAGATACAAACTTGAAAGATCACTTGAAATCTTGCAAACGCAATGCTTCTTTGGTAAGCAAAACGATACAAAACCGATACAAAGCTAATTGCCTGTGCAGGAAATATTGTCAAAGAGGACATAGTAAGAGATGTAAAAAATGCAAAATTCTGGACAATAATGGCCGACGAAACCCAAGATTGTGCGAAACGAGAACAGTTGGTCATTGCAATTCGTTACGTTGACACAAAAAATGTGCCAAAAATTATCAAAGAAGAACCGGTCGCAATTTTAGACCTGATTGCAGACATAAAAAGCAGTGACCAATCAGATGAAACAGAGCACAATGAAATTAAGCTATGTGGCAAGGCAATAGGGGAGACTCTACTCCGCCATATAAGTGAGCTTGGGTTGGATTTGCAGTACCTCGTTGGTCAAGGATATGATGGTGCTGCATCGATGTCCAGTGAGCGAGTTGGTGTTTGCTCCTTTATCAAATCTGCTGCGCCACTCGCTGACTACTTCCACTGCTGCATGCACGCGCTAAATCTAAGTTGTTCTCGAGCCGCAAAGATACCAGCAATCAGACATTGCATGGATGACATCAAAGATATCAACAATTTCTTCAAGCATGCGAAAAGAAACAGCTATTTGCAAGCAGTCATAGCACGAGAATCAATTGAAGAGCTTCAGCGACGGCAGTTGGTGACCCTCTGTGAAACAAGATTTGTCGAAAGACATGAATCAGTTTTGGTTGCACGACAGCTTTTGCCTTACATCGTTGTGTGCTTGGAGGAAATGCTCGCTTGGGACTCATTAGATACAAGAAAAGATGCCAGGAGATTGTTAAAAAGTTTGCAAGACCCTCAGTTCCTTGTAGCGCTAGTATTGGCCGAGAAAGTGTCTTCTGTACTTCGCCCAGTGTCCCGTTCTTTGCAACAAATTGGTAGCGATCTTGTGAAAGCAATGTCGACGATTTCTGCGACACAGTCAAAGCTTTACACGTGGCGTAAAGGTGAAGAAAATGAGTTTGCTTCGATGTTTGAAGAGGCAATGCTTCTTGGCGAAAATATTGGAGTGACCAGAGAAGAGATGCACGCAATTCCTCGAGCAGTCAGTCAATCCAGGTTCAGATCAAATGCAGGTGAAGCCAATCAAAAAGCCATTGATTATTATCGTATCAATGTGTTTTTACCTCTTCTTGATGAAGTGGCTGGAGATATGAAAGCAAGATTTGGTCCCCATCAGCAGAAGATTGCGACGCTTACAAGAATTCTGCCTTGTTTCGTCAAAGAATCAACTTGGCAAGATATTTTGCCTGCAGCACTAAAATACGGAGTCTTTTTAGACCCCTTGTCCATTGTTGAAGGAGAGTATGAAATTTGGAAGCAGCAATGGCTGTCACGTGGAACAAGTACAGTAGCAAATACCGCTATCGGCGCTTTAGGCGACTGCCAAGGTGATGTATTTCCTAATTTGCATACATTACTCAACATTCTCACTGTGCTACCGGTGACAACAGCAGAACCCGAACGACTATTTTCTAAACTGAATAGTACCCTGACAGCAATTCGGTCAACAATGTCTGAGGAGAGATTAGAATCCCTACTTCTTCTGCAAGTTCACCGTGACAGAACACCAACGAGCGATAAACTCATTGACTCATTCGCAGCATTAAAATCAAGACGAATCCCATTAAAGCTGTAAGTAGTTAAAAGATGGACAAAATGACGTTGCTATTATATCGCAATACTCAACATTGAAACACACCACTTCTCGCGCAAAATGAGCTCGCATGTAGCTTTTCGTTTCAAAGGCAAAATCTCCGATAACGTTTTTGCTACGATATAGCTACTTCCTTTTCAAATTCTTTTCTGAATATATTGACATCAGTTGGGATCACTGATTTCCACAAAATTACTCAATCAAAGCTCTCATGTTTCTATGCTCGCAGTTAGTGTTCTCATGTAATGTAATAAGTAATTTTGGTTTGTTAGTTATATAAACAACTAGTTTCTTGTTATGCAAAAACTTTTACCTTATCAATTTACATGTTTAGTTAATGTATTTACTGTCTTTTCATTCAAAGTTTCTCGTTGTCGAATCGTTTGGGGGGGGCCATGGCCCCCCCGGCCCCCCCTGTAGATCCGCCAATGATCCTGAGGTTGCTTCGGATTTTTATTTCAAACAATCATCGCGCATGTTTTATTGCAAAATACCTTTATGTATGTATGTATACATTTCTATTTTGTCAGTTCCGTGAGTCTATTTTACTGTAAAAAGCACTTCTGAACTTTGATAATCAAAGACGCCTCAGGATGTCTTTATTTGCCGAAGAGAGACTTTTACGTAGAATGCAGTTATTTCGACCGCTTTTATAAACAGCTGTTTCAACGAATCCACCAGAAAACCAAATACGTTGAAGCAAATAGGCATCCCAATATTGATCGCTACACATATCACCCATCCGATGTTTCCTTGAAAAATGCCAAGAATGCTAGCAATTAATACCTTTCCTGGGAAGGGATGCCACAACCTTTTGCTATCTTCTAGGAATCGAATTTAATAGCAGCTGCAAGTGCCCTAGGTTTGGTTGTTTATGTTTTCTGAAACGATGAGCTAAATATTCAAAAAACGGCCGACCTCTACTTCAAGGATTTCCGTCTTTCTGCCCCAACTGTTCGTAGCTTGTTCGTGCTAAGTCGCTTATCACAAGAGAATCTCAACATGTGCAAGCGCTAGCCATGCGCGTGACCTGACATCAAAATGTCGACGTGGAGACCGGCCTTAAATGCCCCAAAGTTCCTAAATTGAATATTTGTAGAACCCCGAAGCTCCAAGTGCAATAGAGTACCGAAGTGATGACGTCATAAAAACATATTTTTAGAATTTTCCAATTTTGACTATAAAACCCGAACAAGAATTATGAAATACTCTTAATGTGCGAAATCAGTTTATTGCAAATTCAGTTAAAACATTGACTGAGATGTGGCCACATAAGCACAGGCTCTTTTCCCATCAAAACTCTGTAATTTGGTTTTGGTTCATAACTTTGTGAACCAGGCCAGAATAACAGAAATCCGTTGGCAAACTTAAAATCTTCTATTGGCCATATCTCGCCCAATTTGGAACGTATCCAGCTAATTTAGCACATTGAGAGGTATTTCATGCCGTTTTGTTCATATTATATGGTCAAAATTAATAAATTCTAAAATCATATTTTTTGATGACGTCACATTTGGTTACTCTATTGGCACTCAAGATGGAGGAAAACGTCGTGCTTGCTAAGTTTAAATTCTGTTTCTCAGCTTCTCGTCTATTCCGATGATTATCGGGTATCTACCGTGCAAAAGTATTTTGAATGCAAGATATATTTTCTCGTTGTTTTTATTTAGCTATTAATTATTTTTTTATTTTCTTCTAACTCGTTTAAGGAAGGCGTTTAAGAAATATCCAAAGTACAGCTAATTGATGCCTACTAAAATAAACAGAAAATATTTAGAATACTTTTAGAATGGGTATTTACAGGCACATTAACATATATTTAAATGTAATTAACGAGAATCGATTCAATAATCCAACTTGAAAGTATAACTCTTCAATAAAAAACTTCTTTTCTTCACAGGAAAAATGGCTGGAAGATTTGAGGTAATGATTATTGCCACTGGCATGCTCACACTAGCTTTCATAATGGCCTGTGTCTCTACTGGTTCAAACGGTTGGGTACGCTTTGAGCAGAGTGGTAAAGACCCTACTATCATATCATTATGGGCTGATCAAGGTCTTTTCGAACAATGTGTTAAAACCAGGCTTCGAGGCAGAGCTGAAGTTTCAAACTGCTACAGTGTTTCATCCACGTACAATGGGCAAACACAAGACAGTAAGTTTCGTACTTTTCTAATCATTTATACACGGCGTCTTGAGGTCTACTTTACAAGATGCTGTGTCAAACTTTACAATTAGATAAAACGAAAAGAATTAAATGCTAAGATTAAATATGAAGGAATTGAAAAGGAGGGGTAGATAGAACTAGGCTGAGAAGAGCAAGTTCCTCGCCAGCCGACACTTTTTATAAGAAGAAAAGTTATAAGAACACCGAGACTGCTCACATTTTGATACAAGATTCTCGTTCCAATTCACACCGCTAATTTGCTAATGGAAACGAGCATTTCTACTATTGACGAGGCAGTAAAGCAGCTTGATGTGCTTATTGAAGAAATAAAAGCCATCAGAGATAATTGGGATGCCATCGTGAATGAAGCAAAGATGCTTGCTTTTTGAATCGTTGCTGAATTGCTTGACATTGATTCAGTTTTTGCGTCAAGGCGAAAAATAAAGCGTAGGGATGACAACAAAAACGAATCCTGTGGATTGTCCAACGAAGACGAATTCAAAATAAACGTCCTCTATGTGGCGCTTGACTCTGTCTTGGCCGGGATTTCATTGAGATTTCGAGAAACAAAAAATATTGCCTCAACTTTCAGCTTCTTGTACGTTGTATCATACGTGGAAATGGAAGAAACTAAGTTGAGCAGCACTGTAAAAGAGTTTGCAGCCAACTATGCTACTGATGTTTCTCCGGATCTACTAGAAGAAATGATTCAACTACGACATCTCCATCGATTAAAGTTTGGAGACGTTTGTTTGAGCCCCTTAGATCTCCTTAATAAGCTGAGAAGTCTGGGATTAATGAGTCTCTTTCCAAATCTCTTCATCGCGTTGAGAAATTTTTGCTGCCTTCCAGTTACTGTTGCGAGTGCAGAAAGATCTTTCAGCAAATTCAACCTCGTAAAAAGTTTCATGAGGACAACAATGGGACAAGTCCGGCTTAATAACTTGGCTGTGCTATCACTTGAGCGAGATATTGCTCGAAAAGTAGATTTGCAAGATGTTATTAATACGTTTGCTGAAAGAAAAGCTCGCAAAGCTATACTCTCGGACAGTTACAGACATTAAAGCTTACTAGAGTGTTACCTTGCCTGTTAACCTATTCTGTTTACTTGATGGGTATTTTGTTTGTTAACGGTTATTTGATTTATTATTATGACTTCCTTGATTCAAAAATTACCATTTTGAAAAATTGAAGCTTATTGACGGGCCCCTATCTGGCGCCGGGCCCCTATCTGGCGCCGGGCCCCTATCTGGCGCCGGGCCCCTATCTGGCGCCGGGCCCCTGGGCAGTTGCCCCCCTTGCCCCCCCCCCCTCTCGCTGGGCCTGTGTGTTACAGCTTCGCCTTGATTTGCTTTAAGTTTAAATTAAACCAACGACAGTGAAGAGTCATATCAAAATTGGTCCGTTACTGAATTGTGCTGCTAAAATGCCTGCGTAGGGACTGGGTCTAATGGCAACACAGTGATGTTACCTGGAAGGTCGAGTGGGTGTAGATGAACCCACAACATTTGACGAGAGAAGCTCAAAAAAACTTGTTGGTGCTTTCCCTACCTTATTATTAATCTTCACAACTGCCGTGGCTACATCATTGCAATGTAATATATGACTGATAATTTGTGAATTTCTGACTCTTCAGTCGTCTGTTTTTAGATTGGGAAAAAGCCGTTGCAGGTCTTATGGTTACAGCAACTGTCATAATGGGGATCGCTGTTGTTCTAAGCGGATTTTTGATGTTATCAAGTGAAGGGAGATCAGGCATTCTCAGTGATGTATCTCCTGTGATTATTGGCAATATAGCAGGTATTCAGATAACATTTCTTTTGCTTGAATGAAATTTAATCTCTTTTATTTGTTAAATGTTGAGACCCGGAATATTAAAATAGATAACATACTGTAGTTAAGAAACGCTTAAACAAATAATGACTGTGGAAATTTCCCAAGCGTTAAGAATCTGCAGTCCTCAACGTTGACATTTGTTTCTTATAAAAATGAGTGAATTTATTTTTTATGACCAGTATGCTTAAATGTACATAGCACATTACTTCTTAGATTGAAAAACATTGATTACAATGCTAATGTCATTTTTAAAGCTAATTCTAATGTGTTGATCTAAAAAGCCGATGTTTTCGAAGATTTTGAAATTTTGTCCATTAAAGGTTATTGTAGTTTCAAACTAATTTCTGCAAATACCTTCCCATTGTCTTTTATCAATCTGATAGATTTTGAGTCAGTTTGCCTCTTCTGAAGGTTCTTCTAGGTAGGAATCCTTGCACCAAAAACATGTTTTTAATTGGCTCTAATTCCGCCTAAGCTGTAATTCTGAATACAGAAAACACAGTTCCTGCAAAGTTATTGTTTAAGTTTGGTTTCTGGCCTTTAAAGTTGTCCCATTTCAAAGAATTGAATTTTAGAGCCTTAAAGTTAAAAAAAACCCTCCAGATTTAAAAAACAGAATTGAAATGAGATTAAACACAAATGACAAACAATTGGAAAAGAGGAGAAAAATGATGAATGTAATAATATTTTTTCTCCCGTTTTATTAATTTTATCTTTTTTTATTTTGGCCATCTTCTTTTAAATACCAAAGCAATAAAAATACTTCGCGATGCGCTTTGGCTCATATTTGAAAATTCGATAAATATATTTCTATGACGTCATGATTTCTGCACTCTTGCGGTTTATTTTGCTAATTGCAAGTATATTCTATCAACAGCTGTGATTGCTGTCATCGCTTTGATTATCTACAACAGCAAATACGAATCAATCAGAAATAAGCTAATTGGTGTTTCGGAAAAGGAGTACGTTGACGATGAAGTTACTTTCGGCTATTCTCTCTACGTTGGTTGGCTGTCTTCGTTTATACATTTCATTAACATCTTCTTCTACTTCATCTACAAAGCCTGGGCGAAGCACACATTAGAGAAAAGAAGAAAAGGTAAAGGCCTCGTAAGAACGACGCATGCTTAATGGACTTGGATCCTAAATATATCTTTTAGGAGAAGCATGCCTTCTCCAATTTGTACTCCATCTTGGAATTCGGTGGAGAGCCGAAGTATGTTGTTGGAATGTAATATGTGACATTTGAAATAACAAACAGGACATTTTATTAATGGCTTCTTCGGAATTAGGTAACTTTCACAACATTGCATAAATGCACTTGTGTCTGCTTTGACCTCCAGTATTTGCAATTTTTTAAATTTCATTCGATAAATGTAGCTTTTCTGTCCGTGGCCATCAAACGTTTCTCAAATAATTCTTCATAAAACATCGTCAATTTAGTAGTAGATAGATTTGTAATGGGTATTCAATGGAAAAAGGAATTTATCCGAATCATTTATTGCCTAAGTGGCTTTGTTTTATTTGTTCTGAAGAGATTCAGCAGCATAAATATACGGTCAGTGCTTTTATATGGTGTTCATAAGATTATCATCGGCTCATCTTTTTTCTTCTAATGCATCCTGAAAATAGTTTTGCAGCTTTCAATTAATCTGTCTGGGCTCTGGTGAGAACCATGGGCTCTAGGAGTTCCTGTCCTACTCGCCTCGGATACTGGTCAATGCAAACTTCAAAATGTAGAAAGCATTACATTCATTTTTTGTCTTAATATACACTCAGACAATAACCAGTGCATTGAATTCCACCCTAGCTGTTCTTAAACTTTTTTGGAAAACTCGACGCTGGACTGTCCCATCATGCCCGATCGTCATTTACCGACATGTTTAAAAATTCACCAATAACGCACCCCTAATTGGGAAAAAACTCTCTGATTTCAAAATGAAATTTTCTAAAGAGGTTGATCTACATTGTTAAAAATTACATTTTACAATAGCTTAGCTTAATTTCAGCTTGTTCTTAATATTTTTCTAGCTTTTGACAAATTTGAGGCTCGAGTTCGGATTTTTCATATAAAAAAAGAGTGTAGGTCCTGATAATATCGGAGTCCGTTGCATTCCATGTGGTTTTTGCTTTAACAACTGAGTTCGGGCAGAAAAAGGCAATTTTCCCCCTTCCCATTTCCCATTCCCATAATATTAATTACTTTCTGATACAACCAGGATTTAGTGATTTGAAATACAAACAACCATTGCATTGATCAACATCAACAAGCCTTTTAAAAACTTTTCTTGCAAAAAGACAACCGTATAGATAAACTTATTTTGCCTGACAAAAACCCTTTTGTGCCAACGGACAAAGTATTCAGGGGCACGGTGCCCCTTAACCCCTTTGGCGACGCCCCTGCTAACAATGCAAGGAGATCGCAATTCATTTGGTGTGTCTTGATCTGATCCACACGAGGATCGCTCTCATCTAGAAATATATCATATCCTTTTGAGAATAACAAACAAAAGCAAAGTTCCTTGATCATTCCAACGTGTATTTCTGTTTTGCTAGCACTTGATTGCTGTTTCTTACATAATCAAGCTTTGAGTAATTGAGGAATATCATCAAATTTGCTACATGAATTGCTATATATTCCTCAAGTTGGAATGTTGTACCGCTTTTGAGGGGAAATTCTCGCCATAATCTACCATTTTCAATTCGGTGAACAGCGCTGCAGATACTTCGCCGTTCGTCTAGCGTTGGGTAAGTCGTGTGTTCTTTGTTTACTGCCTTGGGTTGAAGCCAATTAATATATTTAAGTTGAATTTGATAAGGGATGTGTTTATTTCTCTACGCAAAGCTATGTATGGACCGAGAAAGCGTACAACGGCGTACGGAACTTTTTAGCGTAATCTAAGAAAGGAACGTAACGGAACCTTGACCGAAGATGCAAACCTTCTTCTACTTGACCATAAGTAGCAGGCCTAATATGGATGCGGTGGCATGGTGATAAAAGAGCTTGGTAAATAACAAAGACAATTTTTGCCTTAAGTCTCAAAGTCAGGAATTCTTTAAAAGGCATTTGTCGTATGAGCAGTTTGCTAATAGAACAAAAGCGTTTGGAGTGGAATTCCATTGTTTCGTGACTCTTCATTTTTTAAAATTTATTTTCTACCGCCCTAAAAAATTCACCCTCGATTCCATGCTTTGTACTTGAGCAAAAGAGAGAATTGTATTGCATTAGCCAATCATGTTCACGACACATGCCCTTTAAATCTGTTTCTATCAGCTGCCATTTCTAGGTATCCCAGAATTTTTTTTATTAATGTTTATGCAATCAAAAACCGAGATACAACTTTTTGTTTGGGGGGAGCCCTGATAAATCAGTGTAACAACAGCCATATTTAACAAAATAAAAATAATTCTCTTATGTAACGTAGATTTTTTTTGGGGGGGGCAAGGCCCCCCGGCCCTCCCCGGTATCTCGGGCTATAAAGCTGTGAATAGCCGCTTGTTAAATGCTCAAGCATAATTTTTCTAAAGAGTTTTAGAGAATGGATTTTCCATTTAGAAGTAGGACTTCCAGGATTTTAAAATATGGGCGAATAATACCAGACAAACAAAATTTCCATACTTGGTTTTTAAAAAAGAGATACATAAAAACAATGCTACTTCAAGTTTCAAAGCCCATTTGGCTGGTAAGAAATCGGTTTATAGCAAGCAGCTGCCGTTGAGGTTGATTTGATGATCCAAGATTTTAAAAGAGGGTTCTTTCTCTGAGCAGTTGAGAAATGTTGGTTAAATTACGTACAAAAAGGCTTAAAATAAGTACTGTCTGATTGTGAAATAAGAATTCCTCTGTGATTTTTTCATATGCTCTGATCTTTTCCCGCCTCTCAATCAAAATGCTTTAACCTGACTTTACTCTTAGGCTATTTTTGTCCAACCCGGTTTGGTCAGAATCTTATCTTGATTATCTTCAAAGGGTACTAGATTTTGCAAGTATCTCTATTTTGTTAAACGATACTTAAGAATTCTCAATTTAGTTGCAAAAAATATGTTTGGTCAATTTATAATTTCATATGACTTGAAAGCATTTCGCAAATCTCTCGTTGCAGATAATTCCATAAAATTTATTTTGCCTTATTTCAAGTTGTGTTCAAAATGCTAATGTAACTAACGTACAAATGTTTAGTTATTTAATGAGATATCCTGGCAGATATGCTGTCCAAAATTTTGATCACATGTTGTGCTATAGGCTTCTTCTATCCTTTGATTTCTTACCTTTACCCTTCCCCTTTTTATTGAAACCCCTACCCCCTCTGATATAAAATAAGATTTTATTTGACCATGCAAGTCATATCTGAACCCATATTATAAGATCAATTTGCGTATAATGTAACTGACCAAATATAAATTTGTTTGGCAAGTCACTCAAAATTGATTAGGACTTTTTTCAATGGAGGAGCACTTCAGCCCCCATTATGAGTAATCAAGCCATTATTATAACGCGAGAGAAGGTCGTAATAGAAAAACCTTTAAAAATGCAAATTGATATCACTAGCATTTGTTGGGTTTTACCTATCTTTCTTCCACCGGGGTTTATAGTTCGATATGGACTTTGTGAATACATATGTTCAAAAAATTATTGTTTCTATCAAAAGTAAATGGTAAAACGAGAGGGGCAAAAAAAACAAAAAGAGTACAAAGCCTTTGTTTTGTAATTAATTTTTTGCGCATACATAATGTAAATATGCGGGGGGTGTGGCACCCTTCCCTAGAAAATTCTTGTCGGCAAATTTTCTAAAAGTAGAGTTTTGTCGGGTTTTGCTTTCAAAGTTCCCAAAGCAATAGCTTTAGTGAACAGCTGGGATAAGATGAGGATGTGAACTTAAAAGTATTGCCCAAAAGCCCCCAGCAATTCAAAACAGAAAAGTATAGCGCTATGGGTGTCACGGAGGGGCAAATGTCCCCCAAAAACTTCAAATGACTCCCTTTCGGCAGCCGGAGTCTAGAATCTAATGTCCAATATCAAGGGCGACCTGATTTCTACCTAACGTTTGGGGTTTAGGGAAGGTTCAAAGTTTATTGCAAAACTCTGAACGTTGATCCTGGAGGTAAGCAGGGAAACTGTAAGCAGGGAGAGGGGGCAAAGTGCCTCAGGGCCTTGAGGTCGAGGGGGCCTTAAGTAGTAATGAACTCCATTTTAAGAATGAAATCAATAAAACGTAAATATGCCTAAAAATAGTTAAAAGTTCTAAACGATTGCAAGAAATGACTGCAAGAAATATTCTGAAATGCATTTTGATGCAATCTAAAGGGCGTGGTTGCCAAAATTTTCTTCTCGCTCCGCTCGCAGGGGGACCTCGTCTTTCTGTTTTGTTTCAATGCCTTCGAAACCTAAGTATCCACAGTCACTCGAAAATTGAAGCGATAATTGACTAACATCCTCTTTGATAAACAAAATCAATTGCGTCAAAATGCCACACCCCCACATTGAAATATCTTAGGCCACACCCCATTTTGTCGGCAAATTGGTGACTGGCACCCCCCTAAGTGAAAGTGCTTAGCGACGGCCCTGTGGATCTAAAGCAAAGATGGAATCGATTTTTTTCCGTATTTTTGCAAGAAACATCAGCAACTATGTCATGGTGTCAAGCGAAAGTTGCCTATTGTTGATTGTCGCAATTTGTGAACGAAGAGTGGTGTCGGGTTGGTGACTGTGTCCAAGGAACGAAACGCCCAAAACATCTTATCCACTGCTTGAATAAATCTACAAATTCTTATAAGATAAGAACCGTATCATTAATCTCGACAAATCAGCATTACAAGAATATTCATTACACGCTTTCTATAAAGTCTATAAAGAAGCGCCAAGACATGCAAACATGTGTCACATGCCCTGTGAATATTTTCAAACCATTTCTTCAAAAACAACAGCTGCTTTTATGATTGAAATGCACTTCATCGCACCCTTGATCCATCGTATTACGGTTCAATGAATCCGCCTTAGTTTTACCTTGGAAGTAATTCTAATACTTCTAACTTCGTATCCCTGTTTCTAGAGATCAGATTCTATTCAAATGAATGGACCCTGGCTAGCAACTTGTTTGCAGCACTTCACATTTCCAGGCGTGCGGAATTCTGACCGCAATCCATGATTTGAAACAGTTGTTTTTTCTCATACAATGTAAAATTTGACTAAATGGGTGGTTTTCCTCGGACTTTCTTGACTTCGTCTTACTCTTCGTTTTCCTCTTCGTCTTTGTCTTCCTCTTCCTCTTCGTTCTCGTCCTCGTCTTCTTCTTCCTCTTCGTCTTTGTACTTGTCTTCCTCTTCGTCTTTCTCTTCGTTTTCCTCTTCCTCTTCGTCTTCCTCTTCGTTTTCCTCTTCGTCTTCGTCTTCCTCTTCGTTTTCCTCTTCGTCTTCGTCTTCCTCTTCGTTTTCCTATTCGTCTTCGTCTTCCTCTTCGTTTTCCTCTTCGTCTTCGTCTTCCTCTTCGTTTTCCTCTTCGTCTTTGTCTTCCTCTTCCTCTTAGTTCTCGTCCTCGTCTTCTTCTTCCTCTTCGTCTTCATCTTCGTCTTCCTCTTCATCTTCGTCTGTGTCTTCGTTTTCCTCTTCGTCTTTGTTTTCAACTTCGTTTTTGTCCTTGTCTTCGTCGAAATATATCGCATCTCAAGTGGTAGATAGAGCTTTTTATAGTTTTAGGCACGGGTTCACGACGTCGGATTGGTTTGTACAACGAATTAGTTTTTATTTCTGATTTCATAGTCTAAATTCACCTACATTTGCACAGTCTTGTCTTATATCGTAAAAAAGCTACAGATGTTTGACTTCAGTGGCTACGTCATCCTTTCAAGAATGAATAAAGCCTGACTTCTATGGTTTACCAAAAGTTTTACGAGGTCACCAAGTGCCCAAAAGCTGCAGGAAAATTTGCTGCAAGGTTCAACAAGAAATAATTATATAAATCCGCGAAGCAAGAAGCAAGAAAGGATAAAAACAAAGCTTCACGTTAAAAGCTATCCGAAAGAAGTTTGAATTTGTCTCAATTTCTTCTTAAGAGAAAGCTTACGAACATTTTTGGATATACAGATTGTTTGATTAGCAACTGTTTGGGCATAAACTGGGTCAAAAACACATAATGCAGGTCCGAAGGTCCTTTTTGTGGTGAAAGTAAACTCGCGAGTAGTAAGGCTGTATTTCGATAGTAATGACATGGTCCATGCTGCACCACTTCTCTGTTACTTTTATACATATAATGTATATACTAGCACTATGAATATGGTTGGTTTCATAAGCAAAAATTTGAAACTTTTATGTTTTCTTAACAGAAAATTTTGTGTATAAAACAGTTATCAAACCATAAGGGAACCATGTTTCTTGTCATTTAGAGGCGTAGGTATCACGAGGTGTGGTACCTAAACAGGTCACATTTCAGGTCACAGTTCGATAATCACAGATTCTCCAAAAAATTAATTCTGGTTGCTAGGTAGAAACAATTACACAAGGAAATGACTTTGGAAAATTAACTCTTTATGCTGGCCTGGATCTTTTGAATTTACATTTGAAAACTTGGTTCAAATTCCTCGTTATTAATTCGTCATACCTTCTGCTTTCTGTCAAAATTTCCCCCATCCCTTCAAACCTGTTTGTATCACCGTATCATCGTAAAGCTTCGATTAAGTGGTTGTTTTCAGTACTGATAGTCTTTTATACGCTTTTTTCCTTTTCAGTGACTCTCCTGTAGCTTGAGGGCGTGGTTGCGAAAAACATCTGTCCGTTACAAAAATGACTGGCTATCTGAGAAGTCAACGATTGTTACGAAAGTTTCAGACTGTTTTTGGCAAAGCAAATTTGAATTTGATATATGTTTTAGGCTGCAAGGACCATAAGGATAGAAGGCTTTATCAGTCTGTATGAGATCATAAAATTCCTTCAATTTTTGGAAGTCCGTATATACACACGTTGCGACTGTGTATTCTCACATTCTAAGTAATGGAAAACGTGGTTCGAGAAATTTATTACAAAACAGCGTAAGTTTGAAAGGCAATTTGTTTCAACAAAAAGGCATATAATCAAACAAAGTCTAGCTAATAAACTTTCCATCACCAAACATGATACAAAACGGAGTGTTGTAATTAAACACAAGATTTCTATTACACAAAACATTAAAAAATATTATCAGGGTGAAGAATCGCAATCAGAGAATAGATGAGTTTACTTGAACGACAGAGTAAAGCAAATTAGTTATTTCTTCGCGGTGTTCAAACTTCGTTTCGCATTTTTTTTTAAGAATACTAAAAAAATTTTCCAACCTCGATATTCTTAAAAATTTTGGTTTTGAACCCGAATTTATTCTGAAAGTATTCTTATTTTTCGCAAATCTGATATGGTTCAGGGGAACATCGTCCGCCCTCGAACAGAAACCATGATATTTGTAAAGATATGTCACTCATGCGATTCACTGTTCTGAACACGGCCAAAGCAATCAACTGCTGCAAAATGAGATGCTATCGAAGTCTGTGTAATATTCTCATAATATTTTTAAAAATTTCATGATTCTGAGCCAGAATATTCTTATAAACAACATTCTTATAAAAGAAGAGTTTATGGCAAGTCAGTTTTAACCCAGATCCAATCCTACTCTGACGAACCATTTTCAACAGCGGGCCTATACATATCCCAATAAATGTTGTGTGTGTTGATATTGTCGCTTTTATTTTGCTTCGTAGAGAAGTTAAAAGACAATACGGAACTAAAAAAATTAAAATTTGCAAAGTTTTTTTACACTACATTAAATATTTTCTAAAAAAACAGGCCTTTAAGAGAGCAACTAATACCACTTGTTATATAAATCTTGAGATAAATAAAAAGTTAAATTCCAATAATGTTAGTTAGATATGTTTAATGGAACCAGGAGAAGTTCATTCTGGTTTATGGAGTTTCAGCCCAACATAAATAGCTGCCAAAAATATAAATAGCTGTCTGGATTCTCGTAAACAGTTTTAAAGTTTTGAGGGAGATAAGCTAGAGCTTTACTCCTTCCGCCTTGGTACCATCTGAAATGCCAATGACCGCTGCGACCAGAGAAAAGAAACCAATGGTCCAAGCGAGCTTGAAGGCCCAGCCTAAGTCGAAGAGAGGAACGCCTTTTTGGTATGGAGACTGGAACGAGTAAACTATTAATGCCAGTATAGTGAACGTACCTGAAAAGAAAGTGAGAGAACGATTAAAGAGGTTGGGCAAATGTAACCTTCTTCTCCAAAAAATTTCCTCCAAAAAGCAGTTTCAACAATGCATTGCATCATTTATTACTCATTGAGTTATTAAAAGGAATTTCAAGCCAGTCTCTTCCCTCGCCGATCTGTAATTTGCTACACGGTTCCTGCTTGCATTTAAGATGTAGAAGCTCATTTATGTAGATGTAACAGAGTTTTCACCTATCGAATGGGAACCAAATTTTCAATGCTTTTACCAAAATTCAATGTTTAAAGGACAGCAAATTATATTGCTCGCCTTAAAAAGACTTAAGATAAAACGAGCAGTATTGTGCCTATGAACCCAAATTGTAGCAAATACCACACATTAGATGCAACAAAAAGGCATTGAATTCACAAATTCATCTGATACATTCGAAAATTTTGCTTCTTTGTCGGTGTTATAAAGTCTAGGCCGGTGCATAAAGAAAATCTATTTGTGAGATTTTATGCAATTCGTGTAAGAAAATGTGCGTATGCTACTATTCCACTCAGCAACCATTACCAACAAACCTGAGGTCATGCGCCGAAGCGATTTATCGAAAGACTTGACAACTTATTGGTCGACTAGGAAAGGACTGGGCACCACCCTATTCCCAGGACTCGATCACTCCAACAGTCAGGACTTTTATGAAATTTGAGCGTTAGCCCCCCTCTAAATAACCCCCACTGCGTCTCTTTATCACTGAACAAACAAGGAATTGTCTGAATTTGCAGTTTTTCACTTAAAGAAACTAATCTGGGCTTTGTATATTTAAGTATTACTTTGATCAAATAAGATGCATAGGTAAACCCAGAGTTACTTACCAACAGCGAACTCGCCAGTTCCCGCCAGCCAAAACCTGAAATTCCTCGTTTCGGCAAGAACTAACCCCACAAATGTCAGAATATGGGACAGTAAACCCAGAAGCATGCAAGCTTGGGCTGCGCGAAACCAGTCTAGAAAGAAAAAAAAATTAAATTATAGAGAGCTTTAGTGACGAGGTACCCTGGGTTCCAGAGCGTCAAGTGTCTTCCTCTCTTCTCTCCTCCTCTGCACTCTCCCGCAAACCCCCTATTTCCTCGACGCCCTATTTCCTCGACGCCCTATTTCCTCGACACTGACGCTCTGGAAACCAGGGTAGTGACGAGGTTGCCACAAACAGATGTCGGGACCAGAGACACTAGAGGCACCCACCCACATCTTTAAAAAAGTACAGCTTTTTGGACGTTTCTTTCTCTATAATTTTTGGAAAAGTGTCCTCCTTTAAAAGCGACCGTTCTTATCTGTAGCCCTTAAAATTTTAAACATTTTTGGGGTCTTTCCTGCAACAACGTCTCTTTTTGGTGATTTCAGCATCCAAACAATTACATCTGCTAGCAAAATCTCAAATTGTTAAGAAAGATTCCTCTTTAGCTGTGTGCTGTTAGGACTATACTTTAAGGATCTGAAAAAGTTAGCGAGTGCCCCCGCATTTCATAGCCTGCCTGCAGACTCCAGGGCTCTCACTATCGGGGGGGGGGGCAGGGTGGCAATGCCCCCACATTTTTGCGAAGCAATTAGTTTTAAAGCTGCAATGAAAAGGGAAAGAAGCCTTGGCCCCCTAATTTTGCTAGCCTTGCCCCCCTCCCCCACTTCCAAATTCGTGGCAAGGGCCTTGGACTCCACTGTTTCCTTTTTTCTACCTTTGCGTTGAGTTGAATTATAAGTTCATTGTTGGGCATCTACTGGGAGCCCAACATTGAATTCTTAATTCAACTCAACGCAAAGGTACGAAAAAGGAAACAACAAACTGTCTGAGTCTGCACGCAGGCTGCTTTTAAGGTTTCTCCTGTTGCTAAAAGGTCAACATTTCTGCTGAACACGTGACAATGGCTTATTCTATAAAAGTACGAAGCCAGAAAGACCTTCAGGGCATAGCTCAGAAATGATAGCCTGAACCAAGTAAATTAGAACAATAATAAATGGGAAAATCAGAGAAGAGATGAGGGTAGGGTGGTAAATGCCCCAAAACCGAATCACTTTTCTAAAAACAGCGTACGAGATTTTTTATAACAATACTTGTTTTCGAAAGACTGTGATCTGCCTGGCTGATCTTATGAAAGTTTCATGATCGTAACCTGCTTATATTTTGTAAATAAAGCTTCTGAAATATGCAAAATGGACTCTTGCGAAGAAGTCCTAATGATAAGAACGGCGTGGGTCCAGAATACAAAAACTATTACTTTCATTTTTGTTTCTTTTCAATTTGCCTTTGTTTTCAATTTCAATTGGGGTTTTTTGCCGTATACTAAAACCTTATCTCTTATAAAGTATAACATTTCTTCGAAAAATTTTTTCAGTTGTTGTGGTGTTGGTGTCAAATCTTTTGTTTCCGAAGATTTACTTTCAACTGGACTCTAAAAATAAACGTTTAAAAAAAGACCTATCTGTCTTAAAAAACGAAAGAGCAGAAAATGAAAACTGGCAAGATCCCTGACTTTTCTCAAAGTGATATAGGGCCTAGCTCACTTTGATCAAAGTGATCTAGCTGCGTCCACTTCAGGTTAATTTGATTTGGTTCTATGAAATTTAATCAGATTTGATGTTGGACCTGAAAGTGGAGGCTCTTCACTCCGAGCCCCCTTTTGGAACAGTCCTTGAACCGTGCACAAGATTTCATCAATGAAGGGACGGAAATTGTGGGGGTGTGAAGGGTAAGAGCCCCTGCATTTGCTTAATTGTCTGTTCAAACATAGTTTTTAGCCCTGTTATCGGTAATTTATTGATTTGTCGGTAAATTTGCCTGTTTTTGGAGGTTTCAACACCCCCCCCCCCCAGCTGAAAGATGAATTTTCACTTCTGCATCAAAACAAAACAAGATTCCATTGAGTGATTTTCCGCTAGCAATTCTCAGCCCGGCCTGGATTAATCAAAGAAGAAACGTTGCGGAAATGCTGTCGGTGTGTGTATTTGAAATACATATCTAGAACAGAGTAAGAGAGAGAGTAAAGATAAACGGAAAGAAACAGAATATGTCCTTTTCAAGGTATACTCACGAAGGCAACTGGAATTATCGTCGGTTAGTGCGCCACAAACGTTGTCATTCTTGATATCGGGTGAGAATAACCCGTAGCTCGCTCCTCTGTACGTCGACCATCCTTTTGCAAATGTACATATCAGTGAAAACAGTAGCGAAAGAAAACTTAAAAGGATGAACGCAATCCTCTTTCTGTCTAGGTACAGATTCATCTTGAACAGCGATTCATTCACACGACGTGCTTTCCCTTCAAAACAACGATATCAGCAAGCCTGCAAAGTCTTTGAGATTTCGTAAATGGGATAACCCAATTGTTTTCAAGTCATTGGTTATTCACGGTTACCTGCAGCCGGCTTTAGGCCTCTTTTGTTATGGTATAAAATTACTTATTGTACGTTTCGATAATTATAATAGAATGAATAAATTCTCGAATGGCATTGTTAGAATTACGGGCAAGAGCTTGCATTTTTTATATGGTTTTATTATCCATAAAAACAATCTTTTGCAGCTGCTAACAATATGTGATACTTGGAGCGTGAAACCGAGACCAACATGTGCTGAATAAACAAAGATTTGACCGACAGCCGGAAAGATGATGTAAGTGGATGGTATAAAGAAAATTGAGAGAGCATTTTGAAAGTATGGCTAAAGGAAAGCGCACTGTAATTTTACCATTTGTCGAATTCTAAAAATCTTGCTTTATCATCATGAATATAAAGATTTAATATAAAAGGGGGAAAAGCAAAAAAACCATCCATTGCAAAGAGAATTTATTTTGTAACTATAAATATATATACAGTATCAAGTCAACAAAAGTTTTATAGTTCTCACACCAATAGCCAACTCACTCTGTATAATTGGCCGAGATTGCTTGATGGCTTGGGTCTTCTTAATGTTTTCCTAATTTCAGTATTGGTTTTCTATATTTACTATAAAATTTGCTCCTTTTGTCAGCATGAGTGTAAATTGTCCTTAAAAATATTTCTTTTTTCTGTTGTAATTTTTCATCTCATTTGGTCAGGCACAGCGCAACCATTGGGCTAGCAGAGACTATAGCCCCGAACCCCTGCTTTTTGCAATAAAAGGTAAGAAATTTTTTTTGAAAGTTTACGCTAACGAAACTTCATGAAACGAAACGTTTATGAAATTCAGTGGAAATACGCAAGTATTTTCTAAAAAGGGCGTCATCCGGAATTTTAGAGAGGGTTGCCTCCAAATTTTTCGATCGTATCTGTTTCAACCTCCCCCCCCCTCCACCTTCAGATTTGTACGTGATGCCTGATGATGGTAATGTTCTTACAATGCTCTTAGCGAGGCAACATCAAAGAATAATGCAATTTTGTGGCCACGCGGTTGTTTTCATACAATATGGAATTATTCTGAAATTTAATGTAATGAAGAATATTCACAATTTAGTATTTTGAATATACTCAGCCTCCAAATAACAATAATATTTTCAAATATCATTTTCTTTTCATTTTTTAAGAAATCTGAAATATATCCTCTACTTACAGTCAATTTTTGGAAATGTAAGTAGGTTTAGTATTTCGACCTTCATCCAGCCAAAGTCAGACAGGAAAAAGAACATGGGTTTTAGAGAAAAAACATTTTAATACCGAAATAATCTAAATTTCAACCAAGGTCACATGTTTTACAACTGTCTGAAGCAAAAACGAATTTTTATAATCAGAGTAAAATGCAAATGAATAAAATTTTATTGAGTAAGAGTAGAAATCAGAATACAGCAAGAAGTTTTTAAATATCAATAAACTGAAGAACAGTGGACATACCAACCTATTCTATAGCAGCAAATGTAAATATCACCTAAACCAAAGTGTAACGATATTATAATTAGCAAATAAATTTAGACCCCGTTTACACTAGCACGGATCCAAATGGATCCGTACCCAAACTAGCACAGATAGGCCTCCCGTTTACACTAGACCTGTGGATCCGTACCCATTTGGGTCTGCTATCTGGACCCATTTGGGATCGCTTTCCAAGGTGTACTCATTTGGATCCGTGCTCGTTTAGGTCTAGTGTAAGACCCCGTTTACACTAGCACGGATCCAAATGGATCCGTACCCATTTGGATCCGTTCTAGTGTGAACGGAGTCTTAGTACCAGAATGAAATATAATAGTTTGATTGTTAAAAACACGACGTACTCGTTATCAAGTGGCTAGAAAAGAAACAAGCTAAGCAAAGAGTAGGCGAGATTCGATATATAGAAAAGAATGCGAAATACGACGCAACCGAAAAAAAAACAGAATAAAGGGAATGGGGGGAAAGTAAGGAGAGTAAGAGAAGAGAAGGAAATAGATATAAAAAGAAATTATTGAAGGAAATTAAAACGTTTATTAAACGGAAATTAAAAATTAAACATTTCTCCAAAGTCTTCCGTTTGGTGGCGTCTTGCGGTGCATGCAATAAGCCAAGGATGGACATGTCGCCAGTAGAATGCTTGGAGGAGTTAAAATGTTTAGATATGTTGTTTCATCTCATTAAAATGTAAAAACGTTTAGATACATCCAGCAACATCTCTTCCCTTGGCTGATCTTCAACAATTTGTTAACCAATAATTTTCATGCTCGCTCGAAACGTCGTGTTTTTAACATTCAAACTATTATATTTTCATTCTGGTACTAAATTTATTTGCTAACTATATTATCGTTATTCTGGAGGAATTACCACACGCAACGTACATATTTAATTGGATAAACCAAAGTGTCTTTTGTTAGAGGGCTAGTGGAGCATTTTCAATCAGTGAATACCGGATGGAAGGTTTTGCTACTTTTTTGAAGGTCCAATTTTAAAGGCTTATTTTCAATGTCATTTCAACAACAGTTGTAAATATCAACTAACCTTCTTTTACATCAGAAAGAAATTACAATATACATCCATTAGGAATGGATGTTTATATTATAGTACTAAAAGGCAGGGTTGAAACTTCTATTGTTCTAAGTGGTCCTGTTCTTGGGGGGGGGGGGGCTCCTGTTTCTCTATGAATAATTTTGAAAATCTTTGTTTCCAACGAACCATTCTTTTTGCTCTTTGCTCTCAAATAATGGTGCCCTACCAGTTTTGCTATTTTTCTACCAGAGTAAAACTAAGATCAATCCTGTGTGATTCTTTTTCTCAAACTTCAATAAAAATGCTTTATTACCGGCATGGGCGCCGAATCTATTGAAAAATTAAGAGTTGTTGTTGTTATGTAGTAAACGTTATGTTATGTAGAACACGCAAAAACATGTAAAGTAGTATCTGGCTCATTAGAATAGAGAAAACCCTCTTTGGTTGTCCTCGTTTCCGCTTGCCGTAAAACTAAAACTGAAACTCTGGTTGCTTTGCGCTTGATTTTCTTGGCCAATAGAACAATTTGAGAATAAAGAGAATCCACTGGAATCACCTGCTTCTGTCCCTTGTTTTTCTAGTTAATACGAATGAAAAATAGGTTAATTCTTACACAACACAATTAAAGATGAAATTTGTTCAAAAAATGTTGTTTTGTCTTGTTTCGTTATAGGTTATCCAATAAACAGAATAACTACCATTTACAGATCTCTTATCCATGAACACGTAATTCCGCCCCAATCAGAGCCTTGTACAAATAACCGTACTTCCCCATAGAACCATTCTCTTCCACAGAATAATTTTACTGTATAGTATCCAAAAGCCTTTTGGTCCAGAGTACATTTTATAAAAAACCATGTGATTGAAGGAATGTATGTCTTTCAATTGATAAGATAAAGAATTTTGGAAAGATTAAACTTTCCTTTTGTACAGGGAGTTGTAGCTAGTTACAAATTGATAAAATAATAAGCAAACTGCAAATGGTACAATACCTTCTGAGGCACTGGGCCATTGAAACGGGACTGGTTGGCTGTTGCCTACATTTTCATCTCTCTAGAAAGGAATATTCATTGAATTGCATAACCTCGAGTATTATCACTGTTGAATTCCACTTCATATGCATTCTACCAAAGGCAACTACCAAAGGCAACAAATGCATTCTAGCAACTTTATTGAAAGCTTTGAACTATTAATCTTTAGAATCTGATTTTAAATCTGTTCTAAAGACAAAATGGAGTTGAAGAAGATTTTGAAAGTAACTCAATATTGTTTGAATTTTTGAATTTGACAGTTTGTGGAGACTAGTCTTTACTGCTAGGTATTGTGTACTTACCTTTGAAGCATCGCCTTTTTATTCATTTTTGTTTTTCATAAAAGTTTCTCTAGGTCGACACCAAAAACGATTATTTTTGATGTAAAGAATGAATGAATAGTTTGAACTTTCAGTGTAAAGAATGTGTTTAGTTGCATACCATATCAGGACTCTGTTGCTCATTGCACGAATTTCCAAACGAGAAAATGGAGCCACTGTTGAGAAAGGAATCCGAGGCTAGGAAATTACCAAATTCTGATCTTCTTGGATTTTCTGGCTGGCTCTAAAATAAGCACAAAAGAAAATTACCATCTTTCTTTCAGATCCTTTACACTTGTAGACACAATGGAAACTCAAAGATGAAAACTTCTGTGATGTGCAGAATCAAACTGGAAAATAATCATATTTTGTTTAAACATATCCCAGACTACATTTAAAAATGACAAGTAAGAAGTTATAAACGAACAACAAATCATGGCGGTCTTTGATCATCACAATACAGTCTGTTCTTGCTCTATATGTTTTGACTATCCAAATGACAAGGCCATCAAAACAGCACCGAAAAAACTCTCTATCAAACAGATGCTTATTCACAATAATACAAATTCATAAGTTTTAAAATTCATTTACCAGTCGCTGTTTACATACTGTATAACAAGCAGGAAGATATTCCTTCTTAGTATATTCCTTAAGTTTAATTTATTTTGAAAATTTTATCTCGTGACATTGGATTCTCGTCGTCGCATGCTTTATTCCTGTATATCTTTCGTAACAACACTCATTGCAAGATTCACAGAATCCGGCGGACAGCCTATCCTGCGGTTCTTCCTTCTTACACACAGGAAGATATTGCTGGACCTTTCAACTAAGTAATCTATTGTCAAAGTACCTTAAAAGCACATCATAAGGATATGTTTATAAAGAGACTAACCATGTTTGCGTCACTTTCTTCAGAAACTGTTTGATAAAACATTGGCCTGCTGTTCATAATAAACCCATCACCAGGTGACTTTGTAAACTTCTTCATGTTTTCTTCGTGAAGATCAATGCTCAGATGAAAGGGAGAGCTGAACTCTTTCTGCATCTCAGAAAAATTCTTTGAAGCAGAGTCCCCAGTTCGCGAGGCAACATCTAAATCACTTTCCTTTGACTGTTGATCTGTCTGCCTTGCAGCTGTAAACAATTACAAAGCCTCATGAAAATGATAAATGAAATTTTCATAAAGATGCATTCTGATCCGTTTAGTAATATTTCAATCTTAGTTTCTCCTTAAAATGCACAGTTTTTTGGTTTATAATTATAATTGACATATTTTGTAATACTTGTTGCTATAGATACAACAACTTAACAAGTATAGTACAGTTTAACAAATATTCTGGCTTCAGTAGTACATACTGAAATCATCACAATCGTAGACAAAATTGTCCTTCTATTATAACCCTGTTTTCTTTTAATGTTCTGCTGTATCCATCCTTAGACAATCCAAGGTACCCTGAAACTGATGTTGTTCTACAACTGTTCATAATTTGGTTATCATGCATTTAGACAGGGAAACAACGATCAAAGAGAAACAGGCGAAAAGTTACACAGTAGGTTACAAAAACCTACTTGGGATACACTCTGTGTCGGTTGTATCGAATGGCTCATTCAAATGGACTTCATCAACTTCTTTCAGACTTTCAAGAGACTTTCTTCCAACACTGGGTCCTGGTGATATGTTAGCAGCTTGAGGGTCACTTTCCAAATCTAGATGACTTCTGTCTTTTAATGGGGACAGACTAAGACCAGTTGGACTCCTTTGCTGTGCCACTGGTTTTCTAGGGTAAGGCAAATTGTTCCTTTTTGAACCAGGAGAACCTTTAGTTGGCGCTTTCATCAGGCATCTGTCACTTATAAGTGGTGCTTTTTCCTCTATTTGTGCAATTGATTTTGTATGAAGATTATCACCTGCTTTGGGAAGATTTAACGACATGGTAGGAATTCTGAGAGATGTTAATTTATCGTCTAGCAGCGAAGAGCTCTTTCGCACTGGCATCTGCAAGCTGAAAGGCTGCATCTTTGGAAATGCAATATCTGGCTGGCACTCCTGATCTGCATTGACCTCTAAAACAGAGCAGGTGAAAAGAACTTAATGACTTAAAGGGAATCTTCTTAGGAACTTCGGCAGTGGGGTAATTTTGGCCTTTGACAAAGAGAGGTCCCAGGCCTGGAGGGGCAATTGCCTCCTTAGTTAGTATGTTAGAAAGGATCTTGTGGGCAAAATATTTGATATGGTATGGCAGTATATACTCGTTTCTGCTTACCTTTTCCCATGTTAGTCTTGCTTGGCATTAATATCCTAGGCATTGGTGGCATCTGTGGCATCTTTATGTTCATGAATCGATTACCTTTATAATTCCCTGACTCTGAGCTTGACCTAATATTCAAAAAGGTCTCGTGTGGCTGTTGCTTATGAATGTCTCTGGAATCATGTGTCACATGACCAACATTCTGATCCTTAAGGGCTATTTCTCTAGGAGATTGGTTGGATAACGTCTGCATAGTGGCCGATTCACTGCTGCAAGTAACATCACTGGGTTGTGTTGTCTCTGGTTCAAAGACAAATGTTTCACAATCATTGTCAAAATGTATAGCAACTATGCACATTTGTCTGTTATGTTAGGGAGGGACCCTTACATGGGGGGAAAGAGATAGGCTAATAATAAAGTGAGTTGAGTGTAAGCTTTTTAATTTTGTTTTGAAAGAAGACAGGCTGGAAAACTCTGTAAATCTTTTTGCATCGGACTTCATTAAAAGGAAGGACTTCATTTTGATATATTTTCACCCTGTTGAACTTCCTTATCAATGTCAGGAATAAAATATAGGGAGGGAAATGGCTTTACCAGAGAAAATAACCCATAATTAAGAGCAAGAGTCAAATCTATTTGGCACCGTTTTTATACTTTAATATGGATTTTTCTGAAAAAGAATAATCAACTGTGAAGACAGTCATGGATGTGCTATATTTCTGCTGTGTGTACTAAAAAGAATAGTTTTAAATATGAAAAGTATATTGTTACAAGTGTCATACTTTGGTGTGATTCTAATTGTTTCTGCAAAGCCACATTAACCCTGTTTTGCAGTTCCATCTCTTCGTTAGAAATTGCCTCTAGTTGTATTTTGTTTGTTTCAACAAGAGACTGATACTTTGATGATTCCATTTTGACTTTAGCCCTGCATTCTGTTAAGTTAGCTTCAGTTTAAAGTAGTAGCAAGTAGCAGAACACAAAGGAAAAAACCTGTGTTTATTCTTTCTAACCAAGTTAATTATTGTGATCTTGCCAATGATGTGAATCTGACAAAATTGCCTTATTGTGGTACGTAGGTAGCTTGCACGCTCAATTTGCAAGTGTTAAAAGACAGGTGGAAATGTAACAAAGATGGAAATGTTTGGAAAAACTTCGGTAGAGACAAGGTTCGGCATGAATGAAATTTGATAAAAAGAGACAATTGCATTGGTTTTAATGCTTTGTTTGCTATGAAGAAAGAGTTTTGTATGACTGATCGATTTTTTCACAGTCTGTAAGCTATTTTAAAAAGGTTAGATATCTAAATCGAGGATGCAGTCAGTGGCGGACACTTGGTCAAATATTGGGGGGGCAGGCCTATTGTTTTAATAAGATGACGTCACATTTCCTATTGTTTTAGAACAAAAGACCATTGTTCTCTAAAGTATTGGGGGGGGGGCGGTCGCCCCCCCTCGCCCCCCCAAGTGTCCGCCACTGGATGCAGTGGAAATAAGGATTTTGATACAGACTGTAGACATTTGAATCGAGGAAAAACTTTGCAGATATTTCAATGTTACGAAAGGATACATTGCCAATATCATTTCAGCAATTCTTTTTCTGCCGTTTTTCTTGGAATCTAAAGCAAAGGCAAAAAGAGCATAATAATTATTGTGCAATCAGAATGTATGCAAGACGTAACGTTGAACTTAAACTGCAAGCAACATTAAATAAAGAATAAACAGTATTTTAAGAAAAAAAAATGGTCCCGAACTTAGGACACTACTGCACTTAGGTAGAGCAACTGAAATTTTGGACAATCCAATTTTCAATCGTGTGTAGCAAAACCTTGTGTGGGGTTTAAATAGAAAGAACATTTCAAGCAATATTGTACAAATATCACTGATACCATGGGCTCCAAAAAAGGTGGGAAAATGGGAGGTGGGGCAAGAAAAGGTTTAGTACCTACAACAAAAGATTTTGCAAAAAAGCGCTATTTTTTGCAAAAAAGTTGGGGAGACATGGCTCTCGGCCCCCCTTCGTTGGAGGCCCTGGATACTTAGCCAATAATTATACCTGTCAAATATGACAACTAATCTTAGCCAATAATTATTTCTTGACTTTCAATCTTATCTCCATAATAAATGTTTTTAATGCTTTCTAATTTTTTCTCGACCAAAATTATTTCTTTATTTTTGGATAACACTTAAATTTTGAATATAAATTTGAAGATTTTAGCTAATTATTTAAAAACTGTCTAATGGATAAACGTTAATGATAACATCAGCCCTACGAAACTTAAATTAGACGACGATATGACAAGAAGACCGCAAAACGTACACAAAGATTACAATATTTCTATATTCTGTTTTCTGTTCTCAGGGAAAAGTATAATTAATTTTTCTTGTATGTTACAGATAAGTATTCAAATAGTATTTGTTGGAATTGAAAGCAAATATGTTAAGATATAATTATTACGTATACTTGTGCTATAATACAGTATCTATAGGCATTTATAATAAACTTTAGTGTAGTACTAACCTCTTTTATTTATTTCTTCATCAATGCTCATTTTCATATCTTTAATTCTTGCAGATATTTTGCGCACTATTGAATATGTAGCATGCATTATAAAAACTGTTGTGACAATGTCGGTAAATTTTAGCTGGTGCAAAAATTTTCTTGTTTGTCAGTAAAATCATTTATCGGTAGGTGAAAAAATAGCACCTAAATTTCTCTTTATCTATGACTTCTTTGGTAAATTTTACTACTCATGACCCTCCACCCTCCTAGTCTGGAAGGTCAAGCTACGCCACTTGCTAGCATTTCTTGTAATTCTTTAGAAGCAATGTCATAATAAATTAGTAGAATTTATCTTGTAATACTGCGATGTAGAGTGCTTCTAATAACTAAGCATTCATTGATACTTTCATTGATACGGAAACAGGCAGCCAATGTTCATGTTAATATGTTCTATTTACAGATGTAACCAGCAGAGACTTGTCCAGACAACAACTAGTATTGGTGATATTAAAAGAGTAAGAATTATCTTATTTCGGCACTGTCAAATAACCAAACATTGTCGCGAAAGCTGTGTTTTTAAATGTTCTGAAACCATTTTGTTTATTCTAAGATGAAACTCACTTTCACGATCAATGTCTTCTGCGCTTTTTCTTGTTTGCAAAACTTCCTTTGCAATTTCTTGGCTTTCCCACATCTTTTGATAAATTTGCCACTTTGCTGTGTAATTTTCCAGCTCTTTTCTTTGTTTATTGCTAAGTATGGCAATCGAAAATTAATTCTTTATACCTAAATGACTTATACCACAATGTCACTCAGTTAGAATTGTTCATCAGATAACATCGGATATTCCTATTGTCAAAAGAAGGCTAACTTTCTCTGCCATTATTACGACTTGATGCAAAAAAGGAAATTTAAATATTCAAATATATACTTTCTAATGTATATCTGATGACCAAATCTAACCTTGCTCGCATGTAGAAATAAAGAATCTGAGAGGAGTAATTTTCAGTGCAAATTCAGAAGATTCTAAGAAATCTATTAAAAAATGATGCTTTAGAAGAATAAACACAAAATCACAAAAATTGTGTGTTCGTTTATTCATTTTTTCTTTTTCTTCTATCTTTGCTTATTCTCTGCTATATCTTAGCTTCATTTTGGCAGAACGTTTTATGTATCGGCCAATACTGTTTTCGTATTATTTAGAAGACAAATTTGGTATGAAGAAATGCAAGGTAAAAATGCCTATTTTCTTATTTCCATAAATTTCCATTGAACAAAGGAAATTTGTGATTTCACTTTTCTGAAACACAACAATAGACACCAAGAAGTGAAAGTCTTTATTGTCTAAAAATTACGAAGCGCCTATTTCTAATGTCCCCGTCTTTTTAGCGTCTTTCGATTCAACAAGCAGGAACAGAACTTTTGCTTAAATAAAATCTTTACCATCAAAAGGTAAGAATATTTGTGCTCTTCGATTGTTTAGAAGGTCGGAAGGTTTGCTCCTTCAAAGTCTCATATAAAGATTTGTTTATTTTTTAAAAAAAATGGTATTTAACGTGTAAGTCATGATCTTCACGCATTTGGATCAACTGTGACATTTTTAAAATGCAATTGTTTTACATAGCAAAAGCAAATAACATTAGAACATTACCTTTGTTCTTCATTTTTCTTGGAGATCTCTTCTAACTCTTTTTGTAGCAAGCCAATATGACTTTCAATAGGATACGAAGACTTTCGAAAGCTATAGTATAAAATTGCTAAAAATTGCAAAAACTATTGGGAAGAAAGCATTATGCAGCGTTTTACTTTTAAGTTACCCATGAAATTCTTAACGATTTAGGTTACCCATGAATTTCTTTGTTTGGAATTATAATTTCTAATGCTCTAAGAGTGATACTTACAATTTCAAAATAAGTTCTAGCCCCATCTAGTGCATTGTATCCAAATATCTCGAGGGTCTTATCAGGATACATTTTATTAGGTACAACCCTAAACTGTTTTATTCAAAAGGAACTTTTAAGTTCTAGCTCCACCAGTTTAAAAAATTGAGCGTTGCAGAATTGACCACATCCAAATTATTCAAAAATTGAGGGCATGGCATGACCACGGCTATTTGGCTATGTACGCCACAGTTCGAGACATATATAACAGTTATAATATAACATGACTTTTCAAACATTGTAGCATTTATGTTTTTCTGAGATCTCTCTATCTTAAAACTATTATATTTTCATTGAGGTATCTATCTCAATCAGATAAATGAACAGTTATTTAGATGAAAAAAGATATTTGGCTTGATGACTTATGACGTGTTGCTCAGTACACCAAAGCATGAAGCACTATATGATAGAGTGGTAAGAAGTAATTTTGATTGATCAATTTCTAAAATTTTTACCTGTCAGCAACTTCTTTATTCTGTTTAATCTGAGAGGTCAGTGTCTCTGTTTCTTCTTGCAGTTTACAAATCGTCTTCTCCAAACTTGCAACAGCATCGTTCTGGGCTATGATCTTCGCATCAAGATCTGAAAAATATCAAAACCCAAATGAGCTTGAATTTTTTCTTGATTAAAAATATTCAACCGTTTTTGTTCAGGAGCACAAAGTCTTAGTTTGCCACAGGTTTGGACAATTCAGAATAAACATTGCCATTGCCACGTACTCAGTGCAACTCGTATGCCCTATGGGGTGATCACTTAGGCAGGCAGTTACCACGTACATTATCCTCTACATTATCAAGATCGTTGTGAAAGACAGCTAGTCCCATAGAACACAAGAAAGATGCTATTCTCTTTTCTTGAGTGGAAGATCTGGTTTTCCTTCGAAGTAATAGGTTTGAAAGTAAGTGGCAAACGGACTGGCTAACATGCCAACCTTACCATTTAATCTATACACAGCAGATAGGGACGGACAAAAGATCCAAGAGTTCATGGTTAAAGTCCCTGGCATGACCAAACTTTTACCTGGAGTGAGACGAATCGCCAGCTCTCTGCAATTCCAGGTGTACAAATCATGAGATGTGGCCTTATCGAGAAAAAGGACAAGCACACTGCCCGAAATGCATAGCTTCTCGGTGTCTTAAAAACTACCTTCGGGTGCTAGTTAGGAACAAATACAAAGATATACACGAATGAAAGCATTTCATATAAAAATTGAATAAAACGCAGATCGAGATTTTGAGAAAAAGTTGATTTAAATGATGAGTTACTAACCAGCTATAATTTGCCTTTCTTCCTCTGTTTGACTTAGCAGCTTTGAATTTTCATACTCTGAAATTAGTCAGGCAACAAGAGGTCAGCTTAGTATGAACATTTCTAGCACTTGATCTGAAAGTATGTATTACTATTCTCACTTATAGATATATTTACTATTTTACTTTTATAGCAAACCATTGCAAGCGATTGTTTCAAATAAATTTTAATTTGCCTTCAATGTTACGAAATAGCAGAAACATTAAGCCGTATGGAAGTATACTTTCTTAAACTGTAAATTTTGAAGCCTTAGAAAAAATAGATAAATTTTTGATTTGCTTGATTTATTTTCTTATCTTGTTTAAAGTTTTAATTAACATCTGAGATTAATGCAGGTCAATTCTATTTCCACTAGTTTTGTTTCAGTTTGCCCCTAGTCATAAAACTTTACCAACCAACTGCTGTTTTCTAGCAATCTTTTCTCATAATAATCTTGAAACTTTTTTCTTGTTTTCAAATTCATCATTCTGCATAAGAATTGCAGCATGAGAGCATACATTACCGGTGTCTTTTATAAGTTTTTCCAAACCAGAAATCGATGATACGTCCATTGTTCTTTGCAGCATTTATCAGTTCTATCAAGAAAAGAAAAAAAGCATGAATGCCGATAAAAGACGAAGCAATTTTTACAAGTTATAAGCTAGTCGACTTTTGAATTGTGAAGCAACGTCTTTTTGATAGTCTAAAAATAAAAGGTCCGAGACATTTCCATGCTTTAATTCAATGTAAAAAATTTGAAAAGGAAAATTTCATATTTTTCATCCTTAGATGCATATTTACATTGACTTAATAACCAAAATAAATCGAATTCTTAATGCTTAGCCGATTTTTAGTTCAAGTATCGTTGATTTTTTAAATTGGTAAGAGATGCTGCTCGTACGCTCAAACTACAGGATCTGAAGTTGAAGCACTTCCCAATCGCTAATTTGGGAAGTGCTTCAACTTCAGATCTTGTAGTTTGACGATAAAGACGGAAAACCGTAATTACGTTTTTACTCCTAAACATAAATTAGGAAGAAATAACATTGCTGACAGACTTGAAAAATTTCAAAGATTAAAACGACGACTTACGAAATATTTCCTTAATCGAGTCTCACAGATGTTTCATGTTTTAACAGATGTTTTAACGAGATGTTGATTTCTGCTTTAGTAAACATTGTATTCGTCATTTTAGTTTTCCCGCCAGTAACTTGAAATCGAGACAGCCTTCTCTGAAATAGAGGCCTTAGAAGCATAGGTTCCAAATCTTTGATTGGCTAAGAGTTCTGATTACATTCAAATTCTCCATAGCCCTTTAGCCAATCAGAATTCAAGAATACGACAACAAACGTGCCTCGCAGCTAGATTTAGGCCTATTTTGGACGTTTTTACCACTACCCACAAAAAAATAAACGTGTAAAATTTGTTGCAAGATAACCTAAATTTTTTTTTAAAAATTTAGTCTTTGGTAAATTTAGAAAAAAACTGCCGTTGTACTCAGTTAAAAATTTTCCGCGATCGTCAGTTACGAAGGCTTGAAGTTAGCAGTTCACCATCCCCCCAATGACAGCGAAAGAAGTTTGAAAATTCACACTGCTTGAATGTTAAAATCTATTTTATCTACGTAATCAACAAATTAGAACTCACCATAACAAATACATGGCAATATCTTTGCATATCGGCATGAATGTCTATGAAACTTACGTGGAAAAACGCTACATTTTACCAAAACAATATGCAGCTCTTCTATCTCGTAAAATCGTATTAGCATCAGCATCTCAACTAATGTAATCCGCTTAAACTTATTTTCAACTTCTTCATAATTACTTTTTGCACTCAGTTACTTCATATATTTCTTTTAAATACTTGTAAAACCAACGAGAAACTCATGTCCACTGCCAGTCCACTGCTGAAAAGGCTATCGCAATGCAGAAGCTGACGCGATTTGTAATGATAAAAAGGGCGGGAAAATCAAACATACGTCACTTGCGAAAATTTTTTTGTTGTGGCTGGAAAATTTTCGTTATACTCGCATGTAATTAAAATGGGAAAATTTTCAAAAAATTGCGCAAATGAAAGACACGACGTTTGGAGAAGTATGTCTCCATTAATGGTTAATTTAAAAGCAAGAGTCGGCACTTCTAACCCTTTTTTCAAAGCTTTCAAGCAAAAGGATTCGAAGAGGGCAAAATATCACATCTGTACAGACTGTCTCAAAAAATGTTGGAAGAAACGCGAATTCACTTCTACTTTGCCAGAGAGATACGAGAATCTCCCGTCATATGCAACAGTAAGTATTCAAATAACAAGAATATCAATTCTCATAAAAATTTCATACCAAGTACACAATACTTCCTGTTGCCACTTTTGACTTTGTCTATTTATACTTTTTGCTTCTTTAAGACTTAACTATCATATTCTTAATAGTATACAAATAGATAAAAAAACATATTAAATATGTGGCTGGTTAAGGGGGAGGTGCTCTAGATAAAATTATGATATTTGCAGGGGAAAGCGGGGGTCATTTTTTGGGGGGAGGGTACTATTTACAAAATATATTTAGGTGGTTGAATATATCTTAAGGGGCTAAAGATATTTTAGAAAGCTATAGATATTTTGGTTGACTGCAGATATTGTTGAGGCATAAAGAAGTTTTTTTGGGGCTTCAGCTATTTTTTTCAGGGGAGGATGTTAAGGATACTTTGGGGGGGGGGCAAATATATTTTTCTGATAAATGCTGGTGCTTTCTGGTGATTTGGAAGGCCACAGTTTCATGCCACTGTGCACCAGACCTTAAAAGAAATTAAATGAATTGACTACAGGGTTGAAAGAAGTCTTCAATTACAAAATTTAGGTAAATAAACTTAAGAAAATATGTTCAAAGATGATATCATCTGATTTTCAGCTGATGAATGCAATTGCTGATGTTGAATCTGAATCATCTCAGTCCCAAGATACAGAATCAGCTTTCAGCATAAAAGATGAAAATGCTTCTGACTTTAATCAGATTGATGATGATTCTCAGGAAGGTCCCAAGCCCTTGAATTTTCAGACAAAAACAGTTAAAGGCGAAACATTCTATCTTGTTCCTGAGTTTCTTGTCAAGTTTGTCCCAACATATCCAGTTGAAGAGCATTACCTTGAAGGAGTAGGTGCTGTAGAAGTTGGAGAAAGATTTACATACATTCAAACAGATCTACTGATTCAACTCACCGAGACAGTTTCCCAAAGTGTTGACTTGCAGGCAGAAGTAAAACTTCTCAGAGAACATTTGTGGTCAAGATATGGGAAAAGTGATGAGCTGCCTCCATTTGATCCTGAAGCATTGCAAACTGTCGCCATTTCAGCAGGTGCTAACAAATTGTTTTCTGTCATATTGAATGCTATGTCGTCAGAAGACAAACCTGTGCATAGACAAGCCTTGAACAAGAAAAAAGCTGTCACAATAATCTATATGCTGATGTTTGGCCAATCTCAAAAAGCAAGCTGGTATCAAAAAGTTATGTCAAACATGGTTGTTGGGAAAGGAATAAGTGAAGGGGGGCTATCAGTGCTGCATAAAAGTGGCATAGCAGTGTCAAAGTCAACACAACGCAGAGACTTTTACAAGATTGCTGAGAGTCATGAGTCACTTGTGAAGGACTTCATTGCTGATGCTATTGAAAGGAAAGCACTTTTAATCCTCATGATTGACGACTTTACTAACATCCATACAAAGAGGAGGCCAACTGATCACATTACATCAAAAGCAAGGAACATGGCAACAATACTGATGAAGCGGTTCTGTGATGGCTCTGCTATTCCAGTTGACCAACATGTAGTAAACCCAGATGGTATTTGTCAAGATATGTTGCTCGATTTCACCACAAAGATGCTCTCATCTCTTTCAACAACATTTGCATCATCAATGCCATACTGGATAAGAACAGCATTCTTTGATCCTGAAATGGAAAGATCAAGAATTGAGATCCACGATTACCAAGAACATCAGACAGGAGAACGAGCAATGAGAAAGATGGATGGCTGCAAACTAATCGATGAGCTTGAAATCCCACTAAAAGGTTTTCACAATTTCCGTCAAGCAGCATGTCATGCCATTGATAATGGACTGGATTCGTACCTTTCAAATTTCATATGTCCCCAGCCAGGAGACTGGCCTGCCCAGTTTTACATGAGGCAAGTACAACTACATGCAAAAGAATCTGACAGTTGTCCATTTCTTCAACATATAGTTCCTTTCATCGGTCCTCTGCATATCCAACTTAATGCTAGAGAATGTGTTTGTCTCCTTAATATTGAATTTTTTAAGAAGGCATATACTTACATCTTTGGTGAAAATAAAGTTCTTGCCAATAAGCCACAGGCATGGAGGATTTCTTTTCTTCTTGAGGTCTTGTATGGTGGTTGGACTTTGATAAGGGATCAGATTATTGTTGCATTTTCAAATTGCAAAGATATCCAGTATCTAACCTTACTCAATCTACTTGACAATTATATTCCTCTTGTCCTTTCCATCTACTCTGTGATCTTCAAAAGTGGGAATACTGAAATGTTTGCTAGCTCTCTGTTTCGGTGTTGGGTAATGTTCTTCTGTTATAAAAGACACCATTATGACAAAGCTCCATTGGTGTGGCTGAGCAATTTCTTGTATTGGAAGTCTATAGATCATCCACTTTATCACACACTGATGAATATGCTCAATGCTTTTGACGAATACCCTGTTGAGAATTTTCATTCACACCTTCGTGCTGAGACTCAAGACCATGACTGTGGTGATATGCTTCGGAAGAAAGCCAAAGGGCTAGACAGCAGGAAAGATGCATCATTGAGTTTCGTATCAACATTTGTTGTGCCAAAGAAGTACACATTTAAGAGAGGAAGACTTGAGCAGTTGAAAATGGTAGCAGCAAAGTTTTTAATCACAGTTCTGGAAGACATCAAAGATCATCCCAACAATGCATCAGAAGTACCAAGACCTAGAGGGAAGAAAAAGAATTTCAGTTATTGGAAATTGCCACAGATCTATGGAGAAGAAAATGTTGTTGCCTCAAAGGTTCTACCATTGGGATTTCAGTTTCCAGGAAAGGAGCCAAATGCATCCAGGTCTGTGTAATTACTTTTTGTTTTAACTAAGATAAGGCATCTTGGTCAGGGGATTCACTTATTGCAGGTAAAGGATGAAGTTTTTTTCTTTTTTTGACACAGGAATTGTGAGGTTAACCCCTGGATTTCTGGGATGTCATTGTAGAGGTGTCATTTTTGTAAAAGTAGCAATTCCCTTCATTTATACTTTGGGGTATAACCAACTCAGGTCCCCTATAAATACGCCCTTGACCAACTACATTTTATTCTTCTCACTTTAAGACAACATAATCAATATAGAATATACCTTTAAACAATACTTAACCTTTTGAAATATCTTTTTATAGGAAATGTGATAGGCCAGATTGCTCAGATGTGTTCCAAGAATTCCATATTTTCCATGGCTGCGGACATTCCTTTCACACAAGCTGTCTAAATTCTGGAAAAATGGTATGCTTGATTTGCTCAAAAGAACTTGCAAATTCGATGAAGGTGCTCTCCGAGAAAGCTTGCGATGGACTACGCCATCATGAAGATGACGATGACGGTATTGTTGCCAATGAAATTGATGCCAACTGTGGTGACGATGAGGATGAGGAGAGTGGAGTTGAGGAATTAGAGAAACAAGAGCCTCGCATCAGCTGTACACTTCTTCGATTAAAGCAGCAAATCTTCAGCTGGGGCCTTATTCCCGGCCCAAAATGAAAGGGAACACACACATAGTAGTTGTGCCATCGACGAATAAAACGGTTTTTTTAAAAACCACCATCAATGCCGATTAGACAATATCCACGTCAACACACACGATAATATAGTGTAAACAAGCCGTAAAAAGCCACAACCGCACTTATTGAATCCCACTAATTATGATCAAAGCGAGTACACTGAACACACACCAAACAGCATGCTTGCGCGCATCATATGGTCTCTCCTCCCTAATTGGGGGGATCATTTGGGAAAAAATTTACTGAGCACAAAGGAAAGTTATCAGACACTCGATTTTTAAAATCATAGATCATTTTCAACACTCTTTAGACGATTAATTTTTTTCTGGGGAATCGTAAAAACGTGCAAATACACTTTACACGATTGATCTTTTTCTTTGCAATCGTAAAAACGTGTAAATAAGGCCCAAGTCAAGATTCGAGGCACGTTTCCCGCCCTTTTTTATCATCGCGTCAGCTTCTGCATTGCGATAGCCTTTTCAGCAGTGGACTGGCAGTGGACATGAGTTTCTCGTTGGTTTTACAAGTATTTAAAAGAAATATATGAAGTAACTGAGTGCAAAAAGTAATTATGAAGAAGTTGAAAATAAGTTTAAGCGGATTACATTAGTTGAGATGCTGATGCTAATACGATTTTACGAGATAGAAGAGCTGCATATTGTTTTGGTAAAATGTAGCGTTTTTCCACGTAAGTTTCATAGACATTCATGCCGATATGCAAAGATATTGCCATGTATTTGTTATGGTGAGTTCTAATTTGTTGATTACGTAGATAAAATAGATTTTAACATTCAAGCAGTGTGAATTTTCAAACTTCTTTCGCTGTCATTGGGGGGATGGTGAACTGCTAACTTCAAGCCTTCGTAACTGACGATCGCGGAAAATTTTTAACTGAGTACAACGGCAGTTTTTTTCTAAATTTACCAAAGACTAAATTTTTAAAAAAAAATTTAGGTTATCTTGCAACAAATTTTACACGTTTATTTTTTTGTGGGTAGTGGTAAAAACGTCCAAAATAGGCCTAAATCTAGCTGCGAGGCACGTTTGTTGTCGTATTCTTGAATTCTGATTGGCTAAAGGGCTATGGAGAATTTGAATGTAATCAGAACTCTTAGCCAATCAAAGATTTGGAACCTATGCTGGCCTTAGATAAATTTAAAGTGGATTTTCTTTTATTTGTTATTGAGAGCTTTTGAATTCGCTTTTCAGCTCTCTTTCCAATTAGTTCCCATGATATTAGCAGGCTTCCATAGCAAAATTTGTTTTTAGAGCGAAACCAGTCTCCAAGACCGTCTTCATTTCCCCCAGGTAAGGGGCAAACTGTTGATGTAAAAAATATCATAGATCATAGAAAACTTCTTCGTAATGCTTTCTAGCGTTTTTGTTAATCCATATACATCAACAAAAAGTTTTGTCATTAAGAAAATCATTACTATCTTTTTTGTTGTAAGAATACCTCTGCTAATGAAAATGGCGAAGCCGAGCAGGGAAAATTTGTTAAAAACCATGAGACTAGGAGAAAGCAAGCAAAACCTCAAAGTCTGTTTATACATGCCACTCCTTGTAGGAGCATCTCTCAGTTCAATTTTTATCTCAGTGTTAAGTAGAAGGTAATTGATGTTTGAAAGTATCAATACATTCTAGCTCAAATCAAATTATTTGGAATAAAAGATAAAAGATCTTTAAATTAATAAACCATTCAAAAACAGAACAATATTTACCAATATTTTTTCCTTCCCACTAGTCACTCAACGGTGCATAGTTATCAATAACATATAAATATACATGATAATTTCACTACGCAATAAAATTCATCAAAGTGATTGATTGATTGATGGATTGACTGACTGTAATGATTTACTGATTGACTGATTAATGTTTTTTCTCTTCGATGATTCAACATTTGGCGCTGTTTATATACCGAAAGGCCGCCGGTTCACACATGTTTAGAAAAAAACTTAAAATTTATTTCATTTTTTCCAACAATTTTAATTAATCAATCCGGGATATTGTTTCTACAATTTCTATGATGGCTGTGTCCAGGGGCGAAACTACTGGGGGGGTATGGGGGGGTGCTGCACCCCCCCCCCCAATCTTCAAAAAAGCAGATTTTGTCGGGCAAATTTGTGGCTGCTAGTGTATCTGTCGGGCAAATCTGGAAATTTTCTTTAGGTCGCACTTTTATTGCTACTTTTTGCCCTAGGTTGGTTTTTCAATTCATGGTCTTTTCCCCCATCTTTTTTTCAATCTCCTCCCAGTTGGGAAAACAAAACAGAAACGAGGCAAGGAACAGCAACATATATACATTGCTGTCTTTCGTCCGTCCACTGATCAGCGCTTTCGTCTGGAGCTCAACGCGCACATGTTTATCTTCGCCTCGAGATGAAGTCTGAAGTATTGATCGACAGCAAAAGTATAGACGGAAAGTAAAGTGTGTTTGATGCGAGAAGGAAATGAACACTGTGTATACCCCTCCCCCCTACTTTTTGCAAAACAAGTGAGCTTTTTTCAAAATCTTTTGTTGTGATTTCTAAATTTTCTCTTGAAAAGCCCCCCCCCCCCTCAACGTTCCATCCTGGCTCAGAGCCCATAGAACACTGACAGTTTTAGAAGCATCATGAATCAAAGCATGAAGGATATACCATCTCGGAATACGTTGTTGAGAAAATCAATCAATATTTGTATGTATGAATGTATGAAACTTTCATTCATGAAATCAAACATGTTTTAGAAATTTAGGTCAAGACATTTGAAGAAGACATCATTTGGGTTTTTAAACATTTCATAACATCAACAGGAACATAATAAAACTATTTACAATAAACATGATCAAACGTGAACACCTTTTCATTACAACGTGGCGTGAACAACTGACCAATGCAACTTCGATGTCTAGGAACGAGTGAAGGATTAACCGCGTGCTGCTCCTTCACAACAATACATCCATAAGAAGTTATGCCCCAAAATTATCTTAAGGTTTTACACTTACGGTTCGAAAGTATTGCACCCTTGGCTAGAAAATGGTCATACAGACGCCAAAGTTTTTTAACTAAAAAAATTGGAATAACCATAACAAGTAACAGAAAGTTTTAATCAGTTCAAGCGGGAAGTAATATAAAATTTATCAAGAAATTGTAGTTAAGATATGAATTGCAAAAAATCTTTCGAGTTTATTCTATTTCTGAACAATATCCATGATTACGAAAACATGAAAATTAAGATTTGATGATAGGTATACCTGTAAAATACCTCCAATAAAAAACTTTTCTTTGCTTGAGGGATTTTGTTATGGTGAATTTAGATATACGTACTTTGTGCTTGGGTGTCTAAAAATATTGAAATAGCTTCCGGAGCAACCGACAATTGATAATGAAACTCAGAGAATGAAACTGAAGCTCTTTTTTGTTAGAACATTGTAATTTGCGTAGCTGTTTCTAAATTCCGAAATTTCCAAGCTGTTTTTTGGTGTTCCACTTTGATAAAATTGAGACCCTACTTCAATCTCTTTTTTGAATTGCTCTCTTAATAGCTAGGTGATTTAGAAAGTGAAGAAGACTTTTTTTATAGAGAAGACAGGCCTTACAAATGCTTGCTTTTCGGAAACAAATGTTTATAGCCAACACCAGAAAAACTAGAGGCATATTTTTTGACTTAAAACAAACAGCCTGAGTCTAAAGACCCTCTCTCGGGCTTCCCGATGATTTCAGCCCTTGAGGCGATGTGCTCTAAAAATGAAGTTCATGTAGGACACGCCCTTTCATCAAGCATGCCACGCCCTTTCGTCGGGCAACTAAGCTTCATACCCCCTTAATGAAAATATTGAAGTTTCGCCCCTGGCTGTGTCCACTTCAACTTTCGTTTGCCTATTTTGCTAATTGACTGATTAATTGATTGACTGATTGATCGAGTGTCAAAATCGCCCGGATACATTACGTTATGCCTCTGTGAAGGAGCAAGAAAAGCCTGGATCAAAGATTGTTGCAGGTCAAGATAAATTTAGCGTGTCACAAGCAATAATTTTGCGAATTTCTTCCTGAAAAATTGTACCATCAGCAATTTTCTTTGATGTAGCAGACCACAAAAATGTCAGAAAAAGGGGAGAAAAAAGTGCTAAGGAAACGGCGAGGAAAGAAGGTATATATTTTTGCTTTTCGATATTTTTAGGCCAGATGTCTCTAGAATATCATGTAACAGATACTACGTGTTGTTGTATCGACAGATTGTCGGTGATTCATTTAAAATTTAGATGTCCGACAATCTGACATGCAGAAAAATTGTCTGGAAAAAGCTTTTATTAATTAATTAGTTATCGTAGTGGTTATTTCGAGTGTTGAGACCAGCGGACCGGTGTATTTAGATAGGAAATCGCGAGGATAAAGTTGGACACCTTCGATAGTTTTTCTAATTCTTAATTATCGATGCTTTGCCCTTAAATTGATTTTTGAAGTGGTTTTGATATTGCACTTACACGAATGAAAGCTTCCAAAAATCGGCGCTAGTCACATCCTGTTTAGTGGACAATGTCCGACATCCATGGGTTTTGCCGGACAGGCAAATTCAAAACAGTTTATCACTGTCGATCTTGACAAGAATATGAATGAGGCCACAGAGAATGCAAAACTTTTTTTAAAGCTAAAACAATCAGATTATAAAGAACTCGGGGACCTTTTTCTGTAACTAGTGCTTTTTTGTGAAAGTAATATAATTAGGTTTTTTTTAAAAGTTAATTTTGTAGGGTTTGATCAAATTTGTGGGCAGCCACAGTAGCTATCATCATCTACCACAGGTCCCGAAGGCTATCATCATTTTAAAATTTTAATAAAACATCAAGATTCTCCTTGAGTTCAACTTTTTTGTATGCTGAACTTCATGTGTTCTGGTCACCTGAACCATTTCTCTGTTCAGAACAAAAATGGGAAGTTGTGGGTGATTTCAATCAGAACATAAACACCCGGAAAATTGCAAACACATAAACGATATTCTTCATAAAGCATAGCAGTGAAAATATTCTTACTCAACTGAAAATTTCATGAATTTTGATTGTCATATGATGTGAAAGATGAATTGTTCAAATTAAGAGCAAGCATTGGATACGCTTGATGCTGTCAGAAGACTTCTGTGAAATGAAGATATGCGTTTGGTAAATAAGACCTAACATTTTCATTTTTAGTTGCATTCGAGGGTCGGTAAAACAGATTGTGATCATAATTGAGCTTAGTATGCTTTACTTCAAAGTTTTAAAGCTGAAAATGCAAATCAAAGAATGAACGCCCCTCTTGTATGTTCAACTGCAATATCTACAAAACCTATCGAAGAAACATAAACTTCAGCCACAGATTAGTGAATCTAAGCCTTTTCTCTATTCTGTGCTTCAGTTACAGTTGAACTGAATTGCTTGGGGCTAGTTTCAACTAGCCCCAAAGGAAGTAGATTCATGCAGATTTAACTAATCAGAGGGTAGTCTTTATTTGAATAGTCAAGCCATAAGGAGTACTTGATTGCTGCATTCTCTTCTAGTCTTAGGCTAGCCCCTGTTTTTGTCTAGTTTCAAAAGAAACACAGGCAGTGGGACCTAAAAATCTAGAGAATTGGTTTATAAGGAAAAAAGAAGCCACAGAATTATTAACATTGCCAAAGTCAAAATTGATGTTTAATTTATTGAAGTAAATAAATCGAAAACTGATTTTTGGAAGTTTTTGGTGGGGCTGAGCCCCATTATCCTCAATGCATGACCCACCACTGGTCTAAGTGAAAACATCCAATATACCAATTCATCTTACAGCTTCATTTTGGAAATTACTCCAAACTTCATTATAAAACTTTTTAAAACACAGATTCTGTTTTATTACCACACTTATCAGCTAAATACACTTTTTACATATTATTTGTGCTTGTATTTTAGATTTTATGGAGAAATGAAGTTTTAAAAACTTCTAGAGAATTTGATCTCAGTAAAATGTTCTCAGTAAAACTTCAGCCCCTTAGTTTCCAATCACGGTCAAATCCCTTACAAAACTATATACTATCTTTATGTCATCATAAAATCAATATTGTGACTATTAACATTAGAAAGCTTCCTGGTAGACTAAAATTCTTGCTCTTAATTCAAATCTTGGGTCAAAATATTATTACAAAAAAAATTTGAGAGAATTTTTCAAAATGAGGCTGTACATAACAGATAAATCTTAAGAAGTTCTTACTGAGATTCCCTCCTTGGGAATCCTCCAAAAATTTTGCCAATCAGCTTACCAGAGTTTGCTTTTAAATATGCCAATTAGTTTTATTGCATTGATTGGCAAAAATTGAACTTTGTTTTTGGTATTTGTAATAGGTCGTTTCTAAGCTGATACCCTGAGTTTTCAACTCAATGCAATCAATGCAACCATCAGGCAGATAGGATTGTTGTTTATCTGCTTTTATGCCTTTAAATTGTTTGCCAATATGGCTCAACAGAAAAGGATATTGCTTTTGAAGGCTCAAAAGTAAAAATTGCTTATATTTTATACTCCAAATATGCTTATATTTCTGTTTTTACTCCTTATTTTGTACTTAAAAGAAAAAAACTTGTTTCAAGGGTGCCAATGAAGCAGAAGAGAAGCTAAGCAAAGATGAAACAGAGGTGGCAAAGTACTTAAGGTGGAATATGAAGACAAAAAAGTCCTCCATGTTTGGTGACGAAGTATATTATTTCATAGGTATTATCTTATTTAAATAATTTTTTATTCTAAACTTCCTTAAAAATGAGTAAAATGTGATTGGATGCTAAAGGAGCTAAAATAGTTACCTCCATTTTCCCAGCATTATATATAAATGACCTTAGCTTATGCAAAGTCTAAATAAGATCAAGAATAGATTTTAAATCTTGAGATAAAGGAAACGCTTTTTAAAGCTATAAACTGGAGAACTGAAATGAAGATGTTGCTGTTTCTTGCCCTGGAAATTGAAAACAAACCATACAAGAATTGGAATCTTTCTCATGTAACCAGTTGGTTTGCTTCTTTCATCACTTGTAGTAACTTTTCTTTACAACATAAATAACCTTAAGTGTAAAGACAACAGGATTTTTAAAGACAACTAATAGATAGTGCGGGAAAATAACCGACCCAGGCTAGCCTTAATATGTTCCATGATTTGCCACAGACTCATTAAGTCAAATATTGGGCTCTGGTTATGGGGATTCTTTGGTATTGATTTTTATGGAATATGTTGTTGAGTGTGTGCAAAATTCGCAGGTATCTGTTCTTTTAATCAATATCCAAGAAAAGGAATGAATTTTCATAAAGATGTTGATACTTCTGTCACATTTGTAGAGTTGAACATGAATCATGTAGCCATCATATTTTGCTTCATGCAGGATCAAAAATTGTGGATTTCATGCTGGATTCCAAGTGGGCAACTGGAAAAGCAAAGAAATCTTCTATTGCATTTACTGACAGAGAGTCAACATATGCCATCCTTGACAAGTAAGCCTACTTGCTGGCTCTTTATATTAAAATTGTGCATATTTTTTTTTAGTTTTTCCTTCTTTGTGGGCAATTTCAAGGATATTTTGCAATGTGGAGAGGTTAACCTTGTATGAACCCCTTATGACATACACTTTATATAAAAGCCAGACTTATTCTCCATTTTTCAACTCTGGAACCTCTGTTTCTGAAAAGGCAGCTTTGTTTTTAAAAACAGTTTGGCACTCTTTTCAAGACACAAAATGACATTTGCAATTGAAATGAAATCATCCAAATGAAAAATTTGATTTTTAAACTGTTTTGGAAGATTTTTCTCTTTAAAAAAAGCATGTCAGCTATGTTTAGTCAAAGAATGCATTTTGCAAAACAACACAGATAACATTCCACAATGCTACGCAACTACTTAAAGACATTAGATTTTCTTTAGCAGTGTTGAAGCATAGCGTGGACCTGTGAGCGGAAGTGAATTCACTATGAAATTAATCTGGTATCATGTGACCTACATATTGGTATGGGGCTGGGTCAGTGAGTATGGTATGAAATGAATCCAATACCATGTGAGCATGTGGCCTAAGTCATTGCTTCAACTCAGTTTATAAAGTGGCAAGGGCTTTGAGCAGGGACTTTTGTTGAAACTCTCTGGTGTATTCCAAGCACTTTTGTTTTCCAAAATCATTTTTTTGGCTAGTGGAAATTTTTGGTGAAAATGACTGTAAGGCATGCTAGATGATGAAAATTGATTTTAAAGTGGCCAAGCTTCTACATCCTTTGTAAGCTATATGAATTTATCTAAAAAGTTGATCCATTAGCACTAATCGGATAGAAAACTTGACTCCTGCTTAATTTTGTTAATATCTGTAAGCTGTTGTTCAGAAGCTTAAGCTTGCATATAAACATTGCTTTGTTGCGGTTGTAGAATGATTGCCCTTGGCTTGTTCAGCCGTGTGCATAGAACATACAAGGAAAAAGAAAAGAAGGGAAAGGAGAAGAAAGATGAAAAAAAGACAGACAGCAAAGACGTCAAAGAGGGGAATAAAGGAGGGGACGTCAAGGATTCTCCCAGAAGCAAGAAAAGTGACAAGGTAAAGTCAGGCCTTAGTGATGATATTGTTTCTAAACATTTTCATTTTTGCTGAGCCTTTTAGCACTGACAAAAAACTGCTTTTACAAAGTTTGATATGTCTTTTTCTTTGTGCAAGGGTAAAGAGAGTGCAATCAAAGAGGATAAAGATGGAAAAAAGAAGAAAAAGGTAATGATCTATTGTATTAAATATATGTTTTGATTGCATGTTTAAAAATAAGTAATGAAATGCAAAAGTTAGTAGAAAATGATATGAATTGTGTTATAAGGTATACAAAGGAGTTTATATATACATTAGCTATTTTTTTGTTTCTCTACAAGCAGAGTAAATGTTTCTTGTCTCAGGAACTATTATCTTCATGATGTACACTAGCTTTTTTAAATTGAGAATTGCATACCTACATTAAAAATATGTCATACTCTTAACTGATTGGTCGATTTTAGTATGTTGGCAAAGCATAGCATGACCAAATATTGCTAATGAAGTATTTATTTTTTAGGTGAAAGTCAACCTGGAGCCTCACGAGCATAACATTTTCCATGATTCAAGTGATGTAAGAAAAGTTTTGCTTGATATTTTATTTCCTTATTTTGCTAGACACAGTGCCTCTTTTTACTCAAACTGCAGGCCTTGCTGAGAGAGGTGTTCATGTTTGGTCAAGTGGCTTCATATGCACCAAAAAAGTTCTATGAATTTGATTGATTGTCTTTATAGTGTATGCTATCAATACTAGATTAAAAAAGATCAACTTTTTTATTGATGATCCATAATTATATTTTGTAGAATGTTTTTGATATTCTTTAAAATGAGCTCAAAACAGCCTTTAAATGACAGGTCATCAAATACATAGGTATATGCAGGCCCTATGTTTGCACCTTATAAGCTTGTAAAATTGGACCTCTCTCGCCCGTACAGAGTTTTGATGCCAATGTTTTCATCTAGGGCATTATATTCCCAAAAAATAAATCTGCACAAATTATGATTTCTAACAGAATTTTCTTGTCACACTTGCAAACCTCCATTTCCTAACTATTGTTGTCCCATAATTCATTAAAGTAAACTTTCAAATTGAGACATACCTTGTTCCCAGGTGCTCTATTGAGCGCCTAGAAAATTTCAGGTGTAAAGTTTGTCAAGCGCGTGTTTTTGGCTTCTCACGAACCCTACCAAACTACTACAAGTCCTCTGTTATTTTAGTATCATAGCTTTCAAAAGCCTAACCATTGGTTCATTATGGTATTTATCAGTTTCTAATCAAAAGATTAGCCAAATAATTTTGAGATATGAATGTGCCTTTTAGAATCTGGGTTGAATCCGGTTATGATGCGATGAGAATCTAGTACCTTAAACAGGTCTTTCTCCAGCACATTTTTAAGCTTCGATGATCAACCTCATTTTATTTTTGAAGTTGTTAAATTATGTTTTTTTGATACTTTATCGCTTGAGCACTTTTTTAAACAAAACACATTCTTATTTTGCAACAGAATTTGATTTAACAGCTTGTTTCAACAATTTCAATTTTTTTAACAGGCTGTCTACATTTGGATATACGATCCCGTTCATCCGAAAACCTTCGTCTTGGGCATCTTATTGGGTAAATTTGAAGTTATGTTTTCTATGCCCTATCTTCCCCTGTAACGCTTTAATGTCTGTCAATTCCTAGAAGCTATTAATCTCTGTAGGCATAGCCTTTCTGCTCTCCGGGGTATCGTCCCAGTAATATCGTATAGCATAGTTATTTTATATAGTATATAGCATCGCTTGTAAATCTATATTCTAATCTTTAAATGGTTATTGATAAAGTTCCTTGAATTGGATTGGGCAGCCCTCACAAACTTGTATTCAAGTTCCGTAAGTAAGAATTTGATAAGCGTTGCTTTCTATCCTTACGAAAGGTCTTTCTGTGAATAAACCTATCAGCTTTAATTCTGACTAGCGTTAAGAAAATATAAGTATCTGTTTACATTCGGATTTGGTGACTTGAAGTTTCTAATGAGTGTAAGGAAGTTCTGTATTTATTTCGTTTTTTTTTCTTAAGTTTCAAACTACTTATGTTTCGTTGTTAGTGTAGCTAATTTCATGTTCCAGTTATTGGTGCTGTCGCAGTTTGTCTCTTCCCACTTTGGCCTGAAAGCTTTCGTGTTTACAGCTGGTATTTGAGTGTTGCTGCAATGATTCTCTTAGGCGCTGTACTGTTCCTTGCACTCTGTAAGTATTGCAGTTTCATTGCCATTAGTTAAGGTTGGTTTGTAACTTATTAATTGTTAGTTTAATACATATACCAAAAGGCGTTTTTCTGACCAGCGTTGTTTGTGCTATCATTCATCATGAGAACCACGCCATTATTTGCTCAAAATGGAAACGAGTACAACGCTTTCGCTTCAATGTTATGACAGCCTAGCCAGCCTAGCCAGCCTAGCCAGCCTAGCCAGCCTAGCCAGCCTAGCCTGCCTAGCCTGCCTAGCCAGCCAGTCTAGCCAGCCTAGCCAGCCTAACCAGTCTAGCCAGCCAGCCAGTCTAGCCAGTCTAGCCAGTCTAGCCAGCCTGCCTAGCCAGCCAGCCTTTCGAAAAAGCCCCTTTTTAAGCACCTGAGGGTGATTTTTGAATAAAGGATTTATTCAAGGCTCTGGGTGTTTGTTCCAATGTTATTCGGACTAAGGTATAAATTATCAGAAAATTTGCTCTGTTGTTTTAACCCTGAATTCTTCTGTCCTTTAATGTTGCGTCCAAAGTATGATGTTCTTGTGTGTATAGCTTGTGAAATTTCGTCTAAAAGATAGGCTCCCTTAAAATGTAAAGTTCTGTTGAAAGATCGATTATCGAGTCTTAATTACAGTCAAACCTTTTGGGTTATCCCCGACATGTTATCATAGATTCATCATAGATTTTTGTTTATATTTTTAGTTCTCTGCCTTTTCATTAAAATCCCCGTTTTTTATATTATGGGGAATAACTCTCTGTTTTTCCTTCAAGATCGTTACCCCTTTTTTGTATCTTTTGGGGACTAATTCTCTGCTTTCCATTCAAGATCGTTACCCCCTTTCATTATTTTGTGGGTACTAATTCTCTGCTTTTCTATTCAAGTCCGTTACCCTCTGTTTTGTATCTTATGGGGACTATCATTTGGCAAGTTGAAGTTCTGGCTGCTTCCAAACTTAACTGCGGATTGTGGAGTGCAAGAGTCTTTTATCCCGGTTTACGAATACACATTTGATGATGGAAATAACAGCAAAGACGATGACAATGATGCTGAAGACAAGGAGGAAGATGAAGATAACAAAGAAGAGGGAGAGCAAAGAGCAGGCTTGGATGTTCAAGAGGAAAAGAGTGGGATTGAAGAAAAATGCGACAAAGATAATACGAAGACAGAGGATGCAGGACAAAACTCAGGAAGTAACAAAGAAACGGATGACGGAGAAGCGTGGGTTAAAGTAAACAAGTCAGACGCAGTTGGACATATGAAATCGGATGACGTAAAATGTTGAATTTATAATTGTAGTGATAAATGTATGCAAAGATAGTATTGAATTTTGATTGTGACTTTTTTTCAGGTACTGCTCTGCTGTTGCTGACGTTTTCTAACTTTGTGATATGGCTCCAGTACACTTCAACATTATTGGCGATAACGTTTTGGGCAAACTGTATTGCGTTTTCAGTCTTTCGATTTATTAGATAGGGCTATTTCGATTGAATTTGCTTTTTGCGAGAAATCTTTCTGTTTGAAAATCCTAACTTTAATTGAAGAATGCAAATTAGTTTACATCTATTACAATGTCATGAAAAAATACAACATAGAAATTAACATATTTTTAGTAAAACCTGCATTGTTGACATGTTCATCCGTCACTATACCGTGTATCAGCGATCTTATTTTATGGACAGAGAACGTAGCTTTGGTGGAGACTTTACTTCCCATTGCGAAGGAGAGCAAGGGGGAAGGCACAGAAAACGTGGATGCAGATAGAAACAAGCTTAATGTTGAAACTGCAAAATGTAGTTATTCGCGTTCTGTATAGAGGAATTAAAGCCAAGCTATCTACAGCTTTTTATACAGAAGTTGGAAAATAAAAGTTAATGCGAGCAATAGCAAAAAGAAATGGCTTGGCAACTAATTTATGCAGTGGATAGTTTCGAAAAACGACACGGGGAGAAATATGATTCAAATTGAAATGTTGTGGAGCTTTTGATGAAAACCAATAAGAGGGCCTTGCTCAAATAACTAGGTTTTTCGATTGGCGAAGCAAACATGGTAACTAAAGTAAATTTCACAAAAAGCTTTATTTTATATTTTAAAGAAATATGTTTTTTAATCCTTTATAATTGAAAAACATTTTATGTTTGTTGCTCAAAAGTATAAGAATTTATGTTAGTACGCTAGCCATAAAGTTTCCTGTACAAGCACGGCCTTGTGCGTCATTCATTCCATTTATTTGTTTAATTCGAACGGTTTCTTCCCTGTATTTTGACAAAATCATTTTTCAAGACAGCTTTCTGTGTATTTTCAAGAAATTAAGAATAAAGTGATATTCGGAACATTGGTAAACTTTCATTCGTTGATTTGTTGCGATGGTTTGAGAAACAGTGTTTGAATAAGACAAGATGGTATAATAAATCTAGTTTTGCTTTATGTAGAAAAAATTGTATTGTTGGGTAGATAAAAAATAATCTAAAAATAGTCGTTTCCTGCAAAAAAAGACATAGACCTTAAACCTATCTGTGTCCTATGTGAAAAATAATATTTGCATCTTTTAATGATCGTGGAATGTATTTCATTTAACTTCTCCGGAAGGCACCTTCTCGGCATGTAAATGACAATACCATATGGTGAAACAGTTAAGTTTTCGATGCAACCTAAAAATTGGCTATATAACATGTCCAAAGAAACAAACATTTCTCAATCGCCCACAGCTACTGGTGCATTTGTCACATTCATCTATGACCGTGTTGCGCAAAGGTAGTTATCTCGCCAGAATCTCCCAGTCTCTGTTGGTTCATCAATCTTCAGGCACCCTATATGATCGTTTTCGATTGAACCATTGTCCGACCACATGAAGTCATAAGGGCTGCTCTTATCTACGCAAATGTAGTTGTCTTGCCATGATTCTGGGTCTTCCGGTTCTGATGCACGTGTACATTTCATTCCATCTATTGGGCCTGGATTAAGAGCAAACCAGGTTAGCTTTGTCGTATATGACGTCATTTCTTAAAGCTTTTGCGAATAAAAAACCCATGTAGCCTTTGTTTAAATGCATTCTTAAGGGAGGATGGAGGATCTCAGCACATTAGTTTCCTCTAGTTCCCTTTAGTCTGATTTATATGGTCAGCTAACAGCATAATTACACACAACACAGTTTTATCCCTAACATATTTAAATAGCATATTCTTCAGAATTTTCCTCAAATGAAACAAAAAGCATACTTGTGAGATGGTATTTGTAGCTTTTTACAATAAAATTATTATATTTCTTTAACCCTAAATGCTTCGATGAAGTTTCAGTATGTTTTTGTCATCTTCTCATCTGTTATCAACATCCAGATGGTTCTATCAACATAATTTTGCACATCCTTCGTGGTCATTTTGCAAACATTGGTCAAACGAGGTTTTTTTTATTCATTCTTTTCATGAAAATGTGAAATATTCCATTTCTATTGTAAATTTCTTTGGAGGGCTTTTTCCTCCTTTTTAACAATTTTGCCATAGATTTCTTTAGGCAAAGGGTGCAAGACTGCCCCCCCCCCCTGTTCTTCAACAAAGTTACCATATTCCTATTTGTATATTTCTCAAGACAAAGGGTGCAGGGCTGTTTTCCCCAGTTTTTCAACAAAGTTGAGATACTTCTTATTTATTCGTATGCTCCTGATTTGATCGGACACTCTAGCAGCAATTCTATATACTTGACCTATCTGTAATTAAATTTTCCAGGAAATTCAAAGTTTTGATTTGTGGTTCCTTTGATGAACATTTTGTTAACTGTACTGTTTTTCATATATCTAATGCTCATACTGAGTCGATTTTTATTATTTATGTTGATTTTTCATTCTGCGTTTGTTTCGAAACAGATAAATAACGCACCAGAAAAAATGCACAAACCACAGTTACCTGACGGGTATGCAAATATAGAATGGAGTAAAATTAGTAGCTCGACGTACCCGAACCAAAGCCACGAAATTTCGAGCAAGGAAAAAGACGACAGGAGCGGAGAAGCTTTTATCTGAGAGGAAGATTCTTTCTTCTCAGAACAGCGCTCTTCCACGTCTCCCGCCTTACCTTCCATTTCCATTCTCAAATTTATGTGGCTCTGGTACCCAGGGTAGTTTCGACGGTCCCGACTTTTGATGAACCCATTAACCAAACATGCTATGTTGTCAGTTTCAGACCCGTCGGGGCCGGTGGGGGGCTGGGGGGCTGGATCCCCCAATAATTGTTAAGCTGTAGGATGTTTCCTTTATAACAGTGTACTGAATGAGAAGGAATACAATGGACAGCCCCCCCCACCCAATATGATTTTTTTCCGACTGAGTTTTCCATGCTGATATTCTTGCAATAGTCTTTGTGTTTCTTGATTTTATAATACCTGCTCTTTTGACCTTTATTGACAATGACATTGGTCTATCTTTAGGGGGTTGGGGAGCGCTCATTAAAAAAGAGGAAAGTGCTATTGCGTGGATTTACGGTACTTTGTGGTTTAAGTAGACTAAAATCGAGTTTTAATCTAATTTTTCATTTTATATTTAAATATAATCTAATTAACTTATCCAGTCATTAGAAATTATCGAATAATTTGGTGTAAGTGTTTTTCGAAAATCGGGAAAAAGGAAGGATATCTCGATGAACAGAGGTAATAAGAGAATGAACATTGGTGTAACGGGACGGTAACCTTATTTTACGGAGACGGGAACTTAGGCCCCAACGAATACTGAGACGGGAACCCTATTTTACGGACCGCAAGAAAGTCCGGTCCACGATGTAAAGCATGTCCAACACAATAGCAAAAAGTATAAATAAGAATTTTTTCTTATTCATTAGAGGGAGCTTGATTCATAGAAGCTTCATTTGACGAAGTATAAAGGTTTTTGAAAATGAGGTGAACTGGAACGACGTCTTGAAGCAAAGATATAATGATTTGACAGTTCCACGGTACACAACTTGCTGACTACTTTTGTTATAATTTTGCATGTTCGCAGAATTTCTATTCTGTTGCATGGATGAACAATCTCTAAGGAGAATATTGCAAAAGAAAAACAGCACCCAGGGATTTCTTGGAAAAATTTCTCACCTTGATGCGACCATCGGATCTTTGGATTGTACTTGGTTTTAGCGAAGCAGAGGTAGTTGTCATTCCAAGAATGGCTATCTGCAGGCTCTGCAATGTTAACGCAACCACAGTCGCATTCAGACCTGCATTGACAAGACTCTGGCTTTCCGTTTGTGTTCCAGCTGAAGTCGACAGGCCAAGAAGGAAGCAGCTTTTCTGTAAGAAAGGATTATGTTTTTTGTTTACCTGAGCCAAGCTTACATAGATTATTTTGGCAACGCAAAACATGTTGATGGCTGCTATTCGTTCTAAATCTTCGCAAGCTGCACAGCTAAGTGTGAAGCTGTAACAACTTGCTAGGGTGAAATTTAGGCCAGTCCAGGGTGTTAAAATCGATGTTGCAAGGCTAGAAGTTATATTGCAAAACAAATGTAGCAAGTTGTCCGTTTGGTTTGATTTTCTTATCCGATTTAGCGTGGTTTCTTTTGTTTGAAGGCTTTTATCACAACCCAAAATAAAAAATCAATATATCAAGTTAACTACATCATATTAAGTTTATCTTTGATGTTCGCCACTTTTATCGTGTTGAACACCAAAAATTCCTACGTGAATAGTTTTACTCACAAAATGAAAATATAAATTAAACTCATTGATTCCACTTAAGTATTTTTGGACATGGCTGTTCATGTTAGAAGGCACATATACGCTGAATCCAAGTGTCGATTATTGCCATGTTTTGCGATAGTTTGAAAATAGATGTAGTATAAATAAACAAATGATTACCATCATTAATATTTTCTAGTCTTCAACTAAATTTCAGTTCTTAGTTTAAGTGCAAATGTAATGCTTATAAGATATTTTACTTCCCCTGGCAGAATATCTTTCTGCAAGAACTTGTGGAGGTGCAAAATTCCACAAAGGGGGTTTATGAATAACCCAGTGCTGTGGCTCATGTATGCAATCCAAATTATACGAAATCATACCTTTTACCTCTAACTGGAAAGATTTATCGCGGAGAAACAACGTGACAATTGTTTTGGTTGTTGCCAAAGTATTCGAACAATGATATAAAAATTGCGGCCAATCTTTTTGGACCTTGAAATTTGATGATAGTTCGCCAATCTTTTGAATAGAAAATTCTCGAGATATGCCTCTTTCTTGGAATTATTTCGTAAGCTAAAAGCTAGCTCATTTTTTACAGTTCAGTGCGTTCCGAAGACCTATTTGTTTATTTTTTATTGAGCTTGGATTTTGGGGGTAAAGATTCAAACTAGTAAAAAGCTGCAACTTTAAATGAAACACGATATTATGCATCTAGCGAGAAGACGCTGTAAAACGACGTCCGGTTCCAGGTTTTTTGAATAAACAACCAGTATTTTGAATAAGAACATTGCATTTTCTTTAACCATTTAGAAAAGAGAGGAAAATTCCAATATCTTTCAATGCGTTGCACTATCGTTATATTTCATAGAAATATGCTTTCAGTATCGCAAACTAAACACTTCTCTTTTCTTCTGTATTTGACTTTTCTATATGATAAAATATGATTAGGGTTAAAACTATAAAACCACCCGTTATTGGCACGTCGAGTGAGATTTCGTCCCTGAGTAGAAATTGCAAGGTAAGGCTAGTCGGTGCATTCAAAGAATACGTCTGCGAAGGAAAGACATCTCTTTTATTCTTGATCAGTTTTAAGTGTCATTGCAGACTTTGAAAGTCTAATACATTTATTGCAAAGCACTAAAAGTTAGTGTCTGTTAGAGTCTTTCCTTTTCTTCTTCCCAGGCTAAGCCCTAAGGTGGTTGTTAAGTCTACCAAAGTCATCACGTACCCGTTGCTTTGCTGGTGATTTTAGCTTGACTTGTAGCTTCGCCTTGCCCTGAGCCTGATGCGGCAGAATCCTCATTTTCACTTGCTGTATACGAGGCTCCTTCAGTCTTGGATCGTCCAATGATACCTCCATTGTGATTCGGTGTGTTATTTGGCTCACCTGGTTTTGGTATTCCCTTTCCTTTAGTTGGCTCGGCTGTGATTTGTTTTGGTGGTGTTGGCTTTTGTGTTGGCTTAGGCTTTTTCTCTCCCTTTTTTGGCACTCCTTTTCCTTTCGTTGGCTGTGTAGTTGGTTTAGCCCCTGCTGGTTGCTTCGCTGGCTTTTTATCTTCGCCCTTTTTTGGCACACCCTTACCTTTGGTTGCTTCCGTTTGTGCTACTGTCGTTGCAGCCTGAGTTGGTGTGGCTTCTTGTTTGGTCGTAGGTTGTGGCTTGGTCGTAGGTTTGGGTTGTGTTGTAGGTTGGGGTTGTGTTGTAGGTTGGGGTTGTGTCGTAGGTTTGGGTTGCGTCGTAGGTTGTGGCTTGGTCGTAGGCTTTGCTGGGGTTACAACGGGCGTCGTTTGCCCGGCCTTCGTTGTTGGCTGAGGCTGGGTGGATGGAGCAGCTGCTTTTGTGGTAGGTTGTGTAGGCGCTGGGGCTTTGGTAGTTTCCTCTGGTTTCGCAGTAGGTGTGGCACCGGCAGCTTTTGTTGTAACTTTGGGAATGCCAGCACCTCTAGTTGGCTGTACTGTTGTAGGACTTGGAGGTGTTGGTTTTCCTTTCTGCAAAAGCAAGTAAATTCAAAATAGTAGCTTCTGTAATAGTTTCATCAAGTTGACAAAGATAGGAACATGGAAATGTATCGAAAAGTCTAAAAAAGTTTAATGTCGTCAAACCTGCGAAAATTTTTTCCATCCGGAACTTTCCTCAATACAGTCAAAGGCAAACCTCAAAGTTCCAGTTGATGGTATGTTTTTTAGATGCAGTACTAACTACCACCCCCTTATCTCCTCGCGATTAATATATGAGTGCTAAATACGTATGACAATAAGGTACGTCGGAACTACCGATAGGCAATTGGGGCGGACTTCAGAAATGGGCATTTGAAAAAATCTCAACTTCTACTAATTTGTTTGTAACTATCATTTTTTTGGATTTTCTGTAATTGAGCTAACTGCTGACACTTTTTGTAAGTTTTGGGAAATATTCAATAATCACAAAAGGGCAACGTCAAAGGTACTTTTATGAAAAGGGAAAAGGGCCCCTTCCACCTCCCATCAAAAGGCCCCCGCGTCCCCCTTCGATGTCCCTGATGACAATAGTAAACATCATAATTGATTGTATGTTTTGGCACTGCCTGATACTTGTAACATGATAGAAATTCAGATCCCAGAACGCATGTAACATAGTTTCGCTTATCCAGACCATATAACATACAAGTTTGTTTGCAAATGAAATTCAGACTTTAACAGACTTGTGTCAACCATTTTGCCAAGTCAGAAATTGGTTTAGTCATTGTCTTTATGAATTTTTGAGAATATGTGCCCATTTTGAAACCATGTAACATAAAAAGTAACTGTTCAATGTGAAACTGACAGATACTTAATTTCCATTGTTTCAGTAAGCCTGATAATCAACTGCTACGAGCGCATAGCTTTCTCTTTCGAATTTCGAGGAGTTGACGTGATAAAATTTCATTATATTATGAACCAAAATCAATAATTTTAAGCTTCAAAGAACTGCTTGACTTACATTTGCGTCTTCCTTCTCTTTTTCTGCCTTCTTCTTCTCCTCTTCTGCTTTCTTCTTTTCCTCTTCCGCCTTTTTCTTCTCCTCTGCTTTTTTCTGTGCTTCTGCTTCCGCTTTCTTCTTTTCTTCTTCCGCTTTCTTTTTATCTTCTTCAGCTTTCTTCTTTTGCTTTTCCGCCTCCTTCTTTTCATCTTCAGCCTTCTTGCTTTCAAGCTCGGCCTTTTTTTTGTCAGCTGCGGTTTTCAGCATAGCCTCAACTGCCTTTTTTTTAAATTGCTCAGCTTTCTTCTTAGCTGCCGCCAGCTTCTTTTTTGCCGCTTCTTCCTTCTTTCTTGCTGCCTCGGCCTTCTTCTTTTCCTCCTCTGCTTTCTTTCTAGCCTCCTCTGCTTCTTTTTTTGCTTTCTCCGCTTTTTCTTTTTCCTCTTCCGCTTTTTTCCTTGCCTCTTCGGCGGCTTTCTTTTCTTCTTCCGCTTTCTGTTTCGCTTCTTCTGCCTTCTTCTTTTCCTCCTCAGCTTGTTTCGCCTTTTCTTTTGCCTTTTTCAACTCCTCTTCCTTCTCTTTTTTTTCCTTTTCTGCCTTCTTCAATGCTTCCTCTGCTTTTTTCTTAGCTTCTTCTGCCTTTTTCTTATCTGCTGCTTTTTTCGCTTCTTCTTCGGCTTTTTTCTTCTCTTCTTCTGCTTTCTTTCTCTCAGCTTCCTTCTTCTTCAACTCCTCTTCTGCTTTCTTTTTAGCTTCTTCTGCCTTTTTCTTGTCTTCATCTGCTTTTTTCTTTGCTTCTTCTGCTTTTTTCTTGTCTTCCTCTGCTTTTTTCTTTGCTTCCTCTTCATTCTTCTTTGCTTCTTCTGCCGCTTTCTTTGCCTCCTCGGCTTTCTTCTTTTCTTCCTCTTCTTTTTGTTTGGCTTTCTCCTGTTCTTTCTTCAACTTCTCTTCCTTTTTCTTTGCTTCTGCTTCCTTTTTCTTTGCTTCTTCTTCTTTGTTCTTGGCCTGAATTTCTTTCTCTTCTGCTTCTCTTGCAGTTTTTTTGTCCTTTTCCACCTCTTCCTGTAACGCTGCTGCTTTCCTTTTACTTACATCTTCCTTTTCCTTTGCTCTTGCTGCCTTTTCGTTTTTTTGTGCAGCCTTAATGTCAGTTTCCTCTGCCTTCTTATCAGATTCTTGTTTTTGCTTCTTTATCTCATCTTCTTTTTTCTTGGCTTCTGCTAGTTTCTGCTTGGCTTCTTCCTCCTTTTTCTTTGCATCTTCCAACTTCTTCTTAGCCTCAGCCTTTCTCTTTGCCTCTTCTGCCTTCTCTTTGGCTTCTTCTGCCTTTTTCTTTGCCTCTTTTGCCTCCTTTTCTGCCAACTGTGCTTGTTGCTTTGCTTTCATCGCTTGCTCTTTAGCATCATCTGCCAAGCCTGGTTGTGCGCTTTTTTGCGTTGTTTCTAGCAGCATACTTGAGTCTGCTTGACCACCGTTTAGGATGTTGGACAAAATTTGAGACGTAGCACTGTCTTTCTTCGATGCTGCAGCATCTTTGCTTTCTTCTGAAACGTTTGTCAAATCTAAAAATTAAAATATCAGCTTCTTCACAAAGGATAGTCAATACACAGCTAGAATAGCTGGAAAAATATTTGAATTCTCTCCTTTTCTGTCACAATATCTTGCAACACATATATGTGCAGCGCCGGGAGAATAGTCTCGCAAAATTTTACAATTTATTTGTGTTTACTTGAATGTGCAAATCTTGGAGCAATTTTTGAAACGTTGGGCCTAAAGGGTTGTGCGATATAGTTAGTCATCATCACAATCTTCTTGGTCATCGTGAATATCATTGCTATACCTGCTTAAATGTTTAAGCAAATTTTCGTTTTACTATAAAAGCTTTGGATTTTGAAGGAAATGGCTTTAGTCCAGTTCACTTCCTTTGTTTTGATGTTGATGTTCAGAATTAATGGCAAAAAAGCTTGATCTTAAATTATCTTGCTTTTTCGCTGTATTTTTTGTCAAAGATTAAAGTCACAATCAACTACGAAACCAAGGTACGAAATCGATACGAAATCGATACGAAACCAACTAGCTATAAATTTGTTCCAAATATTATCCCTATTAGAACAGTACTGGTCTACTAGAAAAGCTAGTTTTCAAGGTGCAAAATTTGGTATATTATTTACTTTATTTTATTTGAATATATTTACTTTTAAAATCACTTACCTTTGTTTTCATTAGTGCTGGCTTGAGGTATAGCGCTGAATTCGGCTGAAATAAGATAATGATATTTCTTAAGACTGCTTTCTCAACTCAATAAAATCAATCAAATATTGTTTACGTAGAATAGGTCGCAAACTCTGCAAGGAGTGGTCTTAATTCTCAGGTCCTTGAATGCAATTTCCTCGTTTCTATTTAGCAGTACCTTGCTGCAACGTAATGCAAAGCATCTGGTCAGTCTGATCTTAAATGCTGATTGAGACCAGTTGAAGAGAAGTTTTTAACCTGTTCAAGAATTAATATATCTGACCAAAATTGCAGAAATTCAGTAGATTTTTGATCTCCTAAATCTATTTTTCTCTTTTTTATTTGTTTTACTGAAATATAACATAACCTTGGCTTCTTAAGAATGTCTGAAGAACTCTCTAAAAATTATAATACAGATTGCTTTTTGATGAAGCTATTCCAAGACTTCTTTTTGTTGACGTAAATTTGTACATTTCATATATACATGCAACAGTATAAACCCATTCTTGAAGGTTTCAATTTCATTTTTGATGATGCAGGTTTTTGATCAGCTTTTGTAGCTAAATATTTGTACTTTGTTTGTGAACAAAATCATAAACAAAACTCACTTTCATCTCCATTTGACGATTCTTGATCAGCAAACCTCAAAACCCAGCCGCTTGCACCAAAGGCAAATATCAGTAATAAAATAACAAGACTTGCAAAGTTTCCCTTCATCTTGTTTATTCTCTTTTTTTAACTTTTCATCATGCAGTTAGCCTTTGCGTAGTCACTTCGTAGGTGGCTCTTGTGCGATCATGCATGGAATTGAAACAAACAAACAGGTCAGGTAGGATCTGCTTCATCGATTTACCGTAAGTGAGCACGCAATTATAATGAACATGATCTTATTCAACGGACCCGATAGTCATTTCTCCAGCGTTGTGTAGAGCCGAAGTTCACAATAAGCCATTAACACTTCTTGCACGACAGATCTCTTCCTGCACATTTGGTTGACTGAAATAGCCTACTGCTATATAATTCCTTTTGCAAAAAAAGCGCAGTGTTTCGGCGTCTATGGTTATTAAGCGAAGTTCATACAGACGGTTGAAATGGTCCGTTTCTGATCCAAAGCATTGATAATGTTCCATTCCTGATCCAAACCGTTGATAATGGTCCGTTCCTGATCCAAACCGTTGATAATGGTCCGTTTCTGATCAAAAGCGTTGATAATGGTCCGTTTCTGATCAAAAGCGTTGATAATGGTCCGTTTCTGATCAAAAGCGTTGATAATGGTCCGTTTCTGATCCAAAGCATTGATAATGGTCCGTTTCTGATCCAAAGCATTGATAATGTTCCATTCCTGATCCAAACCGTTGATAATGGTCCGTTCCTGATCCAAACCGTTGATAATGGTCCGTTTCTGATCAAAAGCGTTGATAATGGTCCGTTTCTGATCTTTGTCCCTTTCTAGCACTAAAGGTTTCTACCTGGTAATATCAAAGCTTATATCGTCTCATTGTCCTAATCCAGGGTTGTAAGGTTTCATAAAGGTTACAAGCGTACGAAAAAAAGAGACGAGATAAAGTACATTCTAAATATATTTCCAGCAACAATCGGGCAAAATTTTCGAGTGTTTCTCTCCTCTTTACGTTTAAACTAAATGCTTACATTTAATCAAAATGACCAAAGAAGTTTTGAACAAAAACATTTCTTTATGGAAACACCACCCCTCTTGACCTCATTTGTAACAAATCTTGTTTATTCTTGTTATTAAAAGAAAAAAATCAAGAAGCGATGATTATAGCATGAGTCTACTAAAGAGATGATAAGAATTTAGTGGGGGATTTAAGGGGGGCAACTAGGGGCAGTTGCCCCTTTCTCGAAGAGTTGAAACTAGTCTAGCGCCCCTTTTTCGGAAACTGTGCGCCCCTTTTGAAATATGAGAATCAGGTGAAAAAGTTTCTGGGACCGATAGGTTAATTTGCTTCAAGAATTACCTCAAATTTATGTTGTTTATTCCGGAAATGGATCTGAAATTATTGTATACAGCGTACTCTCGTCATCAATTTTTGGAAATTTTTCAGCTATCAACACTATCAACTGCCAACTGTCTTCAAGTTTGCTCTGGATCCGCCCCGGATAGAATTATTTGGCTAGACAAATAATTCTACCTGAGACTAATTTTGTTATCTTTTTAAAGACTCATTGCTAACAATGGGCCTTTGCGAGCGTGGCGACGGTCAAAAAAATGGCAGTAATTGATTTTAGACAGTCTAAAAATGCATTATGGGATGCTTATGTAGCGCAATGGCTCATTGTTAGCAATGAGTCTTTAAGCTTCTATCACTTTCATAATGAAAAGCCTTCAACAAAAATTTTTGAAACGTCCATAGTGTTATACCTACAGTCGCTTCTCAGCTGCTAACGAAACATTATCTTACTTTCGAAATAGCTGATAATTGATCAAGTCGATGATACTGTAATTGCAGAGGATTATCGAATATACAAACTTGTTTACTAGATCTTTTGTGTAAAAGAGCTTTGTTCATATACTGAGGAATAAACAATTTTAACTCCTGGTTATCTCAAATTATGCCAAATTCGACTTAGCTATATCAAGTAATGGAATAGCAAGACTATGCAAGGAGTTTCTTGAATGTAAAAAGAAGGTTCTTTATAGTTGGTTGCCTTTTTAAGGATGTGGCATTTACAGCTTCAGAAAGCAATAAAATTATTTAAAGTAATTTTATGATGCATTTTGTAGTTCCCAGTGAACATTCTTTCTATTAGAATTTATTTGGGGACAGGGCATTCAGTTAAAGTGTAATGGGCTCTATTCATGCTAAAAAACAGCTTTCTTTACGGTCCCACTTCTAATCAATGATCCAATTTGAAAGTACCCCATTTAAAGGAATCAAAACAAAAAACGGATACATCATTATATTCATGGAGCTTTTTTGGCTTTTTGCTTTAAATATAAGGCACATTATATAGTAGGTGAAGAAAGATGCAAAAAGAAAATTGACTGTCAAATTGCGTGTCAGTGCCTAATCTAAAGGTAATTTCAAAGAAAAATAAAATTCTAGCAGAGAAGGGAGAACCTTTTGGAAAATAGCAATTTCTAGAGGAAGCAGGTGCGCCATAAAAAATTATCGCTTTTTTAGGCCACTATTTCAAATTCCAAGACCACAATTAGTGGGGGAAACACGCACTGATGCATACGCAGCAGTAGATAAATGACGTAAGTGCTATTTTTATAGACAAAAATGCTAATTTGATATGCCAGAATGTTCAGTATGATTGTAAAAACAACAAACTTTAGAACAATGTTAAATAAATATCCAACGACAACAATCTTTAAAAGAAAAAGGCTAGTTGCACTTTTCAGGTTCTTTGATTATTCATATAAACTGCACAGAAATTGTTCTTTGTTTAACGTTAGTCGTTATTCACATAAATATGTTTTTAACACTATAGGATCATAGGCCTTTCGTACATACACTGTTTTCTTGCTACTACAATTGATGAATATACTAACAAGATTATAAACGTTTTTCGCAATTTTCACAGAGCCAACTCTGTGCTACATTTGCTGTCTCTTTTTATCCATGGCCAGTGTTTTTCATTTATCATCGGTAACTCCAAGCTTTCTTCCAACATCTGCAGTTGTCTTTTTACCGCATAAGTAATTATCCGTCCAGTCTTTTGGTCCATCAGGGACTGCCATTTTCAAGCATTCGATATCATCAGCTTTTACAGGGCCTCTGAAAGACCATACGAAATGGTACGGACTGTCTTTTGGGACGCAGAGGAAATTGTTTTCCCAATATTTTCCAAAAGTAGGGTCTGATATATGTGTGCACCTTTTACCGTTGATTTCTCCTGCAAGTGGTAAATTAACAGATTAATCTGTCACTTTAAAGCTGCTTATATACAACAAAGTTTGCTGTTTGTATCATAGCTTGAAGCAATTCATGTCAAGACCATCCTATCTCTACCGCGGTTATCCTTAATGAAAACGTATATAAACTGAGTTTCTTTTCATCTATGAATAGGCAACCAATCAAAATGAATCTGCTCTTTGTTACAAATCAATTCCAAAAAAGGTGTGTTAAGTCGCTGCTCAGTTCCTGTGCAAATTGAATAAAATTTCAAATTTCGTTAAGAACAGGATTTGTCAACTAATTTTCTTCGATTTACATTCGTATTTTTTTCACTCCGATAACATTTGCTAATTACAAAATAACATACTAATCGTGATAAAAACATCATTCTTTGAAAGTTCCTACCCGAATGTTACCTTTCTGGAATAAAATAATACCATCCTAAAGCTGTTTTTTAAATTAAGGTCAACAGACGGAAAGTTTGTCGCAGTACTTTCTTTCTTTGTCTTTTCCTGTTTTTCTTCACATTTCATTCCCTTCCTTCTTTATTTGCTTCATTCAAATTTTTTCTATTGACCTTTCGCATTTAAGCAAAAATCGTTGGTCCATTCAAATTTTCTTTCCAATAACACTTACCGCAGTGTTTTCTTAATTTTCCTCACATTATTCAAGCTTTTCAATATCATAAAATATTGGTTTTTGCCAAAAGTACAATTTTGCTAATTTTATAAGGCCTGTCGCTTACCGTTGTATGACCATTCGATCCCTGGTTCGATGTCGCCTCTTTTCTTGTAGCATAAATAATTATTTTTCCATTCAACTCCCGCCGATGGCTCGTTCATATGCACGCACTGGCAATTGCATGTTTGACAGTTGCATGTTTGTGGTGCTCCGTTTGTGTTCCAGTTGAAGTCTTGTGGCCATTGTGGATATGTTCCTGAGAAAATCATTATAAAGAAGCGTTAATATCCTTTCTCTAGACACTCAAGTTATATAATTGTGAAGTCCTAACTTATATAGCAGAGACTAGCATACATAATTTGTTTAATTGCTAATTATTTGGTTTATCACTTCTTCCACTGGGTGACAACTTTTTGTTTAAGAAATCAAATAAGCAAAAGATTTTTAATTCTTCCTTGCACTGAAGATAGCTTCCACTGTCGGGTTATATTAGGTTCAGTATAAATGCTTTGATAAAGTTGCATCCTATCCCAGAATTCACAGATATAAAATATGTCTGCTTTTTTTACGGTCTCAGCCAGTGTTTCAGGTCTCTATCTCACGAAAAACTCTCTTTATCGCGGCAAAACGTTTGTCCCGAATGCATTTTGTTATGCGAAGGGGGAAAGTTGTGAAGCTTAATAATGACGATAAAATAGATGACTTGAGACGAAACACTTTTTCAAATGATTTACATACAGAGAAAATACTTGTTTTTTCAGAAGCTAGTCTCACGGGGAGGTCAGGAAATGAGGGTACATCCACTTAAGCTGTTAAGTCAAGTCCTTGAAAATGGATTTTCATCTCAAGTCAAATATAGTATCCACTTCATCAGCCACACTTAACATCCTTTTTGCTGTAACAATGGAGGGCCACTGAAGATTGCAAAGACTCCGAAATTTCCAAGATTCAAAACTACAGGTCTTTGTATACAAGAACAGGTTTGCTTATAGGATCAGCTATAACTTACCAACGGCAGCTCCAGTTTTTATTTGTATAAGAACCTTATGTCCATGACCAGGACTGACAATCACTTCAGGGGTTGCTGGGCCGGCTGTTGGATATACAGTTGTTACTTGCGGCAGAACTCCAGGTGAAGGCTTCTCTGAAGGAGAATTTGTGGCTCCCGGTGCAGGGGTTGGCGCTGTTGCTCCGGTTGTGCCAGGAACAATTGTAGTTTTGAGCTAAAGAGTGAACCTGGGTTTTTCACTTTCATGCGATGTAAAAAAATTAATGAAAGCTGATGTTGTATGAATTAAAGTAGTTGCTTTTTGGCGAGATTAAAATAATCTCAAAGAATGGATCAAGTTTTGAATTGTTTGCTATTCATCGGCAATAATTTTTGCAATATACCACGTTATAGGATGACCGAGTAATATACAAAAAAAACACACAATATAACGGGATTTTATATTAGTTTTCAAACAGCAACATAGAGTAAAGCTTTAACTAGCCTCTGGCTTGCATGAGTCCCTACTAGCTAAAGTAAAAATAAGCGTTTTTATGCAAAAGCTGTGAACAGGAATTGTTCTTTTACTACCAAAAGAGGTTACAATGCATCCTTTTAGTCTTCTATAGAGTTCTATAGAGTATGACGTCATAAATATAATCTGTTTTTAGAATTTTTCAGATTGAGTCCCATACCCTAAAAATCTCATACTTCTAAATATCTAAAATGAAATGGGTATGTCAAAAATCTGGCGAAATATGGCCAATAAAAGATTTGCAGTTCGCTAACGGATTACTGTTACTTTGTCTTGTTTCTTAAAGTTATTACCAGAGACCAAATGACCGAGGTTTGATGAGGAAAGAGCCTGCGCTTATGTGAAAATATCTCAGCCAATTCGTAACACATTTAACTGATTTTGCACATTTAGCGGTATTTCATGGTGCTATTTCAGGTTGTGGGATTCAAAGTCAAAAATTGTAAAAGTAGATTTTTATGAATTCATCGTTTCTATCAACAGTTGTTTTTACACAATACACGATGTCTAAGGGCTCGGGCGCATTAGAATTTGAAACATGACAAAATCGCGACAAACGTAATCCTCATTGTCTTCTAATGATCGGTGCAAAATCTGCTATGTAACGCCCGGGCCCTAAATGCCAAAAGTTTAAAAAAATGTAATATAAAAGGTAAATCTACAGCAAAGCATGGTCGATTATTTTCAAAGAAACTATGTCTTGCCGTTCGCAGATATATTTAATGTGAAGGAAAACAATGGGCAGCCACCCCCCCCCCCCAAGACTTGAAAAAGTTTGAAGGGGTTTTGATTTCGGCAGGTTGATAATAGTGTGGGGGGGGGGTGGGAAATAGTTTTTAAAAGGTTTACTAGAGGAATTTCTTTGACAATACGATTTCTGCCTTAGAAAAAAGTAAAAACCATTTTATCCCTTTTCAGAATTACAAGGTCCCTGGCCATGTTTTGATATGATTGAATTGGGAGATATGAAGTCGTAATGGCTGACTGAGATGAAAGCCGTCTAAAATGTCTATAAATATAAGGGAAGGGAGTTGTGTATAGTCGCCGACTACGTGGGGGCTCGGGGGCTCGATAATTTATATGTATATTCGAGGGCGTGGGGGCTTGGGGGCACGATAATGTATATGTAATATGTATATTCTAAGTATGTGAAATTTATCTATTGTTAAAAAATAATTTGAATCAAATAAATCCTTTGTAAAAAATTTAGTCTAAACTTTATGTCTCCTACGTCATCTGTTGATATTTTAACTTGTCTATTATCGTTATTAAAGCGACAGGGAATTTCTCTACCTTTTACCTTTTTTAATTTTTTTTTAATTTGAATTTTGAGCCCCCCCCCCTGGGAAAAATAAAAGTCGGCGCCTATGCGTGTATGGATGAATAAAATTGCATGGATATAGAAAAAAAACACAGAATAGAATGAAAACAGTGAAAAAATTCTGTTTTCAGCATTTGAACATGATTTAAAGGTAATTTTTGAAAACACAACAAGAAATTCATCGGTTTATCTACCAAACTTTCCTACCAAACTGTCTCACCCTCTGTTTTGCAAATTGATTTAGGCAAGCGTGTTAGTTTTTTTATTTAGTTATATTTAGATAAAAAGAATGTAAGTAAAAGTGGCATTAGAATGCAAACATGATGTTTGAAAGCTTTTGATTTTATATGCATTTCTTTAAAATTCTTATCTTTCCAGTACATTCCCTCTGCCGTCAACAGAAGCTAATATAAAAATGTCATATATAGTAGCTAATTTGCATATAAGATCTAAGGTTAGTACTTAACGTAGTTATTGTATAGTAGTTTTTGCTTTGCTTTTTAAAAGTATTGTGTGCTGTGTATCTGCGTGTATATGAGCAAAAATGTGTTTGGATGTATATGATGTTACCTTACTATAAAAATATGACTTAGGTGTATTTTACTATGTAGGATAACGATTCTGTTCAAGTCAACAATATACAGTCAGTCAAGATATTGTGTGTATGTATTTGTATTCACAAGTCAAATGTTATTGCCAGAAAGAGCAAGAGCATCTTCAATGTATTGCGTTATTGCCAATATACCCAGCACAGTATTGTTTCCCTTTTCTCTCGCTAGCTCTAGTCCATGTCTCATTTTCTTTGATTTCTCTTCTAGTCGTCGTCTTTACGATCTTTTTCCTTTTTATTGCTCTTTTCCTTCTTTTTGTCCTCTTTCTCGCTCTCATCTTCCTCCCAGTTGTTCCCTTGTTTCTTGTTATTCCTCCCTTTTCGCCCATTATTACCTTTGTTTTTATTTTTCCTTCCCCAGCCCCATCCTTTGCCTTTGGATTGGTCTTCTTTATCTTCATCTACCACACTGCCTTCTTTCTTTCCGCTTTTCGTCGGTGGTGCCTGTGTTGTATGCTCAATGTGCATCTCTGGTGTTGGAGTGGTGAAAGCAACCGTCACACCAGTTGATGGGTTAGCTGTTTTCTTCGGAGCCTCGGTGATTTCTGGGGTTGTTGTCGTTGGGGTTGTAGTTATTGCTTTTGTAGGACTCTTACCTTCCCGTTCCTTAGTTGACGGTTTCGGTGATGTTACTGTTAATGGTGTGGGGGTAGTAGTCTTTGCCTTTGTTTTTGTTGTTCTGGGGGTTGTTTTAATTTTCTTACTTTCCTTTGTGGGGGAATCGGTCGCAGTTGCTTTAGTTTGAACGGTCGTTGGTTTTGCTGTGGTCGTTTCCTCGAGTTCAGGGGGTTCTGTCGGGCTAGTTGTGATGGCAGTTTTTACAGTCGTTGCCTTGTCCTTAAATATGTATTACAAATTGTCACTTGTTTATTAGTATTGTCATGTAATGTTGCGTTAAGCCAATTGGATTTCGATATTATCAAATTTTGATACAGATTTATGCAGAATATTCGGCAGCAATATTCTACTTTGGCTATATTAAAATTGAAATATCAATTTGACGATCTTCTGCCCGTTAGAGCTTTTTGTATATTGCTTTTTGCTAAAAAGCTTGGCTCTTACTGATGACCCAGTACGAATGCAAGGGACTTACGAGCCAGCGTGGACAGGTGTGGAGCAGCCACAAAAATATCGAAATCTCAAGTTCTTTTTGCACATATACTTGTGTTTGTGTTGTTATTTAAACTTTTGTTGATAAGTAATGAGATTAAAAAAGTGCAAGTGCTCTAGGAATTTAGGCTGAGCCTTATGCTTGTGTTTAGTCCGTCCAAAGGCTTTTGCTTGCAGTTATGCTTGTGGTTTTTTTTGCTAATTAGGACCAACCTTGAGTCAAATAAAGACATAAAAAAGCGCTGAAAAGCTTGCTTATGGTCGATTTTGCATTGAGATCATTTAGATAAACCTAATTATTCAGGACCCTATCTTTTTACTTCTTATAGTTCAATCGACAGAAAATGATATGGTAAGAAAGGTCTGAACCATTTTCTACTGGCTTTGTGAAATGTTTTCACAAAGGCTCTAGTTCTAAGTAATGTAATGCACTATATTTAGGTATGAAAGCAAATGAAAAAGAATCTTCAAATATCATCTTATCCCTGAATTTCAAAATAGATTTTTGGTTTCAAAATGGATTTTTGGTGTTAACGTCTTTCTAAACATTGCAAAATTCAAAATATCTTACCGGAGTCTCTGATGGGGCAGCTGTTGTAACTGGTGCAGCTGTTGTTCCAGGTTGAGCAGTTGTGACAGGCTTAGTTACAACTGGTACAGTTGTGACAGGCGCTGCAGTTGTAACAGGTGCTGCAGTTGTGACAGGTGCGGCAGTAGTGACAGGCTTTGTAGTCTCGGCTGGAGCCGTTGTTGGGTCTTGGCATTTGAACAGCTTCTTAATTTGTGTGATGTCAGTCTCACTCATACCATCTCTCTGGCCGATCTTAGGTGTCGGGCTGACCGATGCTAATATTTCAATGGTTTTTGTACCGTCTTTAGAGAATGCGGTCTCAGGATAATGCATGATGCTGTTGAAGTCATAATCGGCACCAAGATAATCAGCTGAACCAACGGCATATTTTTTGAAATTGTTTTCCATTCCTGTCAAGTTATATATAAAGGCTTAAAAATTTTCGTATTACTTGACATTTACTTAACTGATTCTGCCTTTTTTAAACTATAAATTCTAACAAGGATCTAGTTAAATAAAACGACCACTCCAGTTAAATAATGAAACATAAATGCGATAAACTGCACTGAAAAGCTTTATCAATTGGCTTGCACTGTTTTGTTGTTTAGGCCAAGCGGCAAGCCTTATTCTCTCGCAAGTCATTCTATTTTACCGCTAGTTCTTCAAAGCAAGCCTGTAGTACCATAGCCATATCAGCTGCTAGTGTACCTATGCTCCTTCTCTGCATATTCGGAAAAAGGGACACGAGAATACTTATTACGAATAGCTTTATAATGCCCTCGAATCATTAACAGTAAAGTACCAAACGTCCAAGTTCCTTAAATGTAGAGGAATTTTCACTTCAGAGTCCAACTAGATATAGTTGCATAGTCCTTTTCTTTAATTTCTAGACTAGAGAATACATATCGGGTAAGGCTCAGTACATTGTATTTATTCCGGTTCCTTTCTCTATACGCACTTCTAAGCACTGCCAGGGGGCAAAAAGACAATTTAGAAATGTATATACCTGACAAGCCCTTCTCCTTCCTGCTTCCAGATTTAATGAGTTACCCTTTGAAGACAAGTTTTACAACACGAATTCATTCCTTAGTTCCTCGTTGCGATTTCTTGCTCACTACAATTTACTTAAGAATCGTGTATATTTTGAATATATTGTGGAATAACTTACCAGTTTGGATTGACCCCCACTTAATTGTAACGTAGTTATCCCTATCCAGTCTGGTATGTTCGTGAAAAAAGCCCATTGCATGCATACACTCATGGATTATTGTTCCTTTGTATTCACAACCAGCGCCAATTGAAAGATCCTGTGAGCCTCCATTTTTACCAACAAAAGAGTAACAACTGTAAAAAGATAGCAAATACTAAAAATGGATATACAAACTATGTTTCGAATAGGATTAACCAAATATATTCATCCGCAGCTTTTGCAATGCCGTTTAACGACAATTAAGTTCATTTTGTACTAAAGTTTGTCTTCATTTGTATTTTATATTTCATATTTCTATACACATTTATATAAGGCCATGAACCTGAGCTCATCCACATGTATATTGATGGGCTCAGATGCAACTGTTTTTATCTTATGCAATTAGTCACAGTAATCTCGATAAAGCTCCTGAGTATTTGACTGGAATGATTCCTGTTTACCATTCTAGTAGATCATTGCAAAATGTGATGATAGTAATGTTCCTCACTCACCCTTTCCCAGGGAAAAATCTGATGTAATCAGCCTGACTCGTCCTTGGCACAAAACTAACGCAAGTGAATTTACTGAAGTCTTGGAAAGCTGCCTGGGCGGCGTCTTTAGCTCGTTGGCCTAAAAAGCAGAACTAAGATGAACTTTGCATTGCAAAACAGGTAAGGGTACCTTGTAAATTAGGGGTATGTAATTAAATTTTTAACTACTACAGCCTATCACAAGCCTTTAAAAGATTGTATATAGCAAACAAAGTGCCACGCAGAGTGCTTTATCTATTAGCTTGCTAAAGGCACATGTTCCGAATCATTTCGATGGCCATTTAAATTTCCCATCGGTTTGACTATACAATAGACCTATCGTTATGTATTCAATCGTCAACATGAGACTAATTTTAAATGTTTTCTCAATAATAACGCGTCACAAAGCCAATTGTTTACACAGAACACTGAAGGGGCAAAATGCCTTTATCCGGACCCGATTGTGAAAGAAATAGGCCGGGCAACAGGCTACATATTCATTAAACACCTAAAAGTAAATTTGCCTGAAAATCGTTAAAGCAAACTACTGGTCTACTTCATAGTATGAGAATGCAGGTATGCGCTGCTCGAGACCTGTCGACTGCAGATGGTAGAACTTCGATTGTCTTTCGTTAAGCACCGTTTGCTGCTCATGATATTTTTCAGAGGCCATTTTTTATCAAGTCACAGTATCAAATATCATCAATAGTAATGAGTGCTCCTACTATCAAATATTAGAAAACTAAAACATCACAACCAAGGCACAATTCCTACTTAGCAATTCTTCAAAAAGCAACATAGCAAAAAATATAGCTTAAATCTCAAAATGAAAGAATACTCTTCAAAGCCAATACTTCCAAACTGATGTAAGTTAGTTATAAGGATGGGACCGTGGTTTATGTCGCTGAATACTAGAGTGCCTGGCATGACAAAATGTTCTCTTAGAGTGAGAAAAGTCGCCAGCCCTCTGTAATTCCAGGTGAAGAAATCACAAGGTGTGGTCACATAGATAGAAAAACGGTCCAAGACACTGCTCGATAAGCATAACTTTTCAGTGTTTTAAAACTACCTACGGGGACTAGGTAGCAACAATACATACAATACAATATGGTATTGCATTAAATGTTCATGTCTCATTTGGACAACTAAAGTAATAAGATGTCAATAGAGTGCTCGTGCCAGGAGGCTTCTAGTTAAGAATTTTCGGTTTTCTAATATTTGGTATGGAAAGTTTAAGTGGAAATTATCGGTTTCAGGTTGAAGTTAAATTTGTTTTAGTTCTTACTCAACGAAGGATCAAAGACGTAAGGTATAGCTTTTTCTTTCCAATGCATTGACTCAAACGAAAGAACGTCTCTTTCTCCAGCTGTCTTGTTCGCCTTTTCGATCAGTTTCTTCAGCTTTTCTGTCATCAAAACATCACCTTCAACGAGGTCCGCTGAAAAAGTAATATTTAATATAAATTATCCCTTATAAGTATCATAACAGTACTAATATCATGAATATAAATTGATGTAATCTATACATTGGATGCAAGTCTGGAAAATTTTAAAGGTGTTTGGATTATATCGTTATTGGGAGAGAGTTTAACGGTAGTTTGAATAAATCTTTTAGTAAAATCCTATGTGAATAGATGGCCTCAAACGGACTTTCCACAACTACAGATGCTAATATCAATACTATGGTTCAGATACTAAAAGTGTTGATATACGAAATACGAAAATAAAATAACACAGAAAAACAGAAATACACCAAAAACTACTTTTATCGGACATTGGACACCGGACAAATGCTACTAGACGTCAGCTATGTTTGCTTTGATAATTGTGTGTCTGAAGCTAACGTTCTCTCATCGTAGTAAAAATATATCATAAAAGGACTGTTTTAACTGCAACAAATGTGCAGATCCAAAAAGGTTTCACGCACGTCTCTGTTCCTTTTTAAGTGCTTTGTCTTCCTCTGCCTTTGTTTTAGGACAGAATTTATCTGAAAAAAGATAGGCAAGAAAACAATCGATAATAAGGAATACTTCAACGCGCTTAGAACAAACAATAATGAAGTAATATGTCACATGAAGTAAATGACACTTTTGAAATGATGCAAGTTTTCCACAGTTACGGTGGTAATTATTTAAAATATTGTTAGCTGGCAAAAAAGGCAGGGAATAAAATTTGATCCGGATTAAAGGAAACGGGGTGTGGGGGAATTCACCCTATTCTTCAAACCAGATTCTATTTTTGTTTGTCTGTTTGTTGGACCACTTAGCTGAAACTAGATGCCGAAAGATATTGCTTCGAAAAATACGAAAATAGAAAGCAATGTAGAATGAAAAGTAAGAGCAGAATCCTAGAATCTGGTATTGTTAGCAGATATTCCAATGCCCAAAGAGGGTGCACTTGGGACCCCAGTTCCCGAATTCGTAGTACTTTTTCCTCCCAAATTCTCGATTATACGTTTTTCATTATCCCTTTCCACACAAAGATAATTGTTGTATCGTTAATAATAATAAGCGATTTTGCATTGGAAAAACATGAAATATCTTGATTCTCCTGTCACAAAGTTAGTACTACAGATTCCCAGAGAAGCATATTGAGTTAATTTTTCAAAGTGACCTCAATGAGACGAATGTATAAGTACTAGCATAGATAACGAATAGAAAATTCACTTTGCCTTTAACATATATGTAGATTCGTACATCATATAGTAGATTTATCATGTTAAGTAACGGTTTATAATCGATGCAAAGTGTCTATTGAAAAAAAGATCTTGCACATTCTCTTTTGCGATGTAATACCGTGTGTATCAATATTATTAATCACGATGCTTGGAAAGAGCAATACGATTGTGATCATACATCTCACTTTAAAGTTTATGTGGTTGTTTGTATCAGGGATTCATGGACTGGGGAATCGGGCTTGTTTGAAAACTCATTGATTGGTCAAAACGATGTTTAGGCCTTATTGAAAATACATTGCCACGCGTCTCCTGCGCATAGCTGCCAAAGAAATTAAACATAAACAAAATTTGTTGAACAAGAACGGATTGAAACAGTGTAGCCTGCAAATCAAAGCTCGTGATTGTTATCGAGTAGCCAGAAAGAAACGTTTTCAGATTGAGGAGGTTAAAGCAACAGTTAAAATAGTTTTATATGCATAAAATTCATACTGTTCTCTTTGCCAAGAATTCTGGTTGCCACAGCTTTTTTCTTCGTAGCAGATCTCAGGATCGTCATCAAATCTCCATTGTCATCTCTGCGACCCCTCATATAAGATGGTCGACAGTTTATCTCTGACGCAAAGAATAATAATGCTAATAAACTAATGTACAACATTTTTAATTCAATTTTCCACTCATAATAATGAAAATATGGCGGCGTTGTTGATTTATACACACGGTCGAAATTACTCGATTAGTCGTCTTCAAACTGAATCGCTTAACCTGTAACTACCTGGACCAGTGAATCTTCGAGAGCGCTCATTCGCAGGCATTGTCTAAAGTAACATGTTATTTTGAATATCGTGTTTGTCTTGACTGAGTACCCGAGCTCTTGAATACAACTCTAACGAGGACGACACGCTCAACGAGCGCGAGTACTTTTAACTGTTACGCAGGCTTCAAAGCACGCGAATTAGCTTTGTAACATATGTAAACACTGGATTTGATGGCGCTATCAAGAGGCGTCTGAATATTTTCTGCACGAAAATGGGCTTGTCGCAAACATATAGAAATGTTGTTTTGGTCTCCACATAATTTATCTCAAACAACATTAGTTGATGGTATTGGGAGCAAGGCATAAACAAAATGTATGCATGCATGCTTTTCAATAACTCCATTTAGGCTGTATTGTCTGCTCGATGCAAGAAATCGTCTTTCACAGTTATGGCCATAGCTTCCCAACTTTTATGCGAAGCAAATGATTTTGAAGTGGCTATAAAAAGTGAAAGACGTTTTCCCCCATTTTCGTTAGCCTTGGCCCCCCTACTTTAAACTTCGCGGTATGGGCCCTGGACTTCCGGTCGACGTTATGACCTGTGAACATGCGAAGCAAACCATCATTTAGAGCACGGTGGTTTTGAAAAAAGAATACGAAGATTTAGGCCTAAACATCAAACGCAATTACAGACAGTTCAATTCAAACTGTAAGATGAGAGACATAACTTTGCCTTTTCTTTACTGGGAAAGACTCCCGAGAAAGACGCTCCGAGAATGGGTGCTAGAAACTGGGCCTACTGACCACGAGGCTGTATGATTGGGCCTAAGTATCTACACTGTCTAAACTTGCTATGTAAACATCACATTCTACCATTTTCCCTTCTTTTTGAATCTCCCTTCACTTGTTTTATAAGCCTCCAATATTCTCCTATTTTCCACCATCATTTGCACAAAATATTTTTCATAAAAAATCTAAATCCAAAGCCAAAGACAGCGCTTTGGATGATCTGCTTTGTGTTGGCGACATAATAGTCAATCTTGAACAGATCCTGAAACTTGCTTTCTTACTCTGGAGTTGGTAACATACAGCCTTGATATGATACAAATTCTAAGTACATTATAAATTATTCATTGGGAGGTAGCAACAACCAGCTCAAGCTGAAGCTCAAATAATTGTTTTTAAAGTCATTTGAGTTAGCTTAAAATAAAATATGAGTACGAGCCCTTATTAGACTTTGAACCCTTATTAATATATGGACTTATTAATATATTATTAATATTGTCTCACGTTGCTTCTTTTCGATGACTAACGACTACAATCATAATAGGCGAATAATATTGAATATCAAAGGCGATATTATTAAACATAGCCAGATAGTATAGAGTATTATCGTTTAAGTCATTTTGGATTGATATGTTGTTTATGTATGTGCTTCAAATTTTGTGACTGTGAATTAGAGCTAATAGTACGATGTACTGTCAATATATATCTATGACCATGACAACAAACCAAAACTTGGATTTTGGGATAGTTGGAGGGTCATGGCAGCCAACCTTCTGATAGAAGATGGTACCTGATGATGACTTTCAATAGCGATCTCGAGATATGAACAGGGTTAACCTCAATATTTGCACAAAACACTAGCTTCTTTGATTCTTGTGGCATCTGCATAATTTATTAGCTGTTTCAATTTTTGTTTGCCATTGGCTACAAACATAGCCACCTCCAATACCAGCCCCCTAGCTAATTTCTTGCTAAGCAATTTAACCCTAAGTACACATCAATCGAAACAAGAAACAGAATTCGACAGAATTGATACATAACATACATTTCAAAATATGAAATATCCAGAGAAATCAGGAGAGTACTAAATCAATGAAATTTCTAACTATATTTCGTCAGAATTTGTTAAATACATAGAATTTCAACAGTCAACTCATTTCAGTAATAAAAATTAGGTTACCAGTAAATCAGAATATTACAAAAAAGGGACAGGTTAGTTTTCTACTGAAATTTTTACAAATAATACTACGTTGTGCAACTTTGCAATCAAAAGCTTTTTCTAATTAAATACCAATGACTATATTTTACAATGATACTTGATTAGGTAGCCAGGAATTTTTATTACATATATAAATCTACTACTTTACTAGTTGAAGTTCTTTACGGTATATTTGCGTGGTTTTAGATCATTCCTTCCATTTTAATGTTTTCTTTGTGTTCATTAGCTTTATTTGTAAGGACTAAAGGCAACATACGAATGAAGCTAATTGAATATTGCCGGTTGAAAAGACTTCTAGTTGCATGTGTATATTGTTTCGCCGGAATCTTTGCTTGCTTCTTCTAACGTATCGTTAACAATAGACTGCCTTTTAGTACTAACTGAACATTTAAACAGTTTATTTATTTGAAAACGATCTCCAGCGCTCAGCCCATCTCTTTGTCCAATAATTTTCAGTATGTTCTTTGCTTTAATGGAGCACCCAAATATCGACATGGTATCTTTGCCATTTTTGCTGTATTTGTTTCGACTGTAGTGCATTATACTGTTGTAGTCATAGTCACTGCCAAGAAAATTCTGAACAAATTCTTTGCTGATGCGAAAGTACTTCTTTTTGTCTGAAATCGAAAGAAAACTAACATAACTTGAAAAAGGCTTTGAAAAAGCAAACATTTCAGAATATACTAAAGCTTTTCGTTTGACACTCTTCAGTGTATAAATTGTCAAACATAGATCGAAAACTCTACGTTAGGAAATATATATTCCCGGTTGTGGATCGAAATAGGCCAATCAGAAACACGAGCACATGACTGTATAGGTTGACCAATCAGTGCCGCTTGCCTATTAGAATGTTACCAGTGGAGTCCTAAGGTGAAAACGAACTCCTTTTGTCTACACAGTAGCGGCTTTTTCGTGCTTATGTAGATAGATTCTAAAACTGCTAGGTGGAACGACGATCGGGCTTTACCAATAATCCAAGACATGTCGAAATATATTTTTAGATGACTATTCCAGTTAGCAAATCTATTTGGCACACACAATTCTTAACAGGCATCCAAGGTTAAAATGCCTATGAAATGAAATTTCACATATAGTTTTCTTGATAGAAATTGAAACTTCTACATGTTGTTGCAATAGAAAACAAAAATTAACTTGAAAATTTGCACGGGAAAGTTTGTTTTATGGTGTTTAAAAATAATCGGTGCGAGTGACAAAGCAAGAGAATCAGTGGCTTCACAAGGTTTGCATTTGGTTCAGTCTTCACAACAAACACACTATACCACTTAGTCAGGACTGTTAGTCAAACAATACTGCAAATTGTGATACCAGCATGAAATTTTGCAAAAAGGGATAGCTTGATTCGCTGAAAAATAGAGGATATGGAAACCAACTGAAAATTGTCCCTTATGGCTATTTTTAGACCGGAGCTCTTTCTCCAAAGCCCCTAACGGCGTTATTACAATATCTCTTTTGAAAGTACGTACAATAGCACGAAACTTTACAACAGGGGACAGTTTGATACGATACAAAAATAGGATATAGAACCTAACTGAAAATTGCCCCCTTTTTCTATTTTTAGACTGGGGTACTTTGCTGCAGAACCTTTAAGGACGGTGTTATCGCATCTCAGTCGCACTTTAGTACTACGGCACAAATCTTTGCAATATAGGACAGTTTGATACGCTGAAAAATATAGGATATAGATCCCGTCTGAAAATTGCCCCCCTTAGGCTATTTTTAGACTAGGGTGCTTTATTGCATGACTCCACTAACGACGTTATTTTGATATCTCTGCTAAAAGTAGGTTCAATAGCAGGAAACTTGCAATAAGTGGAAATCTGATACGTAGAAAGTAATAGGATGTAGACCCCATCTGAAAATTGCCCCCTTGTTCTATTTTTAGACTAGGGTGCACTGCCCAGTCCTTAATAGACGGTATTTTCGTATTTCAGTCGTAATTTAGTGAAACAGTATGAAACTTTGCAAAAGCGGATAGTTTGATGCGCTAATAAGATTGGATATGAACCTTGGCTTGAAATTGCCCCCTTCGGCTATTTCAACTGTAGTTTTAATACCGACCTTCATTTTGCTTAATATACTAAACACCAACTGCTTCCGTATGGGAAATTCAACCTCAATTTTTGGACGGTTCCGCAAGAAAGTAATCACCTCAACATATATAATTGAAATCAGCAAGTTTTGCTTATAAAAAATGTGTCTTTATCTAAATTGTCAAATTTGACTTCATAGGCACTTTAAAGGTTTGATCTGAAGAAAGAAAGAAATGCCCTACCTTTTTGTTTTTTTCAGATTACTCCAGTCAAAATGAATGAAATTATGGTCGCTAGAACTAATTTACAAGCAAGATCCTACATCTTGTTAAATAATTACTGCATGTGCTGTGGTGGTGCAGTGGTTAACATTGATGCTGTTGGCAAGAACTAATACAGTTTTATGCAGATTATATTTATCGTGTTGCTTTTCAACGTCATCTTATCGTATTCTATCACGATTAGATACTTGCCAGGAAGGATATTTTCCCAGTTGATCTCCACATAAATATCTCTGTCTTCTCGGGTATGCTCGTTTAGAAATCCAAATGCATGCATTATTTGGTGAATCACTTCCCCTTTCTTCTCACAGCCGTCACCAATCGAGACTTTCTGACCAACTTTCTCTTTGTCTTTTCGTAATCCAATGAAAGACCAGCATCTATTTAAGAGAATTTGCTTATTAGCTCTTATAAAAAGATTTCACAAGCTAAAAATGTTCAAATTTGGTCTTTCATTTAAAGTATCAAATATCAAAATATTTCTAAATTATGTCTCTGTGAGTTAGAGAAGGAAAGAAATCAGTTCTAAGGCCTTTTAGATTTGCTTACTATTTGAATGTTTTTCCATTTTTGTAGCTTTAATTACAAACTAAAATAAGACCAAATAAGACCAAATAAGACCAAATAAGACCAAATATGACCAAATAAGACCAAATAAGACCAAATAAGACCAAATAAGACCAAATAAGACCAAATAAGACCAAATAAGACCAAATAAGACCAAATAAGACCAAATAAGACCAAATAAGACCAAATAAGACCAAATAAGACCAAAAAAGACCAAATAAGACCAAATAAGACCAAATAAGACCAAATAAGACCAAATAAGACCAAATAAGACCAAATAAGACCAAATAAGACCAAATAAGACCAAATAAGACCAAATAAGACCAAATAAGACCAAATAAGACAAAATAAGACCAAATAAGACCAAATAAGACCAAATAAGACCAAATATGACCAAATAAGACCAAATAAGACCAAAATGAGAAAGTACACAGAATATTTTTCTCTAAATGGCCATTAAACTTTTTCATACCCGTTTCCTTTGAAGAATTTCAGAAAATAATCGTCTTTCTTCTTTTCCCGCATCCGAAATCGAACACACGTGAATTTTTCAATTTCTGCTATTGCTTCTGATATAGCCTTTTTCTTTTCTGGTGGAGAAAAATATGAACAAAAGTCAAGTTTTAGTGTATACACAAATCTTTTGCTCCGTTGATATCAAAGTCAAAGACTTTCATTTGTAGAACCTTTCGTTATTCAAATTCAATGTCACCATGTTGCTTAAAAAAATATTTGTAAATTGTATTCCTGATTGAATTTGTTTAAAATTTGATAAAATCTGTTAAAATTCTAAAATTTCATAGAGTTCCTTTCGAATTTCAATCACAAATGAAGCTCTTCTATTAGTCTTTGTTTTGAACCCACGATATCTTATCTTTTTCTTTAGTTTTCACACAGTTGTTTCATACTGATTCCTCAGAATTTCTTGAAAACTTTGATCTTGTGCTCGATGTCTTATTTTCTAGAACGAATCTTTGTGAAAAACAGGATGACGAGCATGGTGTGCCTTCCATTACTTCCAAAAATCTTGAAACACTTGCACCAGTTTAACAAGCATATTTAGTAACCCGTATCTCCCCTTGTTTCTCCAAAACGAGTCCTTAGATTAGAATTTTTCATTTTTTTTATCTGACTTGTAGGATATTAGCTCAAACTATCAAGATTTTCGGGGATGATCTATATGTAAAGGAATTAGTACTCGAGGAGTTAATGAAATATGTATATAAACAAAACTCGACTTCAAGGGCTTTCCAGGTAATAATTATAACGTCAGACTCTGGCAGATCTCCGTATTTAAACTTGATCCGTAGGTTAAAGGCAATCTGTCTCGTTGTGGATTGGTTAACGAGAACAATAGCTGCAACAATAGCCTATACACAATTCCAGCGCTCCGTCACATTTTTTACAATGCGATAAATTAAAGGGGGACTGGAAATAATAAAAATCCCTTTGTTCTTATAATCAATCAACGTCGTGACAGATTGCCTTTAAAATGGGTGTGTTATTGTCCGTCACCTTACTGATTAGATATTGAGATGTTGAAAAACGAGATAAAATTTTCTTTAGTTTAAGATTGTAAACAGATATATTGTTCAGTAATACTGATAAGAATCCTATCCTATATCCGCATCTCAATACCTCTACATTGATAAAAATGACTGACATCTCCTGATTACTTACTATCATCTATGCTGGCATCTATTTCATACGGGATCTTTTCTCCTGTAGGCCAAAGCTCGAACACATCAGAGTATTTGTTATTGATCACGACCCTCTCTTGTCCTGCTTCATTTTCGTCGTCATTCTGTCTTCCATAGAGAAAGTCTTTTTGGGTTTTTGATAAGATAAAACCATCCTCTAACTGGCTAGATTCTATTCCTGTTGGTGCATAATTTGTAGTTGAAATTTCATTCAGCAAACATCTTTATCAGAATTATTTTAGCAGACGAATAATAAACTGCTCGCACTATTGGTGAATGCAATCTAAACAAATAGTAGAAGGCAGATTGATTCATTTACGATGCGAGTATTATGATGCTAGTAAGTGACATGACTAGGTAATCAAATGCTTTAATATTTGTAAAAGGCCAAAATACTTTAGAGAACATTTTCGTTTTAAGGATGATTTTATTTTGAAGCCTTTTTGAAGAGCCTTCTTTGAGTAAACTCATTTTTTTATAAGAAACTGGCTATAAGAAGCGAGTACTGGACAGTCAGAAAAAATTAAGAAACTTCAGTACTCTAAGCAAAAAGATTAAGAAACTATTAAATCGTGATAAAACTGAGAACAACGAAATTTTGTAAAATCCAAGAACAAGATTGCCCTGTTGGCCCAGAACTTGAGACACAAGGGATAAAAATGTTCTTCCCACATCTAAATACAGCATCGGAGCGGAGGCGAATCTCTTGACATGATAAAAAGGTCACGAACATTTCATAACATCATTCATGACATCATAATTAAGAAACTCTTAAAAAACAATGAGTATTGAAATTTCCAGAACATTAAGAAACCGGAGTACTCAACATCGACCTTTGTTTCTTATAAAAAAATGAGTGTATATGACTTCTATGCCAAAACAGTTACACGAGAATGATCCAGCAATGCTGGAGCAAGAGCACGGAGGGAACAGCTGTTTCCTGGACCATAGAGGTCAAAAGAGTGGGCAGAAACTGCAGTTTTTGACATGATCTCATTTACCCTTAGGGTCCTTAAGCTTAGTTTTCTACTGAAATTGGGCTTGGTTCAAGGTGATAGCAATATTTGAGATCCAGACGGAAGCAAAAAAAACAAGCTATGCACATAAAAAATGTACTCCGGAGGATCAACTTATTCTCTTCCCTTCGCCTTTATCACTTAGATTCACCTTAGAAGTGTTTGTTTACGACGATACATTCTACCTGTAAAGTACTTTAAAAATATAAATGTTTAATCAGAGGAAAATGCTATAAAATTTCCGATAGTTCCCAAGTTTAGTACAAAAAAATGTAATCTGAAGTGCATCCGGGGAACTACCCTATTTTCGGCTCGCTTCCCTCATCTACCACCTTCATGCCAGTGATAAAACCTGTCCCCCATTTGCTCAGTCATACTTCCGGCATCCCTGGAAATATCCCATTTATTTAAATTTTTATCTTTTAATCATTAATTTTGATTCGTCTTGTTAAAAATTGCTTAGTCTGCGAATAAATGAATTAAGATCCTAAATCATTTTTAGATTTTAAAATGGTTTTGAAAAAGCAAACATTTCACAACATGTTAAGAGGTTTTTCTTCTAAGGGTCCGAATAAACATGATATAAATCTTATATTTTTCCATTCTGACGAACACTTATTCTGACGTTTTATACTCTGAGGAGTCGCAATTAAAAATGTTTTTAGTATGTTGTGAAATTTTTGCTTTTTCTAAAGCCATTTTCGAGTTTTGTACAGCAAGGATTGATCATATCAGATTTGGCTCAATAACAAACAGTAAAAATAATAAACCTTGTTCATCTTGAGTGCTTTGCTGGCCACAAAGCTCTGTAAGAAGGCCATTAGGATTTTCCAAGCAGTTCTGTTCCTGAAAATCTTGTGTGTTGTTGGTGATTGCCGAATACACTACTCCTACGCAATAGCAAATGCAGAAAATGCAAACAGATGCAAGATTCATTCCTAATATCTTTGTCTGAATCCCTTTTGTATCAAATATTTTCAACTTGTCAATTCTTGGGGTATGCTTAGAATTTGCTCAGCATTTCCACAACCAACACGTCAAATCTTTTTCAAATTGACATCATCATCTTTGCTTATCTTTGTGTTTTGGAAATAACCAGTTTTGGTATTACCGATTATCCCACGGAGAACAAATTTTGTTCAACCAGTCTGATTCTGCTAACTTCTGATAAAGCAAAATTCACTGGTGTTGTTGTCTGGGTTCATGGTTCAATGGGCAATGTGCAACTTTGAAATAGAGGGCGTCTCCGCACAGTTGCACAGGAAAGGATATACATTAAGTACAACAATTTCGGTGAGATCTATTTTCGGTGAAGCAAGGCAACAATAAAGTCTTATCAATTTGTATCACTTGTGGCATTATAATATTTTGTTTCTGTTTTAATTTTAAAATATTATTGTATAATTTCATTAGCAATGTATGTTTTTTCACAGGCCTTCGTACTATAATTTCTTAAAATTAGACTAAATTTGACTCCGATTATGGTGTGACATGAAATCACATTTGATACCAATTGTTTTTAGAAATTAAGTTATCTTTTAGATTTTTGAAAAAATCTTATTTTTGGACTTTTCTTAAAGTTCAGCTAGAAGATTCTCTTTGAATTTAACTTAAGATTTCTTGCAATTAATCTGAGGGGGGTTTAGGCAAACAATACTTCATTTTAGGATTCTTAAGGAAAACATTTTTTGTTAAATTGATAATTTTTTTGACAATAAAGTATATTGAATTTGTATTTAAGGATTGCTGGCAATTTTTTTCTCATATTCATTTAGAAAGTCGTCTCGATCACTCACATGCTTTAATTGATATAAAGAAGTAAATTTTAGAATTTTTGGAAGATTTATTTATGCATTTCATACGGATTGCAAAAATTGCATACACATCAAATTTTGGAAACTATCTTTTCTTTGCAATACTGCATTGAAGTTCTTATAAGCTATTTCATATTCTCTTAGGTATGCTTATTAATGCATTCAAGACGGCTCGGGATTAAATTTTTTGCTTTAATCAACCATATATCATGCTTTGCAAACATAAGTGTAGCTAAGTTTCATTCAAATAATGATATAATTTTTTTACAATATGATCTCAAAGCGCAATTGAAGGCAGTGGTTTGGACTTCCATACACATTATACTTCTTTCGGTAAAAATTTTGCTTCAATATTTTCTAGCTTTGAAGATGTATGACTTTTGAGAATGGAAGTGAAGGTCTTTGTATGCAATAAAAACATGTTAATTGAAATCCATACTTGAAACTACAAATGTTCGCAGATACATTAGTTCATGTTTTTAAGGCTGTATGAAAATTGGTAGGCTTTTTGAAACCCCCATGAATTTAAATTGGCAAAAATATATTGATTTATTAAGTTTAGATATCTTTAGGGATAAATTTAAAAGTGACAATTGAAAGATTTTTGTGATTTTGCCAATATGTGAATGATGCCAATATGGGAGATTTTGAAACATCAACAGAATTATTACATTGCAATATCAACATAAATATCATTCAAATATCGAATAATGAAACAGATATTACTTTGATATTTTTGATGGATTTTGCGAGCCTACTTTAAGCTATAAAATAAGTAGGTGTATTGAAATTTTCTTCCTTTATAAAATCAATATTATCCTTTTTAACCCTAATACTACTGCGATTGGCCTTAATATGTTTATGGGTGCATTTAAAGCTATTTCAAGAAGATCTTTTCTGCTAGGTTTGAAGAGTTCCAAGTTAAAATCTTGAAAATTGAAATAATTCTTCGGTTTTGAAAAATGCATCTGCGATACGTTCTTGACACTCATGCAAGTCACTTCACATTTTTAGATATGCCGATTAATGCATTTAAGGACACTCTTAGCAAAAATATCGTTTCCTAATGTTTGCCATTTTTGTATCTGTAATTTTTGCTGAAATCTTTTTACTTCTTTGTGTAATGATTCAATTCAGGATGCTCTTGACATCTCTACAAAATTCACCTATTATAGTTTTCTCTTGTTTCTTTTGTCAATTGCAAACTTCCAATTTGTCTAGTTTTTTTTAATAAGTGTTTTGAATAATGTCTGATAAATTCTAATGTCACAAAATCCCCAATATCGTTTAATACTGTTTGATATTGGAGACAGATTGCGAGTTTGAAGACATCTCGGCTATCTTTTGAATATAAGTTGTCTAGATTAGGTAAACTCCCAAAAAAGACAGAAATTGGAGCGTTGCAAATTCACCTTCTTCAGCTCATCAACAATTTAATAAGTCTTATAACTCACAATGAGCATATCAATACATCAAATTTATTGATCAATGATTTGACTTAAATGTTCTTTTTTTAAGCATTTTGAGGTATTTTTTGTCCTCTTCTTCTTTCAACCTCTGCATGTTTTCTTCTTGCATTTTGATCAACATCTCTTTCTTCGCCCTTTTACGTTCCTTATTTTTCTCCTCATCTTTGAACTGCATCTCGCATTTTCCTCCCTTTTTGTCGTCTGGTTTCTTGCCTTGTTTTTCATTTTTGAATTCTCTACGCAGTATTTGGGTAAACGTTGCATCCTTTCCAGATCCTGAAGCCTTATCACATTCGTAATACTTCTTCACCTGTTCGATGTCTCCAGCAGTCATTCCATCACGCTGGCCTATTTCTGCCCCTATCGCATTTCCAACCGCCTCTATAGTTGGCTTCCCGTTATTGCTAAATGCCCAGTCAGGGTAGTGCATGATACTGTTGTAGTCATATCCAACACCAAGATTTATTGAGTTCTGTATTTTTTTGAAATTGTTCACCTTATCTGAAATGTGTAAAATCGTTTAATGATTACTGTAGCAGAGAATTGTTTCATAAACTGTTGAATAAACATGAATGAATTAAACTTTGTTATTCCCCTTTAAAGAGTTTTGCATTGAAATTGAGCTTCAGAGCTGAATGGTGGTTTTACCCACAAACCCTGTTTGGTCTTACGTTTGAAATCCCCCTACTTACCTTCTTCTGTGAACATCACTTTGCTAGCGTAAATTTTATAACCTTCATTTTAGCATCGTTGTGTTATTTATGCAAAAATTTCTTTGCCGTTTGAGTCAACTGAATTTACCGAGAATTTACTCTACATACAAACAAAAAAGCCACCATTGTGTAGACAGAAGGTGTTCGCTTTCTCTCTTGGACTCCAGTGGTAGGCACGCGGCACTGATTGGACACCCATGCCGATCTTGTGCTTGCATTTTTCTGATTGGCCTATTTCAATCCACAACTGGGTATACATTTTCATCATTTTCTTTCGGACCCTTATTCTGACGTTTTATGCTCTGAAAAGATTCAGACGAAAAAGTATTTAGCCAATATGTTATAAAATTTGTGCTTTTTTTCAAAGCCATTGTCAAGCTCTCTACCACGAAAAAACTGTTTAGAACCTACTCCGTTTATGGCTGTAAGAAATCCTACCTTTGTCTATATTTTGAAAGTTAATTTTGACGTATTTATCTCTGTCAGGACGAGACTGCTCGTGTTCAAATCCAAGAGCGTGGAATATTTCATGAATCGCAGTTCCTTTGTACTCGCAACCTTGACCAATTGAAACTTCTTGCTTGTAACCCATCCGAAGTTGTGGCTTTGAAAGCATGCCAACATATGACCAACACCTATTACAAAGTAGATTTCTAAATAAACAATGTAGGTAAGCACATTGCACTATCAGTTACTATCGTCCACTCGTTTCTATATTTTGCTTCAACTAAACAATTTTGATGTTTTCTGTAAAAGAAATTGATTATGAATGACCAGATATAGCAACAAATTAGCTTGTAAAGCGTCTCAATTCCATTTACTTTAAAGCTACACACAAAAGTTTATATTTCAACGCAGCGTCAGGAAAACATTACGGTCGCACGGCCACTGACTGGAGGAAGGTCCATGAAAAATAATAGAAGCTCCAATGACACACCCAAGTCACGCCTACTTTCTATTGTTTTGTGAGGGAGGTTTGCCTTCTAGGATGTTTTTGTCTGGAGGAAGGTTAACAACTTTTCTGGACTCTGTTTCAAAGATCTGGTCGCTTTCATTAGTTTATATTGGAGCCTCCTACTAGAGTTGATTGATGTACTGATGCGAACACCAATACGTCTTATTCACAGATATATTTCATGAATGCATTCCTCCTGTATCTACCATTGTAACTCAGAAGAAGCCTATGCAAGCAAAATACCTAACATCTTCTGCCTACCACTTGTCTGTATATCATTTGTCTTTCTATCTATCATTTCTATTGCATCATTTTTATTATCATTTTCTGTTTTTATCTCGGCACATTGAGATGTTCCTCGTCTCAAATCTATCATTAATTATGAATTTCTCAGCTTCTTGAGAATGCTGGTAGGCCATAGGTGATTTTAGGTAGGTCATTTTATTTTATCTATTTTACGCTGTATTTTAAGCAACTTCAAGTTGCAAACAATCGTTCCACTCCCCAGGAGTTCCTTAAAGACTCATTGCTAACAATGAGCCATTGCGCTACGTAAGCATCCCATAATGCATTTTCAGACAGTCTGAAATCAATTATGGTTAATCCGTAAAGTTTACTGCCATTGTTTTAATTGTCGCCTGGATAATTTGCCACCCTCGCAAAGGCTCAATGTTAGCAATGAGTCTTGAATCTTTCTTTAGATTGATAATTTTGAATTGGATTTTATTGAATCAACATTTGGACCCGTCCATATCAACAAAAATATCCTAATCAAGACAACGATTACCAAACCCCCTTACGAAAACAAGATCTGGAACGGGCAAAAAATTAGCTCTAAAGCAATGATCAAGATTCAAAGGATGTTGAAAAAGATCATAGAATCCAATATCTAGTGTAGTGAAATTAGATATAAAAACGGTCTAACCCGGATAAAAATAATGTAAAGCTGTAATTTGGCACAGATGCTCTATACCAAGTTGGAAATGACCAGAAAAAAGCCCCATCAATTGGACATTGGGAATTCCTTATTTGGGCAAATACCATAATGGCGCACTGATCAGTAGTGGTTCAAAATTTTAATGTTGCTAAGGGGCTTTTTATCTGGTTATTCCCAGTATCGAATGGAACCTATGTGTCAAATTACAGCTTTTTTTATTTTTGTCCGGATAAAATCGTAATTCCTCCACACTAATCAGTGCGTAAGGATGCAGAAAACCATCCAATAATCCAAAAATCTATCAAACTGTTAAGAAGCCTACTATTTCATGCTAAAAAGCCAAGAATAAATGACAAATGCTCAATGACAGAAAGTTCAAACCAAAAATAAGCAGGGACACCGGAGCACATTATCGATTAGGGGGCTCTAGTAACTTGGTGGCGGACTTCTATAGTAGTTGCCACCCTAATCTGTGATGCCACAATTTTGATATCATACTTCAGTGAAAAATTGGGGCTACAGCCCACCCAGCCCTATCCTGGGTTCCAGAGCGTCAGTGTCGATGAAATAGGGCGTCGATGAAATAGGGGGTTGCGGAAGAGTGCTCCCTCAGCCCCCTATTTCCTCAACCCCTATTTCCTTGACGCCCTATTTCCTCGAAACTGACGCGCTGGAACCCAGGGTAACCCAGCCCCAATCTCCAGCGTGCCTGCAAAGCACTTCTGCCACGAAAGGTACTTTACCCGTTCTGTTTGACAAATGTGATGTACTGCTCAATGGACCTGTCCACCCTTTTCACAAAAGTAAGACACGTATATTCTTCGATATCTCTTATAGCAGCGTCGATTGCATCCCTAGCTTTTTTGCCTGCAAAACATTTAGAATAAAATTTATTTTCAAGATAAAGCAAGGAAGAAGAGATTTTTGTTTAGCAGTAGCGTTGTAGATCTACACTTTGCAGTTGTAGCCATTTTTATAGGTGGCTCTGCTTTTTTGAATTAAAAAGTGCCCTTTTCTGTAGAATTCAAGGATACTGGTAAAATTGAGAGCGATGTGAATTTAGCTTTGACCTAAAGTTGTATTGGATATAGCAAAAATTTAAAGGCTTTGCGCAACCGGCATGCTTTGCGACTATATTTTCAAAACATGCCTTATATCGTAACCCATGAAAATGCAAATCACAATCAATTTTCTCAAGACAGCTGTCGCTAAGCATACCATGAAGAACTTGCCACAGCTAAAGATAAAAAAAGAAGCTCTAAAATCGCTTCATTGAAACTACCCTGGGTACCAGAGCCGCAAAAATTAAAATTAAAAAATTATGAGAGTGAGAGCTGCGGAAGCTCTCATTATTTTTTAATTTTAATTTTTACGGCTCTGGTACCCATTATTTTTTTAATTTTAATTTTTACGGCTCTGGAACTCAGGCTACATTGAAACAGATTCTGCTTAATAAGAACCGTCGACATAGCCAATATATTTTTTTGTCAATAAATCAAATTTTAAGGCTCGAAAGTCATCTTACCCAAATTTGAGTGATATGTGTAGTAAACTGTTTGGTTTGGCCATTTGGCATTGGGCCTACTTGTAGCCTCCCTTTTCTGTCCCGTCTGGAAATATCTTTCAAGTTCGTCCTTTTGCTCTTTCGTTACTCTCATGTCACCAGAAAAGAAAAACTTCTCTAAATAAAAGAAAGAGTTTATGTGTCAACATAGCGTAAAAACATCTTAAAAGTGTCATTTATCAATTTTATAATTTTGGTGCAAGAGGAAGGAAAATTTTTGTTGATTGAGAATTGTTAGTTTTTTAAAAAGTCTACAATGAAGTTATTATGAGAATGAGAATCTCACTTTCTTTTTTATCATCTTTATTTTCCTCTGCCTCGGCTTCTTCTTTCTTTTCTTCTGGCGTCTCTGGTCTTGTATCTCCTATGATAACAAGCAGTTAATCAAGCATTAGGCTGCCAAGTAAAAATGTTTGGATACGTTCTGTGTTACTAATGAAGACTTACCACTATGTTGCTGAATATTTACATCAAAACAGGTTTGGGAAGTCATTCAAATCGCAACTAATAATAGCACAAATAGTTAGACAGTCTGAATCAACTGCTCTAATAGAGATAAGATATCATGCTAACTATTTCTTTCAATATTCATATCTCTCCTGCATTAATTTGCAGCATGCATCTCGAAGTATCTTGTGATCAAGCACAGAAAAATGGGTCTGGAGGATGGTAAACTTTTTTGGGGGGGGAGTAGGGGGGAGGGGGGCTCGCCAAGGAACTTGCCCGAAATTGTTGCTGAGTTAAAACAAAACTGCCCGAATGGAGTCCCTTTGTCTCCAGTCCTATGCACAACAAATGACTATGTACATTAGAATGCGGATAAGTCTTTCATAGTCATAATGCTGTCAAAATGATGAAAAATGATGTCAAAGAAGGATTTTAATATTAAATTTGTATTTTTTCACAAGTGTGATATGAAGATGACACAAAAAGATTTGCGTGTGCGAATTCAGGTGCTCGTGGGAAATGTGCGACAATTGTCTGAATTCGCATAAAAAACCATGAAGCGACAAATAAGTTTCTTTTGATTGACCAATCGCGACTTTGTTTATGGTTTGATTCTGCTGGTTAATGGTTGATAGACATTGCCAAGCTCACGCTAATCTTGACTATAACCAACGTTTCAATGAATAGGATAAAGTAAATATTTGTGACTTATCCACTGATTGTGGTTTGCGTGAATCCAAGCGTTTTGATCTATTCATAGAGGCCTACAATTTTCTATCTTTGCAAAAACTTCGTGCACGATATTCTTAACATTCTATCACAACATAGTACAACATGTTCTTTAGAGAGTTTCTTTATACGACAACTTAATTCTACCTAGTTTGTCACTCCAAGAAGCTCCATTGAGCATTTTTTTAAAACATAAGGTAAAGAAAATCACTAAAATTGTCGCAGGTATAAAAATATCTCTAAAAATAACATAAACGAACTTACAAAAATTCTGTTTCGCTGGCAAAAGTTTTACAAAAAGTTTGGAAAAATAGGAATGAAAATTAATTATTTCTGGGAAAAAATTAAAAGGAGCGATAGCTACACTTTGAAAAATAATATAGAATAATATAATATAAAAATTTGATAATCATGCATCAAAATCTTCTTATTATTGTCTTTTGAGCTAGACAATATATTGTACCAAAATATCTTAAGTTTGTACATAACACTAAGAGCGATTTCTATTAAATTCTCCTCGTACTATCTTGTTTGTTCGCAGCTGGAAATATTTACGTTGCAGTCACCGTTTGTTTCGTTGATAAATCCATGATAACGATAAGAGTGATCATTTGAATAAAAGACTCCATTGATTTTCGTAATGATCGATAAGATATTGTACTGAATCTGAGAGATAAGTCATTTTCCAACCAACCGTTTTGTGTCTAAATAAACAATTGAAAGCTACGGTTTCATCTTCTTTGTTGCTTGCTCATATTTCACGCTTAATAGGGGAAACAAAATATATGAATCGGACAAGCGATTTTGTTTATCCTTTAAAGGGCACGGATGGAGTAGTTTATGTGGTTATGCGCTTTCGTTATTCTTTAATGCATTTATGTAGCATGTATTTTGATATCATTCAAAAGCGTAAATTTGACAAGCAAAACTCCAGCATCAGTCATTTAGCTACCATTAATATCGGGCTTTTCGCCATTTTAAGGACTTTGAAAATTCTAATGCTCTAGTTACCTTGTCCTTTACCACAAATTTCCTCTACTTTCGCTTCTTCATTATTTCCTCCGCTTTCTCCACCCTGACCTGCTCCACTTTGGTCTTTGTCATTACTGTCTCCACCCTGGCTTTTTGTTTTGTTGCTTTCAGCACCTTCATCCTGTGTTTTCCCACCTTCTTGTCCTCCTCCTTGCTGACCCTCCGCACCTTTGCTATTATCACCCTCCTTCCCAGAACTCCCTGTTTCTTTCCCTTCATTGCCCTCAGCAGTACCCTGGCAATTAAAAATTGCCAGAAGCACAAAGAGGATAATAAGAAATTTTAGTATCATGTTTAAAAACCAACACAATGTAATATGGTGTACGTGCTTGACATTCTTTTGTAAGGAATGTAATGAGCACTTGCTCATGGTAGACTGGCTGACCTCGTAAACAACCAGCAATCTTTCCTAAACAAGTAGTCTCGTAAACATGTCAATAATATTTCAATACTTCTAGAGGTTTGCGAACATCAAAAGCGTAAATAAAATTTTGTTTAAAGAACTTGAAAGCATTCTAAATCATATCTAAATTTGCACTTTGTAAAGGCTGAATGTAGAGGGATGCGAAGCTGAATGTAGAGGGATGCGAGGCTGATCATTTTAGGAAGATTGCGAGGCTGAATGTAGAGGGATACGCGTTGAGAACATTTAAGTTAATCTGAAATGATCTTAGATATTTTGTTTGCAATGTTTCAGAGGTAATACTTTCTTCATCCGTGGCCAGTTCTACTGTATATTCACTTATCCACCTTTTTCTACTCTTTTTAAAAACAATTTTTCTAAAGACCAATTTTTAAAAATTTAGCTAATAGAAGAATTGAAATCTGTCATTTTGTGTTAAAAAATTTAAATTTGTTTGTATTTCTGTACAATATCTGACTATAACCTCCTTGCTCTTGTCGATTACTGTTGAAAGATTCTTCAATAAGATTATCTCCAATGGTGCACTAGGCTTTTGCGGATTGATATGCCCCTTTCTGCTTACTTGGCAAAGTTGATGGTCGGTATAAATCAACACGTTTACTTGGCACTGAACAGCCCAAAGATACGCTTTCTAACCTCACCCTTGAATAAAAAAGCAACTGTCTTGTGACGCTATAAGCCTCGTATTTACGTTATGTTGCCCGTTTCGTTATGTTATGTTCTAGGCGTGAGAATACAAAATGGAGTATTGAAGTTCGAGTAGGGGTGTTCTTTCGTCGTTATCTAAGGGGATAATCTTACATGCCTGTAAAAAAAACAATATATCCCATTCTAATGTTCCACGCACGATATTAAAAGAAAGTATATGAAAAAATATTCTTGTATCAAGAAGGCAAAATAAAACTTGTTGGTCTACGATCAGCTTTGATCCTGAAGATTTGCTTTACATGGAAATATGATATTTTAAAGTATAAATTTCCTGAGCATTTTGAATCAATAAAAAAAGGTCATAGTTAGAAAAAGTCGACTGGTAAACATTTTTAAATCTTATCTATCGTTTTATACACGACAAACTCAACAATGTTCATTACATGAAATTTATTGACAATAGAATAAATTTTGAAAAACATTGCATTTAGATAAACTAAATATAATAAGCAATGGTAGTTTGCAACTTAAATAGAAACAATTGTGCAATATGGATTCCACAAATGCCTCTTTACTTGATTCATATTCTAAACAAAGTTTTATAATCTCGTTGCCTTCTTTCTTATCTTCTTTCTATTCATCCTTACTGCTGTCCTTCTTTTCATCCTTATCCTTCTTCTTCTCCTCCTTCTTCTTTTGCTTTTCTTCCTTCTTTTCTTGTTCCTTCTTGAATTTAGCGTCACATTTACCTCCAGCCTTGTCCTTTGTCTTGCGATCAGTTGTTGTTCTCTTCAAAATCTTTGCAAAGAATCTCTTCTGTGGTGTAGCTGCATCGCAGTCATAATACTTTCTCACTTGTTCGATGTCACCTGCAGTAAATCCGTCTCTTTGCCCGATTTCAGCTCCTGCAGCGTCACCAATAGCCTCAAGGGTCGGTTTGCCATTGTTACTGAACGCCCAATCAGGGTAATGCATTACGCTGTTGTAGTCATAGGCAACGCCTAGACTTATCTGATTGGCATCTTTTGAAAACTGTGATTGCATTGCTGCAATGATTTAGAAAGTAAATTTCTCTTCAGATTTCAGATTTCACCTTTTCTTAGATTGATCATATAATTTTTCATTCAAATTTCACGAGTATAGTTTACAAATATACAATTATAGTATTACTATAGTATCACAAGTATAATGTATCAATTTTTACGTTGCAAAGTAAAAATCCTGATAAAGTCTAAATTACTGATGAGCTAAAGTAATAAAAATGATAGCCATTATCAAATTAGAGATCGTTTATCTGTAAATCTCCGGTAAAAGTTTAAGATGACAATGTTTTGATTCAAAAGTACAAGCATTTCGATTTGAAAATGAAAGTAGACAGAAAGTACACGTTTCGCACTAGAATTTTGCTTTTCCCTGCTATTTTGCCGTACCAAAAGCTAATTTGTTAATATTTTGATTCCACAGATTTCGATTTTCTGTAAGAAATTACTAAATAATTTTTAAGCCATTGTCACCTTTGAAACATACGAGGAAACTTCAAATGTAACCAAAGTGAGATGCTGCTTTTTTGATGCTGCTTTGACGTTCCCTTGAGAGCGGTGGATTTTGAGCTAACATCATTTGAAACTTTGATCTTACCCTGGGGTTAGGGGGTCGGGCGGGTGGTCACTCTCATGTTGAACAAAACAAGAGACAAGGGCCTGAAATTGATGCGCTTTGAAGGAAAAATGTGCAAATGTTTCCAGATTTCTTGGTTACATTTTACCAAATCTGTTTTGACATGGAATTTGTTCATTTGTCCGACTTTTTCTGAGTATTTTTATAAATGTCGGATGATGACCGACAGAAATTCTTTGCTTAAATTAATATTTTGTTATAAATTTAATTCTAACGACGAGTTCTCTGAAAGTTGGAGGGTGTATACCCCCAGCCCCCTCCCCCCCGCACGCTACGCCCCTGCTTATTATAGCCAAAGTAAAGACATCAACTTTGTAAAACTTACAGGAATCCATGTTCTCGAAGTTGACTTTCACAAACTGATCTCTATCGTTTCGCGAATGTTCATGGAAGAAACCAATGGCGTGCATGATTTCATGGATTGCAGTTCCTTTGTACTCACATCCATCACCAATAGACAGTGTCTGCTCCCACCCCTGGTCGACGTAGTATTCGGGTAAACGTCCTACATAAGACCAACATCTACAAAAAAATTAAATCTAAGTTCCATTAAAATCAAACTAATTCAGAGACCGATCGTTCCTGCGAGAGAGGAGATGGGTCGTAGGGAGGCAGTGAATTCCTCATTTACGCTACTCTCTACCTCACGATTACGCGCTCGATTGCTCGCATGTACTTTTTGAAAATGTCTGTGCTGTCACGCCCAATTTATCAGGACACACTACTGCTACGACAAACTGGATCAAATATCTCTCCCGGCAAAAGGCTGTGTAGCAAAGCCCGATGCATTAAGTCTGCCGATGGTATTACACCATTCCTCTTAGTTTTCTGACTAGCTGTGCTTGTTTATTCTGCATGGTTTTAAAACAACATTTGACACCGTAGAGGCAAGGTAACAACAAATGAATCACACTCTATTCACAGACAAATATATTATTATTTGCATGCATGCAAATGCTATCAACATATAGCTGCCATACCCAGTATCCTTTTTGAATGTGATGTAATGCTTTACTGCAGAATTTTCGACAAAAACAAGGCATGTGTAATCCTCAAAATCCCTGATGGCGTCCAAAATGGCTTGTTTCGCAGTAGCGCCTGAAATTAAAAATTTAAATCCAATGTATTGGAGAAAAACTGATTTAGGCATGAGCCTCTTTTTCTGGTGATGTTAATTAATACTTTATTTAGCTATGAGCCTATCGTAAGGTTTCAGTCGTTTTACTAAAGTCCTTGATCGCTGTCGCAGAAAATTTATACATGCTTCTTCCTATTTTTCAATTGCCTTAATAAAAGATATATACATAATCGTTTAGAATCATAACATTTTTTGTTTATATTCAATTTTCATTTAATTTAGTTTTACTTACTGAGTACTGTTATTCGAAAATTTTATAGCGGTACAAAAATTGCTTTGAAATGTCTAAAAGCTTTTGCGTCTGAGACTTCTCAAAATATAAAACGTCAAAATGAAGGTCCGAAAGCACAAGTTTGAAATTACATAACTAGTTGTGGATCGAAACAAGCCATTCAGAAAATGCAGATATTTATTCTGACATTCTATAAATTCTGGGGAGTGTTAGAAGCAAATTTAGTTTGTTGTGAAATGCTTGCCTTATTCAAAGCCATTCACATATATTAATTTATTTCAAAACATTTGGGGTGATTGGATCAAAACTGAAGGAACGACAAGATGCTCGTAATTGCAAGACCCACGCCACGAATTTGAAAGTTGGGGGGGGGGGGCAAGGCTAGCAATAAGAGGAGGCCAAGGTTTATCCCCTTTTATTGCATCTTTAAACTACTTGTTTTGCAAAAAGTGGGGGCATGGCACCCGGCCCCTGGTGGCGTGGGCCCTGAATTGTTTGAGCCTTGATAAACATTAAATGACTAAATTAGCTCACTGAGACTGGCGTCCAATTTATAATAGACTGTTTGGTCAGGCCATTTGGCTGATGCATAATGGATGACATCTCTTTTAAGGCCACTAGTCCGTGCTTTGTCCAATGCTTCTTTTTGCTTGTCTGTTAGTCGAATATCTCCTTGATGGAAAAACTTTCCTAGAAAGAGAATATAAAATGTTAATTCAATATAAAAGAAGGTTATTGGTTGTTTTAAGTTCATTGATCTTTCCGTTGCTTGTTTCCGTTGGTTCAAACACTTTCCTTCAAAATTTAATGCAACTATGCAGGGATGGATTTTAGCAGCAACGATTGGTGGGGAGGGGGTGTTAGAAGATAATTAGCATTCGATGCCACATTACCTTGCCTGGAAAATGATGGAAACGCAAATCATTAAATTTCAACTTTTGCGTTAGGATAAAAAGGGTTTGTAGCTAAAAGTAAAATTTTTACAAATATTTTCAAATTTTACCGAAGGATGCAAAAATTTTGGGGATGTGGGACCTTTACATCCCCGGTAAATCATCCCTGCAATTATGAAGTACATAGATCTTGTAAATTCCATGACATCATGAGATGTATTAGCTTGTTTAGTCCATTTCAAAGAAGAAAATTGATGATAGAAATCCAGATTGTATTGTCATAAACAAGATTTACTTCATGCTCCTTTTGATTGTTTACCGTGGAACTTTGAACTATATAATTTACCATAGAGTACCACAAAATATCGCGAAAATTCAAAATCAGCTACACCTGTTTTAAATTGACTCAAATATTGATCCTGAACGAATTTGGTTTTGCTGAAGAATAACTGTTCTTTTGCCATGGTTGGTGGCTTTAAGAGCCATGACTAAATTACCAAACAGATTTTTATGATGTCATAACTTTTAAACTTTTAACCAACCGCTTTCTTTGTCATCTTTGTTTTCCTCGGCCTTTGATTCTTTCTTTCTTTCTTCTGCCGTTTCAGGTCTTCTGTCCCCTGAAAAGAAGGTATAAAAAGTTTTTGTTCTTTTCATTTTTTCAAGAAGATTTAAAAAGAAGGTATAAAAAGCATGATTTCTTGCTTACTTGCTGAGAACGACAATGCTTGTAATAGAGCCATTTCCAAACAAGTAATAAATGGGCTCGTAGTTTACCAGTTTGAGTGACGTAGTTTACTAAGTTTTAGTATAAGAATTCCTCAACAAAAAGAGGTTCGTATTGAAGAGTGGTGATTGATTGATACTTTAGCGCTTGCTTGGCACTTACCAGGGTTTTATTGAAACCAGGGTGTTTTTGAAACCACATTATGCATATACAATTGGACAACATCTTGTGGAAAGAGTTTTCCTCTTTGATTTTATGCACATATATTTACATACTTCTAACTGAAAATGTTTTAAACATGATCACTTTCTGACGTTTTATACTCTGATTAGTGGCAAGCAGTAAAGCTTTAGCGTTTTTCTTTTAAAAGCAATGTTCATGCTTTTCATTTTTGCATGAAATTTATGAATCGGACAATGTTTATCAATTTCTGTACATCCTTATTTGTAGAAATATTTAATTTTTATTGTCATTTTCCTTTTTCAAACACATATACGAACAAGATAATTCTGCCTGAGATAATTTTTGTTATTAATACTTTTGTTGGTTCTGAAAAATCATGAATTAAAAATGGTGAAAACTGTAATTTTGATTTAAGAAAACGTTTAAGTTAAATCTTTTTAAAACTTCTAAAGGTAAGCCTGTATATCTAGGCTCGATAAAGAAACTCCAGCTGAGATCCATAAGAATTGCCATGAAGCTATTCTTAATACAACACAAAGCTAAATTGCTGTATTATAGTGAAAATCATACCCCGTCACTTAAAAAATCTAAAGAATTGTCCAATTATATTCATTTTGCACTTCTCCTCAAGACCCAACGGTATCCCGGCCTGTGGAGAAGCTAAAACAATTTTGTCATTATTTTGCTGTTTTCTACTCTTTTTTGACATGCGTCTGGTATTGTTTGGTTTCAAGTCTATTCCAAGTCTTTGTCCACGTGTTATGATCCAATAGATGGTCGAATGGTTCAATGACCAAAGCCAGGTTGTTCTCAGGACACCAGTTGCCAGTTTCTGGTTTCTGAAATGGCATCTCTTCTTCCAATTGCTCGAGACAGCAAAAGGCAATCTTATTCTTTGATGACGTATTGCCATCATTTTGGCGACTTTCCTTGCACCCATGGCTCGAAATTGTTGTTAAGCATAGTTTTATTTACTGTTTTTCCGTCTGTAAAAGTCGCCATTAGTTAATCAGATGTTATTTTTCAAACATTAGACAAACAAGCTTGTATACATAAGAATCTTTGCAAATATTAATAACAGCCTTCCCAAAAATAACAATATTTCTTGTCTTCAATCTTTTCAAGTCAGTCTATGCCGATAAATCCTGATGATTACTAAGTGAGTAACCTACTCTTTTCCCTGATGCACAAAGAAATCAAGCTAAAATTAGAGCTAGAGAGAGCAAAATACGAGGAAGACAGCCCATTGATGCTACCATAAAATTCGATTATGTTAATGGTAGGGTTACAGGAAGGAGCTATAAATACAAAGTTAAATCGCTTAGACAAACCTCTGGGTTAACGGGGAGTCTGAAGCCCTGGCAAAACGACTCAACATTTCACTCAACATTTCACTCAACAATTTTTTAGTGAGGTAGCACGAAGATTAGCGAGGGTGGCTAGAACGTGGCTAAACTTTTCACTAAACTTTGCTCAACATTTTTGAACTGTGACCTGTGTATGACGTTGTGGGGTTGTAGGAGTTCTTGCATAAGAATTTGCTTTCTATTTGCTTTTTTGTATGTTAGCATAAAAGACTTCAAGTGCACGAAGTGGGTAAAAATAACAATTTTATAAAAGAAAGGGAAAATAATATAGTTTTTAACACATCGATAACAAAGGTGAATGTTTATGAAGACACAGTAGCGTACAAGGAGACGAAGCAAATGTCTCACGAAGGCATTCTAGAGATTTTGGGTCACGTGGAGACAGGGAAACCGAGAAAAACCCTGGAAAACCTTTGGATTCCCACAGCTACGGCGCTGCACTAGCACGACAAAGGTTTAATTGGTTGTAGAATGACTAAAAATTTGCTAAAGAACATTAAACAATGCTTAACATTTTTGACCAGAGTCAAACTTTGCTCAACAACACTCAACACGACTAAACAACATTAAACAGGATGGCAAGACGAATAAACTTTCCACTAAACTTTTGGCTAAACAAAAGCTGAGTGAAATTTTCAGTGAAATGTTTAGTCGTTTTTCCAGGGCTAAAGGCGATGATTCTATAAACCCATGTCCTGGTTCTGATCACACCCAGAATCGCATTGTTAGCGGTAGCATTTTGCTGACGATACATAGTACCGATACTAGTACCGATACATAGTACCGTACCGATACATAGTACCGATACATAGTACCGTACCGATAAAAAATTTCTTGAATACCATGTTGTCTTTAGAATATTTTCTTTGCTTTGAAAATTATGGAACGTGTTTTACTTCTATGGAGTTCTCGAAATTTTTTTGCTCTAAACCAATATAACTATTTTATGGATATCATATTGAAGTTAAAAGAAACCTAGAAATTTTTAATCTAAAATCTTTTTTTCAAAAATCTTATTCAATTTTTTTGTGTCTGTATTCAAATATCTTGGCTAATCTTTTGAGGATCTCTTCAATCAATTTGCTTTGTGCTCCTACAAACATTTCAGCTCTAACGGTGACTCATTCATTAATCTACCTCCCACCATCCACAGATGAATTTTTTTCAGTTTCAAAATAAAGTGTTTTCAAAGAAGATGACATGACGGGAGTTTTTCCTAAGATGTACAAAGAAGATGTACATTGAAGACAATAATACATTAACTTTTGTCTTATTTGGCAAGCACTTAACTGAATATATGACTTTATCTTGAGTCTGAAATCACCCATAAATTTCTTTTTAAACAGTAAAAGAAATCGCTATAACATTGCTGGAACTTTGATTTTATCAGATACATGTTTGGAAATAAATTTTATTGGGATGTGAAGAGAAACTTAACTTTATGATTTTCTCGTTCTAATGTTACTTCATGGAAAAAATATTTTCATCCATATGGAATCGTAAATCTCTACAAGTTTTAAAAAATGGTATAGTTTCGCACACCTTCTCTTTTTCCACAGATCTCTTCCACATGTGACGTGCTTGCTTCTTGGGCTATAACCAAGAAAGCCAGGACGGCTCCGAACACCACTTTGGTCTGCATTTTGCTAATAATCTGAACTGCTTGTAAGTACTTGGTTGATGTTTGTGTAATCAATTTACAGATTACAATGAAGGCAGAATCACTAGAGCGTAACGCAAGGTTGCTGAACCAATGGAGATTGTTGACGTACACCATTTATTGTTGTTTGTTTAGATAATATACCAGTGATACTTGGCCCTTGATCATTAATAATTCAATGACTGTTCTATTATAAGCCTACCCTAATTCGGTGGTCTATTTTGAAGAGTTACCTGGGAGAACAGGGTTGGACCTTCCTAGACCATGAATCAAACCCTTTTTCCAAATATTTTATTGATGACACATTAACATAACAAATCAATTAAGTAGGGATTTAGAGGAGTTCAAATTCACTTAGGTAGGGATTTAGAGAAGTTGAATGTACAAATTCACTATGGTACCATTAAGCATATCAAACCATGCTACACTCTCTTTTTCCCAGAATCACCAATTATTAAAGTCACTCAGACAATTGGTTGTTCACATTTCGAATAAATTTTGCAAATGTGAACAGAATTCGAAGAAACTCTCCAAAGCATCATCAAATAGCCTACATGGGTGGCGCCAAATGAGGGCTTGGGCCCCCCCCCCCCACTTTTTTGTAAGAATGTGTTTTCAAATAAATAAAAAGAATAGAAGCAATGAAACAAAGGAAAAAATACTGCGATAAATCTTTTTATTGTTTAATTTCAAAGGAATAAGTTAAGGCCTATGAAGCCTCATATGAGTTACAAAAATTCTATTTTAAGACTTGAATCAATCAAACGTAACAAAAACTTGCCTTGAAAATAGCACAATGTTTTAAAAGACTGTAAGAAATATTCTGAAACGTATTTCATTTTATCTAAAGGGGTGGTTGCCAAAATTTTATCCTCGCTTTACTCGCAGGGGACCCTCGCCTTTACCTCTACAGAATGTTTTACATTTTCCCCACGTTTTAGAATTTATATAGAAAGGTCCTTCACATTCTCAAGACATTTCCGAAAAAATAGAAACTAAAATCCTGAAGCGCTTCAATTCATTAAAAAACTAAATTCTGAAATGTTTGTCTGGGATTTTGCAGATTTTGCTCTAAGGAAAACGGACTAAGTTAAAAGCTTTTGAGTACCGTTTATTATTTTTAGATGTTTACTTACAGCTCTAGAAAATCAGTATTTACACGTAAAGCTTCATCTTATCCAAAAATTCAGAATATAACCGTTAGAGGAATTGCGAAGGAAATAGTTGTAGAATGGGGTTAGCCTCAAAAAGCTACATATGTTGGTTATTGCGTTTGATTAGTCAACTAATGCCACGTATAAAGCCATGGCTTCTCCAAACGCATTTACAAATGGGGCGTTTTCCCAAATTCTTAAGGGTGTGGTCAGCAAAAGTTTCAACCCTAAAAACTGGTTGAAAACTTTTTTTTAAATTGGGGGTTGAAACGTTTATTTAGACGATTGACAATCAGTGCCGCTTGCCTATTGAGAATGTTACCAATGGAGTCCTAAGGTGAAAACCAACTCCTTTTGTCTACACAGTAGCGGTTTTTTGTGTGTTTATGTAGATAGATTCCAAAACTGCTAGGTGGAACGACGATCGGGCTTTACCAATAATCCGAACCATTTCGCCATTGTAGTTTTTTGCACAAACTGGGTTCTCCAGTAAATGCTGCCCGATAGCAGAATCGCAGGTTTTAATTGTACTTATAGATCTGCAAGACCGAGGTGGCTGTTCTCTTTGGGGACGAGTTTTGTTTCTAATACTAGGCGGAACATGTTGTTATATTCTATACTCCAAAGAAATCTATAAAGAAGAATCTTTTACGACACTATTATGCTTAGCTTTGTTTCATTTTTTATGAGTCATTTTCTTTTTTGATATCATGTTGTCAGCTCTTGGTATTTAAAGGGCCACTCCAGCCCAAAAATTTTTTCTGAGATTTTTGCATAAATTGGTAGTTAGTCGAGAAAAAGAAGCTATCGTGAAATTTCTTTTCGAAAAGCTTAACTCGTTTTCCAGATATAGACGCTCAAAGTTGAGAATCACCGTAAAAGTACGACAAAATTTTTTCGGAAAATGTTCAGCGGAGGCTTTCAGCCAACATGGACTAATAAATCGACAAATCAAAGATGGAAGCTTCAACCTGAACGCATACCCTCATCTTGGCAACGCAGCAAGCTTTTTAATACGGAATGCTTCACGAATTTTCAGATGTGAATGGATTTCTGACCGAAGGCATTTCTTATCGTCGTGTCATCTCAGGAATTTCCAGGTAGCTGAATAATAATTGATGTCTCACCGCATTAGAAGAAGAACCCCATTCAGAAGATGGAAACTTTCCCGTAAGTCACAATTTATCCTTATTATCATTTTACTATGTTGAATTTTAGGCGAAACTGCAGGGTGTAGAGGTTTGGAGGGGGTTTGGGGATGGTGTGACACGCACCCCCTAAGCAACGCAATTTGCCGGGCTTTGAGAAAAACTTCGTACTCTAAATACAAGTTTTCTAACAGTCTTGTGAACTGTCCCCCAAATAGTCAGAAATGTGGTTATATGAAAAGTACAACAGGGGCTCTCAAGCAAAATGTCACATAAAATAGTACCAAAAGTAGAAGTTTGCTACTTTTTTGTACCAATAAAGGGGCCTGAGCCTCCTAGCACTACATCCCTGCCAATGATCTGTGCACTACACCTTTGCCCGAGGTATAGATGTGTAAAATTTCCCAGGGTTTGTCTGATGTTTCCCTGAACCCTTTTTCTTCATGTTCTAACATGTTCTGCCTTCAATTTTGGAGTTCTGCCTATTTCATCATAGAATTGATGCACAATTTCAAAATTTTGCCAGATCAATATCCAGGGCAAAAGATCTACTACCCCAAAGAAAAAACATGGAATTTACATCCTTGGTTTTGGAAAAAAGATGTGTCATATCCTCATTCTAATGTTTTAAAGGCAGAATTGTTTATATTTGTTAAAATTACCTTTGCTATTCTAGCATTGATTCACATAAGCATGGCCTATATCATTTAAATTCATCTTTGTGTTACTACAAGTTAATATCCTTAGATGCTATTTGCTATAGTAACAGTTGTTGACCTTTCACCCCTAAATTTCTCTTTGATCCTTTTAAATATCTATACACTCTGAATGCCCCTGAGTGTCCAAGTTTCTTTGATCATTTTATGTTTTAATATGACTCAAAAGTAAATTTCACTGGTATGTTAGTATTTATCCCTATCAACCTTATTATTCTAGGCATAAAAAAGGTAACAAACACTTTTATGGATCAATAGAAAGGATCTTGCCAAAAATGCTAGATGAAGGTTGGAGATTACATGCATTCTGTTATCTGGCTACTGGCTTTGTGGGAGTGATAACTTGCCCCTCTCTTCCATGCAAGAGTTACCACAAAGACCTCAACACATTATTCTGTTTTTGTATTAACATTTTTACAAAGGAGACTATTTTTAAAATTATCAAAATTTTATATATAATTTGGTCATATCTATATAATGTTTGCAAATCCACTGCTATTATTCAAAACTAGTAACAACATATAGGTATTTTCTAGAAATTTTGCAATAGATTATTGTTTCATGATACTTTTATAAGAACATTTCTCATGTGCAATAGAAATTACAAATTTCTAGATAGTTCACTGGCCTGATTGTATAGATATTTGAATATATAATTCAATGTAGCCAAGTATTTAAATACATCAAACATGTATTTATTATTCATAAATATAGCAGGTTGAAATTCTGACAGCTTAAAGGAGCTGACAAGGCCCCTGTAATAGCTTAAAGGTTAAATACAAAAATTATATTTACACAAGTATATTGAAAAAGTTGAATTATTAATATAATCTCAAATCCCTTTTTTGTTTGTATAAAAACAAATTTATAATTTTTGAAAAAGTTGTTTGACTCATGACTAATGGTAGGTTTTTAGTCTTGTCTTGAAAGTTTGTATACTTTCTTGTCCATGCCCTCGATTGTCCTGGTTTATTTCTAATAAGTCATAGTCATGTTGATATGAAGCTCTTTATCCTAATGAATATGTGGTATCAATTCATACAGCTTTCATTCCCGGTATACTGGTTTTGTTTTGGTCTTTCCTCCCGAATTAATTGCGCGATGGTTTTTTTAGCTGTTGCACTAAAGGAAGAGCTGATGAAAAAGCGCGAATCTTCTTTTTAAAATCAGGGAACTGGCCTGCCAATACAATTTGTTTTAAAAGCAACATTCCATGAAATGAAAGTCTATCAACATCCTCATGTCTCTGTCTCGCTGGCCTTCTTTCACAATTTGACTTCTCTGTCAGAAAGATTCGTGCGATAAAAACTTCCATATTCGATTAGAATATCAAGACTGATGGACGATACTTCTATCTTTATATCGATTCCAGATAAAAGTCTGGCCTTCTAAAAAGCATGCCGCTGCTAGGCCCTGTCTGCCATTTCGCTACGTTCTCGTTGACCCTTTGGACAGCCGATGATACTTGCCGCGAATTTACCGAGGCCGAAAATGCCTGTGACGTCAATCCGGAGATCTCCGATAACACGGTTGAAAAACAATTCAACTCAATGACCAATTTAAAAACGCTAATAACTACAAAACGGTTAGAGATATGAAAAAAATAATAACAGGTTCGTGTTCAGGAGGTCTGATTACATCGTATTCTGAAATAAAAATTTTGGGCTGGAGTGGCCCTTTAACATGAAGGACTCCAGCTTTGGCTGCGAAAAATCACTACGTGATCTGTTCTTTATGTATTTTAAGTGGAAAAGCTTCTATCACACTCAACTTGTGACAAATAATTTTCTAATCCTCCGGAAAACAACAATGATTTTCAGCAGCCCAATAATATCGATTTGTCAATTTCTGACCCCAAAATGAAAACATAGGCAGCCCTGTTGAAATTTTTTCGTGTAGCACTGTCGTCCTGTTGGGTGGAGGATGCATTTATGATAGTATAGGCCTAATAAACTAACCATAACTTGTATGAGTTTATTGAAAGGAGCAAGAGCAAGACCCTGCTGTTTTTTGTGACGTTTGTGGCTTTTGCTTGATAAAAAAAGCTTTGTATCGTAGCTGAATCCCAGGACCGTCGAGAGGGGGGGGGGG